TTAATGAACTGTACTTAACAAACTGTCTTCTCTATAGTAGACAGCAGAAAGAGTTAATTCAGCTATATTTTTTAAAGCTACACAGATTATATATTTTTTCGTGAACCAGCCAGAGATTTTTGCGGAATTAATATGCAGTTTTTAGGGCTTTTCTGTGGATCTCTCCTTTGCAGAAATTTTATCATCTTTTTCCAACTGCTGTTGTCACCTGGAACTTGGTATTCTGATTCTTTTTTGTTTATTTGTTTGTTTAAAGATTTATTTATTTATCTGAAAGGAAGAGTTACAGAGAGAGAGGAAGAGAGAGAAATCTTCCATATGATTGTTTACTTCCCAAATGGCTGCAACAGCTACGGCTGGGCCAGGCTGAAGTCAGGAGCTTCATCTGGGTCTCCCATGTGGGTTCACGGGCACAAATACTTAGGCCATCCTCTGCTGCTTTCCCAGGTGCTGAGAGCTGGATCAGAAGCTGAGCAGCCAGGACTCAAACCGGTACCCATATGGGATGCCGGTGCTTCAGATGGAGGTTTAACCTACTTCACCTACTTTTGTCCTGAAACATGATAATGTTGTATGTCCTTTGATGGAACAAAGACATAAGCCTCAGCTGTTCTCGCTTATTGCCCAAAAGATAGATAAATATTGGAATTTATTCCTTGTCCTTGAATCTCAATTAGGTTTCACACCCTATTGTCTTTATACCCCACCCCAACGTTCTTCCCCAGTATGAATGAATTCACCTCTGCCTGCTGCCCCCTACCCCTAGCCCACCTAAGATATAAAAAGGCCTAGCCACTGGGATCAGAACTTTCTGCCAAATGTCCAGTCTGTGCACGCTGGCAGTTGTTCACCCACCTCTGTAGATTTATTTTCTCTCAATAAATTAGGTCTGGCTGTAGATTGGTAACCTGCCTCTTCTCTGCTCTACACCTCTTTTCCTAACATCCTTGTGCGCACAAAATTTAGTAAACATTTGTGAATATGGGAGTGACATAATTTAAATAATTTTCAAAGTTTACGTGTATGCCACTTAGAAATTACTATGGGATGCAGATGTGGCATCCCATATGGATATTGGTTGGAGTCCCGGTTGCTCCACTTCTGATCCAGCTCTCTGCTATGGCCTGGGAAAGCAGTAGAAAATGGCCCAGGTTCTTGGGCCCCTGCACCCACTTGGGAGACCTGGAAGAAGCTCCCAGCTCCTGGCTCTTGGCTCCTGGCTTCGGATCGGCGCAGCTCTGGCCGTTGCGGCCAGTTTTGAAGTGAACCAGCGGATGGAAGACCTCTCTCTCTCTGTATCTCCTCTCTCTGTGTACCTCTTTAAAATCAATAAATCAATCTTTAAAAAAATAAAAGTACTGAAAGAAAAAAATGGCCAAGAATACTATTGGTGGGTCTGACATTTAGCCTAGTGATTAAAATGTTGGTTAAGACATCAGCATTCCATTTTGACATAACTGGCTTCAATTTCCAGCTTGGGCTTTTGACTCCAGCTTCTTAATGTTGACCTTGGGAGGCAGTGGTCATGGCTCAAATGATTGCTTTTTTTTGTTTTGTTTTGTTTTTTAAATCCACAGAGGAGACCTGGATTGAGTTCCTGACTCCTGGGTTTGGCGTGGCCAGTCCTGCCCATTGCATGCATTTTGGAAGTAAACCAATAGATTATTATAGCTTTTCTCTCTTTTTCAAAAAAAAAAAAAAAATGAATATTGTGGGTAGAGCTGTCCTTCAGAGATGAAGGAAACATGAAGACTTTCCTAGATAAACAACCACTTGGAGAGTTCATCTCCACTAGACCTGTCATAAAAAAGCTAATGGTAGTGCTTTGGGATAAAAGAAAAGGATCCTAATTAGTAACACAAAAAATATGAAATTTTAAAACTCACTGGTAAATGTAAGCACACAAATTTCAAATACTTAAATACTATGATGGTGATATGGGAGTCACAATTTTAGTGTGAGGGTTAAGAGATAAAACATCAGTGATGTTTAGGTTTCATAATTCCATCCACTTAGGTTACTAAAATGCTTTTACTATTAAAATTCTTGCAGGAAAATTACCTTTGTTATTTTACATCTAAAACTTGTTAGCTCTATTTTTTCTCTCTTGTGATTGGAAACACCTTTTTTCTTTTTAAAGATTTATTTATTTATTTGAAACTCAGAGTTACACAGAGATAGAAGGAGAGGTAGAGAGAGAGGTAGAGATGGAGAGAGAAGGAGAGAGGGGGAGAGAGGGAGAGAGGTCTTCCATCCGATGGTTCACTCCCAAATTGACCGCAGTGGCTGGAGCTGTGCTGATCCAAAGGCAGGAGCCAGGAGCTTCCTCCAGGTCTCCCATGCGGGTGCAGGGGCCAAAGGACTTGGGCCACCTTCTGCTTTTCCCAGGCCATAGCAGAGAGCTGGATTGGAAGTGGAGCAGCCGGGACTCGTACCAGCACCCATATGGGATGCAGGCACTGCAGGTGGCGGCTTTACCCGCTGGGCCACAGCACCAGCCCCGGAAATACCTTCTAATACAAGACTCTGAGATGATTGTAAAAATGTAGAGAAAGGAGGACATCAGTATCCACAAACAGTGTAGAGGGTCTTGTTGCTTGTTTCTTGGATTGAATTGGCTTAGTGAAAAATGTGAAAGACCTTTATTTATTGTGAGATTTAGAACATGAGTTGGAAAACTATGTCATTTAGGCTAAATCTGACCCGGGTCCACTCTCAAATGCATGCAGTTGGGGCATGAACTTAATCCAGGTTTCCAAACTGGGTGGCACTGACCAGACTGAGGCATCACTTATTGCCTTCCTAGGCTTGCATTATTAGCTGGAATTAGGAGCTGGAACTGATCTTCAACCAAGGCATTCTGATGTGGAACATAGGTAGCTTAAACACCATCTGCTAGGCCAAATGCCTACCCTTGTATATATTTTTAAGTTGAACACTTATTAATTTTCAGCCTTTGTTTTTCTAATATAATCAATTAAGGCTGGACCTTTTCCTCAAAGCACCATTTAAAACCATATTGCATAGGTTTTTATTTTTTTTAAGGAAATGGCTTTTTTTTTAATTAAAATTTATTTATTTATTTGAAAGTCAAAGTTACATAGAGAAGAAGAGGCAGAGAGAAAGAGAGAGGTCTTTCAACTGCTGGTTCACTTCCCTGTTGGCCGCAATGGCCGGAACTGCACCGATTCGAAGCCAGGAGCCAGGAGTTTCTTCTGGGTCCCCCCACATAGGTATAGGGGCCCATGGACTTGGGCCATCTTCTACTGCTTTCCCAGGCCATAGCAGAGAGCTGGGTCAGAAGTGGAGCAGCCAGGACTTGAACCAGTGCCCGCATGGGATGCTGGCACTGTAGGCAGCGGCTTTACCCACTACGCCACAGTGCCGGCCCCTGCACAGGTTTTAAAATGCATGAAATTTTCACTGTTACTCACTTGTAAGAATTTTAATTATTTTATGAAAATATTTGTTTATTCTAAAGGTAGAGTGACAGAGAGGGAGGGAAGAAAGAGAGAGAGGAAGAGAGAGATAGAGATGTCTTCATCCACTGGTTAGTTCTCCAAAAGCTGCAATAGCCAGGGCTGGGCAAGACTGAATCCAGGAGCCAGGAACTCCATCTAGGTTTCCCTTGGAGGTGGCAGGTTCCCAGGTACTTGTTTCATCCACTGCTTTCCATAGTACCTTAGCAGGAAACTGGATCAGAAGCAACCAGGACTCAAACTGATACTCTAATTGGGGATGCCAGTGTCACAAGGAGTAGCTTAATCTGCTGGCCCCAGAATTTTAATTTTTATAAGTGTCTCATATGTGTTTTGAGAATAATGAGTAGATCTTCTGTTTATTAGGTGCAGAAATAAGCCTCTGTCATTTAGTCAAACTTGTAAATGATGTTGTTAACTAAATATGTTTCTTGATTTTTTTTTGTTCCATTGACTTTTCAGTAATTAAGAGGTGTGTTAATCTACTATGATTCTAAATTTATGTAATTCTCCCTGCCTGTTTTTGTCTTTACGTATTTGACAATATTTTATTTGGTTAATAATATTTTTATTTTATTTTATTTTATTTTATTTTATTTTTTTGACAGGCAGAGTGGACAGTGAGAGAGAGAGACAGAGAGAAAGGTCTTCCTTTGCCGTTGGTTCACCCTCCAATGGCCACCGCGGCCGGCGCGCTGCGGCCGGTGCACCGCGCTGATCCGATGGCAGGAGCCAGGAGCCAGGTGCTTTTCCTGGTCTCCCATGGGGTGCAGGGCCCAAGCACCTGGGCCATCCTCCACTGCACTCCCGGGCCACAGCAGAGAGCTGGCCTGGAAGAGGGGCAACCGGGACAGAATCCGGCGCCCGGACCGGGACTAGAACCCGGTGTGCCGGCGCCGCTAGGTGGAGGATTAGCCTAGTGAGCCGCGGCGCCGGCCCTTGGTTAATAATATTTAAGATAGGCCTAGCAACCCAATCAATTTAATGTAATCTTGTAATAACCTGCAGTTCCTATTGATATTTAACGGCTGTTCTGATACTGTCTTTCTTGATTAGAATTTGCTTTATGTCTTTTTCTGTCCATGTACCATTAACAATTCCATACTCTTAGGTCTTAAGTATTCATTTAAAAGTGGAATATAGTCAAACTCTCTTTTTTTAAATTAAATCTGACAGTCACTTTTAGTTGTCTTTTAAATGATCCATGTCTTGAGATCACACGAGCTTCTGTTGAAGTTTTTGATTCACAATGGATATCTCAAACTTGGATTCTGTCTTTTCTGGCTCTTTGAAGCCACAGTATCTAAACAGCATGTTGATAAAATAACCTGAATCTCATTGGATTTTAAATGAAGTTATTCTAACGATTTAAGTGTATTATCCAAAAGAGTATATTATGTAATAAATATTTAAAATTGAGAAAAATTGTATAAGAGCTGTCTTTATGTATTTTGTCATGAAATTGTTTCCTTATATCAGCGAGTTAACTTAAAAACCATTCTTTAAAACTTTCTGTTTTAGTCCCAGAAATCCTGGATAGAAAGCACTTTGACCAAGAGGGAATGTGTATATATCATACCAAGTTCCAAGGACCCTCACAGGTAAGCATACCTCTGTTTCCTGGGATCTTTTAGAAATATAGATATTACTTTTATATACAAAACAAATACAGACATAAATTATATCACTTTTGTATTTTATTTGTTACAAATACATTAATATATTTTTAATTAACTGCTAATTTTCATAGTTACTGCTAATTATTATTTTTAGATTGGGAGGAGACAGCATTAGCAATATATCAGTATTCTAGAATTTTTTTTTTTTTTTAAAGATTCATTTATTTGAGAGGCAGAGGTACAGAGGAAAAGAAAGAGGAGAGAGGTCTTCCATTCGCTGGTTCACCCCCCAAATGGGGGCAACGGCTGGCATTGAGCCTACCTGAAGCCAGGGGCCAGAAGCTTCTTCTGGGTTTCCCATGTGGGTGCAGAAGCCCAAAAACTTGGGCCATTTTCCACTGCTTTCCCAGTCCATTAGCAGGAAGCTAATGGATTTGAATCAGCTCCCATATGGGATGCTGGCGCTGCAGGCAGAGGTTAACCTGCCACAGTGCTAGCCCCCTGGAACTTTTTTTTTTTAAGGTTTATTTTATTTGAAAGGCATAGAAACAGACAGAGACAAAGGGAGAAATAGAGAGAGATCATTCATCTGCTTGTTCACTTCTCAAATTTCAGCGGTGGGGGGCTAGGCCAGGCTAAAGCCAAGGAGCCAGGAATTCACATATAGGTGGCAGGGTTTCAAGTACTTGGGCCATCTTCTGCTTATTTCCAGGCACATTAGCAGGGAGCTGGATTGGAAGCAAAGCAGCCAGGACTCAAACTGGTGCTCATATGGGGTGTGGGGCTTTTAGACAGCAGCATAACCCACTGTGCCCCATTGCCAAAAATTTCTTCCTGTTCCTCATCCCCCCATCTCTCAGCTCCCTCAAATCATGCTAATGTATTACAAAGACAAGGCAGTTAACACTTTTTCATTGGTTGATACTGAGAACTTAGATATTCATGTATTTGTGTATTTATTGGGCATGTGCTTGGATATAGGTCATCATTTACTGGAAAACCTAGCATCAAAGACGGTGGGGATCTTTGTCTTTAAAATGGATTTTGTGGGGCCACTGCTGTGGGGCAGTGGGTTAACGCCCTGGCCTGAAGTGCTGGCATCCCATATGGGCTCCAGTTGGAGACCCAGCTGTTCCACTTCCCATCCAGCTCTCTGCTATGGCCTGGGAAAGCAGTGGAAGATGGCTCAAGCCCTTGGGCCCCTGCACCCGTGTAGAGACCTGGAGGAAGCTCCTGGCTCCCGGCTTCGGATCGGTGCAGCTCCAGCCATTGTGGCCAATTGGGGAGTGAACCATCGGATGGAAGACCGCTCTCTCTCTCTGCCTCTTGTCTCTGCTGTGTAACTGTGACTTTCAAATAAATAAATAAATCTTTTAAAAAATAATAAAATGGCTTTGGTGATAGAAAAAAATTATAAACAGAGTATATCAACTATAATTCAAGAAAAAGTTTGCTGTGGAAAGTGTTTTCTTAAGATGTATTTTTGATAATTTACCCCCTGATGCCTACAAATAAAAAAAAAACCTTATAAGGCAAATCAAAATTATAGTTATTTTCTATTATAGAAAAATCTTTTCACAAACACTTGGGAAAAATTAACTCACAAAGACATTTGCAAGCTTTGAGTATCGTACCCATCTCCTGTCAAACCTTGTTCTCTGTTAAATAATCTTCTCTGAAACTTTTACTTTTTTTTTTTTTTTGACAGGCAGAGTTAGACAGTGAGAAAGAGAGAAAGGTTTTTCTTTTCTGTTGGTCCCTCCCCCCCCCCCCCCCCTCAACGGCTGCTGTGGCTGGCGCAGTGTGGCTGGCACACTGCACTGATCCAAAGCCAGGAGCCAAGTGCTTCTCCTGGTCTCCCATGCGGGTGCAGGGCCCAAGGACCTGGGCCATCCTCCACTGCACTCCCGGGCCACAGCAGAGAGCTGGCCTGGAAGAGGGGCAACTGGGACAGAATCTGACACCTCAACCAGGACTAGAATCTGGTGTGCCGGTGCCACAGGCGGAGGATTAGCCTGTTGAGCCGCAGCGCCGGCCACTTTTTTTTCTTTTTAAAGATTTATTTATTTATTTGAAAGTCAGAATTGGGTGGGAGAGAGAGAGAGAAAGAGAGAAATATTCAATCAACTAGTTCACTCCCCGGTAACCACAACAGCTTGCTTTGAGCCAGCCTAGATCTTCTTCCAAGTCTCCCAACTGAGTAGCAGGGTCCCAGACACTTGGGCCATCTTCTGCTGCTTTTCTCAGACCATGAGCAGGGAGCTGGATCAGAATTGGAGCAGCCAAGACGCAAAAGTATGCCCATATGGGATGCTGATATTTTAGATTTTAAGTTTTTCTTTTTACTGTCAGAAAAAAATGTTGCAGTTTTCATTTTACACATAGATGACAGATACTTGCATTTTGAACTGGAATTAGTGTGTGAGAAGGAGGAAAGAGTCTACATTTTTATTTTGATGAATATTGCCATAATGCTTCCATAGAGATGATACCAATATGTACTGCCAACAGCAGATATTACTCACTAGCATGTTGTCTTAAAGTAGTCTTTCCTACTAAAATGGATTTTCATTTGTATGTTTTTACTGTGAACTGTGTTCATATGGATTTTGTTTTATTATTAGAGCTTTAAAAATTGTTTGAATAAGCTCTTTATTAGGGAAAATAACCCTTTACAAAGGTTTTTTGGTTAGCTTGTCTCTAGATGTTATCAGGGGCAGATTTTTGCCATGAATAAAGAGTTTGTATTTTTCTGTCATTAAATCTGTTCATCTTTTTTATGTTTTCTGAACTTTATATCACTACTGATTGTATTTAAATTATGAAAACTGTAACTTTAAAAAATAGTCACTTGTATAAACCAGATTATACATGACCTAGGATTTCTACTGGAAAATTAACTGTATAATTTTTGTTTCTTACTTTTATATATATTTTATATAGTTTAATCGAAAATTTAAAAATTTCTTTGAAATAATTTTTTTACCTTTTTGTGTCTTACAGATGCCTTCCAGGATGTCAGATTTGTCAGCAGCTTGTCAGGTACATTTAACATAACTAAAGTTCATAAATTTTAAAAAATAGACTCATTAGAAGAAAAAAAATTAGACTCATTATAGGTGTCAACTTGACCTTCTGTGCCACAGCATTGGCCCACTTTTAATTTTAATGTTAAAAGAATATTACATTGATGAATAACATGCTAGTTTTAAAAATTTTTTTTAAATATTTATATATTTATTTTGGTATGGTAGTTCGCATTTTAAGAAGATTGGAACAAAAGCCAGTTAAATTGTGGAGACTTGCTTCATGTGTTACCTTCATTTCAATGAGTGTAGCCCTGTGTTTCCTCTGAAAATAGTTAACCTCATGTATTTTGTTTAATTCTGTTTTAGGAGTTTCTAACCTCCCAACATTCCCCCAGTTTTGTTGATTAGCTAGAATCATAAGACTCCGCATGTGTGGAGTTTATTAATAAGATTTAATAAGTAGTATGTTATTTGTGTTGACGTTTTTTCCTTTCCCATTTTGCTGAAATGATTGATACGATTGCATGATTTTTCTCCATTAATCTGTTGATGTAGTAAATTGAATTGAATAACTTTCTAGAATGAATTTCACTTGAAGTCAATTTTTTTTAATATACTGCTGGATTCAGTTTGCTAATATTTTGTTGAGTATTTTTGAGTTTATTCTAATGAGGGATACTGGTACTATTTTTCTTTTTTTAAAAAATCAAGCTGAGTCTCACCTCATGAAGTGAGTTAGGAAGTGTTCCCTCTTCTGTTTTCTGGAAGAGTGTAGAATTGCTATTATTTCTTCTTAAATATTTGGTAAAATTCACTAGTGAAGGCATCTGGCATTGAGTTTTCTTTGTGGAAAGGCTTATTAATGATTAATTCAACTTCCTATTTAGTTTTCCTGTTTCATCAATCTGGCTTTAGTTTTGTCAATTTTATTGATCTTCTTGATGATAGGTTTTTTTGTTTCACTGATTTTGTTATTCCTTTGTTTTTTCTCTTCTGTTTCAGTGTGTGTATGTGTGTGTGTGTGTTTGTTTAAAGATTTATTTATTTACTTGAAAGAGAGAGGCAGAGGCAGAGAGAAAGGGATGTTTTCCATCCACTGGTTCACTCCTCAAATGGATGCAATGGCCAGAGCTGCACTGATCTAAAGCCAGGAACCAGGAGCTTCTTCCGGGTCTCCCACGTGGGTGCAGGGGCCTGAGGACATGGGCCATCTTTTACTCCTTTCCAGGCCATAGCAGAGAGCAGGATTGGAAGTGGAGCAGCTGGGACTTGAACTGGCACCTATCAGGGATGTTGGTGTTGCAGATGACAGCTTTACCTGCTATGCCACAGTGCTGGTCCCTCATTGTGTTTTATTTCTTAAATTTATATTATTGTGCTGGTGCCGCTGCTCTCCAAGCTAATCCTCCCCCTGTGGCGCCGGCACCCAAGGTTCTAGTCCCGGTCAGGGCGCCGGATTCTGTCCTGGTTGCTCCTTTTCCAGTCCAGCTCTCTGCTGTGGCCCGGGAAGGCAGTGGAGGATGGCCCAGGTGCCTGGGCCCCTGCACCCACATGGAACACCAGGGAGAAGCACCTGGCTCCTGGCTTCGGATCGGCGCAGCGTGCCAGCTGTAGCGGCCACTTGGGGAGTGAACCAAAGGAAAAAGGAAGACCTTTCTCTCTCTCTCTCTCTCACTGTCTAACTCTGCCTGTCAAAAAAAATTATATTATTGAAGACAGCCCTCTGGTTTACTTGGGCCATATTCTGCTGCTTTCCCAGGCCATAGCACAGAGAGCTGGATCACAAGTTGGGCAACCGGGACTTGAATTGGCACTCCATATAGGATGCTGGCATTGCAGGAGGTAGTTTTACCCACTCACTATGCCACAGTGCCAGCCCCTGCATGGTTTTTAAACAATGCCTTCTCTCATTTTTCCCTTTGTTCTTCTGTACGTAATATAACATTGCTATTTTGACTTCTGCTTTTTTTTTTTAAAAAAAGATTTATTTATTTATTTGAAAAGAGTTGCACAGCGAGAGGAAAGGCAGAGAGAGAGGTCTTTTATCCGTTGGTTCATTCCCCAATTGGCCGCAACGGCCAGAGCTTTGCCGATCCGAAGCCAGGAGCTTCTTCCGGATCTCCCACGTGGGTGCAGGGGCCCAACCACTTGGGCCATCTTCTGCTGCCATCCCAGGCCATGGCAGAGAGCTGGGCCAGAAGTGGAGCAGTCGGTCTTAAACCAGTGCCCATATGGGATGCCAGTGCTTCAGGCCAGGGCGTTAACCTGCTGCGCCACAGCGCTGGCCACTGACTGCTGCTTTTTTTTTTTTGCCAGGCAGAGTTCGACAGAGAGAGAGAGTTATAGACAGTGAGAGAGAGAGACAGAGAGAAAGGTCTTCCTTTTCCATTGGTTCACCCCCCAAATGGCCGCTACGGCTGGCGCGCCGTGCCCATCTGAAGCCAGGAGCCAGGTGTTTCCTCTTGGTCTCCCATGTGGGTACAGGGGCCCAAGCACTTGGGCCATCCTCCACTGCCTTCCCAGGCCACAGCTGAGAGCTGGACTGGAAAAGGAGCAACCTGGACAGAATCCGGCGCCCCGACTGGGACTAGAACCCGGGGTGCCGGCGCCGCAGGCGGAGGATTAGCCAGTGAGCTGCAGCGCTGGCCCTGACTGCTGTTTTTAACATTTGTTTCATTCCTGCCAACTTTCAACAGTGTCCTAGTATGATTTTCTTGTTGTCTTTTTTTTTTTTTTTAATTTGTATGTATTAAATCTAGATAATGAATTCTAAGATTTCCCCCTCCTGTGTGTTTTTGTCTTGCTCCGTTGTGGTCCATGATGCCCGTTGAGGTTGTAGATACAGTGATATCAAACTGATGGGATGAGAGCAGATTATTCTGCCTTTTTCTAGATCTTTCAGTTGAACAACAATTCTGGGACTGATTATTCCACATTTGTTGACTTGCCTGCTCTGTGATCATCAGTAATAGTCAAATTAACAATGTCACTGTTCATCATCACAGTTAGAAAATGGACAGAGCTTTGGAGCATGGCCCCCAAGGAACCTAGTGTTTGCCTCATTTTGGCATTTTCAATGCTCTTTACTATTATTATTATTTTTAAAAATTTATTTTCTTTATTTGAGTTACAGAGAGGTAGAGACAGAGAAAGAGGTAATGTCTTCCATCTGCTGGTTCACTTCCCAGACAGCCGCAACGGCTGGAGTTGCACCGATCTGAAGCCAGGAGCCAGGAGCTTCTTCCGGGTCTCCCCTATGGGTGCAAGGGCCCAAGGACTTGGACCATCTTCTACTGCTATCCCAGGCCATAGCAGAGAGCTAGATCGGAAGAGGAGCAACCGGGACTAGAACTGGCACCTACATGGGATGCCAGCGCTTCAGGCCAGGGCATTAACCCGCTGTGACACAGAGCTGGCCTCATCTTTTTTGTTTTTTTAAACAGAAGGTTTATTTATTTATTTGAGTGGCAGAAAGATAAGGCAGGGGGAAGGAAGAGAGAGAGAGAGAGAGAGAGAGAGATGAACTCTAGCATTAACTAGTTCATTTCCTGAATGGCCACAATAGCCAGGTCTGGGCCAAACTGAAGGCAAGAGCCAAGAACTCCATCTGGGTCTCGCCTGTGGGTGGGCAATACTTGGGTTCTCTACTGCCGTCTTCCTAGGTACATTAGTAGCAGAGAGCTGGATTGGAAGCAGAGCAGCTGGGACTGGAACAGTTCTTGATATGGGATGCCTGTGTTTCAGGCAGTGGCTTAACCCTGCTGTATCTCTTTTTGCCCCTGGCTTTAGGCAACCAGTGATTGATCACCCTTTGGTCACAATATGGATTAGATTGCTTTTTCTGCATTTAGATATGTGGTATCAGATGTACTCTTTGACATCCATCTTTTTTCACTCAGGGTGATTGGTTTTGTTTTAATTTGAAAGGCAAAGTTTCAGAGAGAAAGAAAGATTTCCATTCAGTAGTTCACTCCCCTAATGGCTGCAACAGCAAGGTCTGCGCTAGGTAGAAGCCAGGAGCCAGGAATGCCATCCTGTTCTCCCCTTCCCAGGCACATTAGCAGGGAGCTTATCTGAAATAGAGTAACTGGTATTCAAACTGGCACTCTGATGTGGGATGCTAGCACCACAAGTGTCTGCTGCACCACAGTGCTGGCCCATCAGCATGATGGTTTTGAGACTTATCCATATTATTTTATCTGTTAGTGATTCATTTCTTTCTGTTGCTGAGTACTATTCTTGGTAAATAACTGTACCACATTTTGTATGCCTCATATTAATTTTAGGTGATCATGTCTTCATATTCTGATGAATTTATACCTCTTCAGTGCTGAGGTGAAGCTATTGACATCCTGAAATCAAAAAGTCAAACTACTTTCATATTCTTTGTTGGTTTATTCATTTTAATTCAGCTTTTCAATGACTAATATTTTAAAAGGTCATTTTATAATTTTTACCTTTTTCCTCTAGATGTTTTTGTGGTCGCCTGGTCAAGCAACATGCTTGTTTTACTGCAAGTCTTGCCATGAAATACTCAGATGTGAAATTGGTTGACCATTTTAATCAGGCAACAGAAGAATGGTCTGTGGAAAAGCATACAGAACAGAGCCCAACGGATGCTTATGGAGTCATAAATTTTCAAGGGGGTTCTCATTCCTACAGAGCTAAGGTATGTCACATATTCAGTTTATTTTATTTCATCTATATTGTCTAAATAATAAATATTTATTATTTAACAATGTGTATAGTAATGGGACTGTAACCTCAGCCATTACTTTGCATAAAATTATCTCTAAAAGTGCATAGAACTATAGCATTATTGTATCATTTTGGTGGATTGAACCTTCTGTCATTATGTCTTGTATTTCTTGTCATTTTTCTTAAGGCTGCTTTTTTCCCCAAAATCTACATAGCTAAATCTTTATTTCTTTTCACTTTTAACCTTATATTAAGAGGTATTTTTTAACAGTTTATTATTATTATTTTTAACAGTTAATCTATATTTTTCAGTTTAAACATCATTGTCTTATGATCTGTCTCACTGCTTTTCTTTTTTCTGTTTTCTTGTATTTTGGAATTTTTTATGATTTCCATTTTTTTAAATAATTTTTAAAATCATTTTTAAAAATATTCTTTAATTTTTAGAGTAGTTTTATAAGGTAAAAAAATGCATGTTTTACCTTATTAGTATTTGTTCTAAGTAATACTTTTGGCACTTCCTGGGTAATGCAAGATTACTAGAATATTTTTAACTGAAATTATGTCCCTTGTGAATTTTGTGCTTTTGTTGGCATGAATTTTAATTCTTTCTATTTTAAAAAATATTTATTTATTGAGTGAGAGAGATAGGTAGGCAGAGAGGACACCCCATTGGCTGGTCTATTCCCCAAATACCTACAGTGGCTAGTGCTTGGCCAAGCTGAAGCCAGGAGCCAGGAATTCAGTCCAGGTCTCCTAATTGGGTGGTAGGAATTGAGCTACTTGAGCCATCACGTGCTATCATCCCATATGTGTAACAGGAAGTTGGAACTGGGAGCAGAGCCAGTTCCTGAATCCAGGCACTACAGTGTGTGATGTCAGAATCTCAACTGACTTCTTTTTTGTTTGTTTTTTAAAGATTTATTTATTTGAGAAAGAATGAGACAGATCTTCCATTCGGTGGCTTACTTCTCAAATAGCCACAACAGCTGAGGCTGGATCAGGCCGAAGCTAAGTGCCTAGAACTCCATCTGAGTCTCCCCAGTGAGTTGCAGGGACCCAAGAACTTGAGCCATTTTCTACTGCTTTAGCAGGGAGCTCCATCAGAAGTGGTACATCCAGGACTTCAACTGTTGCTCATAGTAGTTGCCGATTTCACAAGTGATGACTTTACCCAGTGTACCATGATGCCGGCCCCTAAGAATATCTTTGATTTTACTGCATAGTCACAGTTTTATAAATGGACAAACTTGAAACAATTTAATATTTGCTTCTCTTTGTTGCAAGTATTAGATGTCTCCTTTTTTTCACAATTCTTCTCTCTCTTTCCTTTTCCCATCATTTTAGCCAGTCTTCATGCTTCTTATTGTATATTCATAGTTAAATAAGGCAGTGAATATTGTGGATAAGTTTATAAATTTAGTTAATGGTAATTGAATATAAATAGGCATAGTAACACACATCTTAATGCTAAAAAATGGGAGTACCATTACTACCGTAGTGCTCAAAGAATGAGTTTTCCAACTTTAAAATCATTTGCTATTGCTTATTCTTAGGAATGTAAATAACGTTGAAAATAGTCTGTGAAAATTATTTTTGTATTGTCTGACTCAAAATTTTTCTTAAATCATATAATGTTACATTTTGAAACCTTTGAGCATGGTCAGTTATTTTGTCCTTTCAAAATATTCTTTAGTATGTGAGGCTATCATACGACACAAAACCTGAAATCATTCTACAACTTCTGCTTAAAGAATGGCAAATGGAATTACCAAAACTGGTTATCTCTGTACATGGAGGCATGCAGAAATTTGAGCTACATCCTCGAATCAAGCAGTTGCTTGGAAAAGGCCTTATTAAAGCTGCAGTTACAACGGGAGCCTGGATTTTAACTGGAGGAGTCAACACAGGTAAGTGTGATGAATAAATCAATTTTGTTTAGTGTGTCTATAAATTTTTTATAGTAACAATTAGATGTTTAAAATAGTAGTCATTACAGATACAAGTATATTTGGGTCTCCTTTTAAATAATCTATAGTTGCTTGGTAAAAATGATAACTGTAAATCTGGTTGTCATTTGGGCTTTAAGAATATAGTATACTTCAGGGAATGGCTTGCTAAATTCCATGCATCAAATACCGTTTCATCACTGTTTTTGTGAATAAAAATTAAATGGGAAACAGCCACACTCGTTTGTTTGTTTGCGGTTACTTTTGTGCTATAGCAGCAGAAATGAATAGTCATGAGAGAGACTGGCAAATACTTTTCAAAGCCTGAAATTTTTAGTTCTTGGGCCATTAAAAGAAATGTTTGTTGACCTTACTGTAACATATTAATTCTTATATTCTGACTGTAGGCAAATTGATAGAAGAATTCTAATCCATTGCCTCAACAGTGGTAAAAAGTAATGTTCAAAAATTTTTAATGTGCTGTCACCTTTCATGCCAGTTGTTCCCTATTACGTATGTAGGTTGAGTATCAAGAGGGCAGATTAATTCTAATGTTTAAAGCAAATCATAGTTACTTGCTTAAATCAGCTTGTAAACATTTGATTATCAAAAACTGTTTTTTAACCTCATGTATGTCACACATTCATTGAGGTACTAAGGTTATATCATTACATAAAACAAACAAGATATTTACCTTCATGGAACTTACATGAGAGGGTTTCAAAATCTTGTACGAAAGTGGGATTAAAAGATAAAAATTAAAAATACAAGCTTGGGGCTGGCGCTATGGCATAGTAGGCTAATCCTCTGCCTGTGGCACCAGTGTCTCTTATAGGCACCATGTTGTGTTCCAGCTGCTCCTCTTCTGCTCAAGCTCTCTGCTTATGGCCTGGGAAAACAGTAGAAGATGGCCCAAGTCCTTGGGTCCCTGTATCCACATGGGACACCCAGAAGAAACTCCTGGCTCCTGGCTTTGGATTGACCCAGCTCTGGCTGTAGTGGTCATTTAGGGAGGGAACCAGCTGATGGAAGACTTTTCTCTTTGTCTCTCCCTCTTTCTCTCTGTATCTCTGTCTCTCAAATAAATAAACAAAATCTAAAAAACAAACAAGCTTTATTTCTCAACATAATGTCTATCAGATTCAATACACTTTGGTATGGAGTGATACTAGCCATTTAATTCATATCCAAAGAAATTAACGTTCTGAGAATTTACCATGTCACTACAGGGGTTTGTTTTTATTAACTTTTGAAAAATGCCTGCCCTCTAAAGATTTTTTTTTTTTTTTTTGACAGGCAGAGTAGACAGACAGAGAGAAAGGTCTTCCTTTACCGTTGGTTCACCCCCTAATGGCCGCCGCGGCCTGCGTACCACGTTGATCCGAAGCCAGGAGCCAGGTGCTTCTCCTGGTCTCCCATGCGGGTGCAGGGCCCAAGGACTTGGGCCATCCTCCACTGCCTTCCTGGGCCACAGCAGAGAGCTGGCCTGGAAAAGGGGCAACCGGGACAGAATCTGGTGCCCCGACCGGGTCTAGAACCCAGTGTGCTGGCACCGTAGGTGGAGGATTAGCCTATTGAGCCACGGCGCTGGTAAAGATTTTTTTTTTAAAAGATTGATTTATTTGAAAGGCCAGGTTACAGAGAGGCATATCCATGCTGTACACACTACTCATCCATTAGTCACGTACCCATTTTAATTATCAGATCTGTCAGATGAACTATCTCAGTATTGCAGTATTTGAATTTAAGGTTTTCAGGCATCTACTGGGGCTTTTGAGAATGTATCCCTCACAGATAAGGGGGATATGTTCTTTGGAATTGTCTTTTTCTTCCCTCTTTTTTAATTTTACCATGGAACTTTTATAGTTGTTTGTTTTATGTGTGTGTGTGTGTGTGTGTGTTTATTGGTTATATGCCATTAAGCTATAGTTCTAAAAGATGCATAGAGGCCTGCGCCGCGGCTCACTAGGCTAATCCTCCGCCTGCGGCGCCGGTACTCCAGGTTCTAGTCCTGACTGGGGTGCCGGATTCTGTCCCGGTTGCTCCTCTTCCAGTCCAGCTCTCTGCTGTGGCCCGGGAGGGCAATGGATGATGGCCCAAGGACTTGGGCCCTGCACCCGCATGGGAGACCAGGAGGGAAGTACCTGGCTCCTGGCTTTGGATTGGTGCAGCGTACCAGCCGTAGTTTCCATTTTTGGGGGATGAATCAACGAAAGGAAGACCTTTCTCTCTCTTTCTCTCACTGTCTAACTCTGCCTGTCAAAATAAATAAGTAAGTAAAAGATGCATAGAGCAGTAACAAAAAACTACTGTTAGAAAGGACTAAGCTTTGGGACCTGCATTGTAGTGCTGGCATTCCAAGTGGGTGTTGATTGGAGTCCCGGCTGCTTCGCTTCCTATCCAGCTCTCTGGTGTGGCCTGGGAAAGCAGTGGAAGATGGACCAAATCCTTGGCCATCCACGTGGGGTACCTCCATGGGACACCCGGAAGAAGCTCCTGGCTCCTGGTTGTTATCTGCCCAGTTTCAGCTGTTGCGGCCATTTGGGGAATGACCCAGCAGGTAGAGGACCCCCCAGCCCCTGCCTCTCTGTAACTCTGCCTTTCTAGTAAATAAATAAATAAATCTTTGAATTTGAAAGGCAGAGTTACAGAGAGGCAGAGAGAGAGAGAGAGTGGTCCTCCATCTGCTGGTTCACTTCCCAGATGGCCACATGGCTGGAGCTGCGGCCGATCCAAAGTCAGGAGCCAGGAGCTTCTTCTGGGTCTCCCACGTGGATGTGGAGGCCCAAGGACTTGGGCCATCTTCCGCTGCTTTCCCAGGACATAGCTGAGAACTGGATCAGAAGTGGAGTACATGGGACTCAAGATGGTGTCCATATGGGATCGTGGCACTGAAGACGGTGACTTTACTCTGTATTCCACAATGCTGACCCCAATATATTAAAAAAGAAAAGAGAAGAAAAGGACTAAGTTTAACAGCATGATAAAAGTTAGTTTTACATATATTTTAGGCTGTTTTGATCTGATATTGTGGGGTTTGTTTCATTTTTATTTTTTGGTCCACATATATTTGTAAATTCGGCTTTGGACTTGTGCCTTATAAGAAATATATCACAATTTGTACTTCTTACATATTAAGTATGTAATTGTTCTGAACCCTATAAAGACTTTAAGTAAATGAATAAAATTTTTATCTGAACAGGTGTGGCAAAACATGTTGGTGATGCACTTAAAGAACATGCTTCCAGATCATCTCGAAAGATTTGCACTATTGGAATAGCTCCATGGGGAGTGATTGAAAACAGAAATGATCTTGTTGGGAGAGATGTAAGAGTGATTTTGAAAGTTTCGTATCTTTGAATTATATATTTTGTTTATATATAAACAAAATTATAACAAGAACAGTGCAAGTAAACTTAAAATATTCATGATAGGCCGGCACCACAGCTCACTAGGCTAATCCTCCGCCTTGCGGCGCTGGTACACTGGGTTCTAGTCCCGGTCGGGGCGCTGGATTCTGTCCCGGTTACCCCTCTTCCAGGCCAGCTCTCTGCTGTGGCCAGGGAGTGCAGTGGAGGATGGCCCAAGTGCTTGGGCCCTGCACCCCATGGGAGACCAGGATAAGTACCTGGCTCCTGCCATCGGATCAGCATGGTGCGCTGGCCGCAGCTTGCCAGCCGCGGCAGCCATTGGAGGGTGAACCAACGGCAAAGGAAGACCTTTCTCTCTGTCTCTCTCTTTCTCACTGTCCACTCTGCCTGTCAAAAAAAAAAAAAAATCATGATAATACCATACTTTTCAAATTAAGTTTAAAAATATTTTTCAGTGGTTTCTTCTGCTCCTTTAGAAAACATATTCATAAATGTTAAATGATTGCTGTTAAGGTATTGGTACATTTTGGTTCCCTTTTTTAAGTATAACATTATTTCACATTTTCTATATCATTCCAGTCTTTGTAATTAAATTTTTAATAACTTCATGACATTAAGAATTAATTTAATGGGACTGGTGGTGTGGTGGATCCCAGAAAGATGCCTGGATCCCAGGCATCTTATATGGGCACCAATTTGAGTCCTGGCTGCTCCTCTTCCCTGCTGTTGTGTCTGGGAAAGCAGTGGAGTATGGTCAGGTGCTTGGTCCCCTGCACCTATGTAGGAGACCCAGAAGCTCTGGACTCTCGGCTTCAGCCTTTCCCAGCCCTGGCCATTTCGGCCTTTTGGGGAGTGGATCAGTAGATAGAATACCTCTCTCTCTGTTCTCCCTCTATGTGTCTGTAAATCTGCCTTTCAAAATGAATAAAATAAAGCTTTTAAGAAAAATAATAAGAATTAATCTTGGTGTCATAAAGTAGGAATCAAATGCAAGTAATTTGAATGGGTTTTTAAAGTCATGTTAAGTGGTTTATGGATATTTGTCAAGAGACTACTGACAGGGCTGCCACTGTGGCATAGGGTACTAAGCCGCTGTCTGCAGCACTGGCATTCTTTATGGACATCTGTTGGAGTCCTGGCTGCTTCACTTCTGATCTAGCTCTCTGTTGATGCACCTGGGAAAGCAGCGGAAGATGCACCTGTGTGGGAGACCTGGATGAAGCTACTGGCTCCTGGCTTCGGCCTGGCCCATCACTGGTCATTGCAGCTTGGGGAATGACCCAGTGGATAGAAGATATCTCTCTCTCTCTCTCTGGCCCTCTTGCTGTAACTCTGACTTTCAAATAAATAAATAAGTCTTTAAAAATAAAAGACACTATTGACTATTAAAAAGGAATTACTCAATAATCACCTTCAAGTTATTAAATTTCAAATATAATCTTAAGGATTCTGTTTAGTGTTAAGAAAAGGAGATGGCCGGTGCCGCGGCTCAATAGGCTAATCCTCCACCTTGCGGCGCCGGCACACCGGGTTCTAGTCCCGGTCGGGGCACTGGATTCTGTCCCGCTTGCCCCTCTTCCAGGCCAGCTCTCTGCTGTGGCCCGGGAGTGCAGTGGAGGATGGCCCAAGTGCTTGGGCCCTGCACCCGCATGGGAGACCAGGAGAAGCACCTGGCTCCTGGCTTTGGATCAGTGCCGTGCGCCGGCCACAGCAGCCATTAGAGGGTGAACCAACAGCAAAGGAAGACCTTTCTCTCTGTCTGTCTCTCTCACTGTCCACTCTGCCTGTCGGAAAAAAAAAAAAAAAGGAGATGATGTAATTTATTGGTTTTTCTTAAAGTCCTTTATATGTTACAGTTTTTCTCTTTTAATAACTTAATAAACTAATAAGAGTTTCTACTTTATTTATTTATATTGTTTTCTTCCTTTGTGTGTGTGTGTTTTTTTTTTTTTTTTTTTTTTTTTTTTTTTTTTTTTTTTTTTTGACAGGCAGAGTGGACAGTGAGAGAGAGAGACAGAGAGAAAAGTCTTCCTTTGCCGTTGGTTCACCCTCCAATGGCCGCCGCGGCCGGTGCGCTGCGGCTGGCGCACCACGCTGACCTGATGGCAGGAGCCAGGAGCCAGGTGGCTTTTCCTGGTCTCCCATGGGGTGCAGGGCCCAAGCACCTGGGCCATCCTCCACTGCACTCCCTGGCCACAGCAGAGGGCTGGCCTGGAAGAGGGGCAACCGGGACAGAATCCGGCGCCCCGACTGGGACTAGAACCCGGTGTGCTGGCGCCACTAGGTGGAGGATTAGCCTAGTGAGCCGCGGCGCCAGCCTGTGTGTGGTTATTAAATACAGTATTATGTTTCAGGATCAAGATACAGTTGTGGTTCAATTCATTGTTTAATCTTCAACTACTCAAAAACTTATGCTTCTTGATACATTCTTTGTTCTTTTCTGTTTCTATATATAAAACAGAATTTTAATTCATCATTATTTCAAAATTTATTTTATATTATTCTGTGTTGTATTTAATCCTACCCACTAACTCTTAATGTTTGCTGTTATTTAGGTCGTTGCTCCTTATCAAACCTTACTGAACCCCCTGAGCAAACTGAATGTTCTGAATAATCTCCATTCCCATTTTATATTGGTGGATGATGGCACTGTTGGAAAGTATGGGGCAGAAGTGAAACTGAGAAGAGAACTTGAAAAAACTATTAATCAGCAAAGAATCCATGCTAGTAAGGGCATCCACAAATTTATTATTGTTCAATTCATTCTGGGCTGTATTGATAGACATTGATTACTTGGCATCTCTAGAAAGGAAGAACGTTCTTTAAAGTACTTTTTTCCTTACACAGCAAGATAATATATGAAACAACCAAAAATGGCTGATCTAAGACAAAATACTAAGACCTAGGAAAAGAAGTCCCAGGTCAAATAGGGTACTCAGGTATGAAGAACAAACCAAGAAGATAGATTCTGTTGCTATTGTAGTCCAAGGAATTCACAGATGTTTACAATATATGATGTATTCCAGTACATGACTTTGAAATTCAAGGTTGAAAATAAAGGGGGAAAGAATCACTTTATTATAAAATAGGAATCAGCTTGCTTGAGGTTTTCTTTAGTCTTTCCTTCTTTCTCCCCTCTCCTTCCCTCTCTCTTTCTTTCTTTTTTATAAAATGAACAGATTTTGCTCTTTGGCAGATGTGTTTTAAAAGTTGGTATTCTGGGACTGGTGCTGTGGCATACTGAGTAAGCTAAGTCTCTGCCTGGGATGTTGGCATCCCATATGGGCGCCCTTTCGGCTTGTGTTCTGGCTGCTCCTATTCTGATCCAGCTCTCTGTTATGGTCTGGGAAAGCAGTAGAAGATGGCCCCAGTGCTTGGGCCCCTGCACCCATGTGGGAGACCCAGAAAAAGCTCCTAGCTTCGAATAGGTACAGCTCTGGTCATTGGTAGCCATTGGGGGAGTGAACTAGTGGATGGAAGACCTTTCTGTCTGTCTTTCTCACTGTCTCTAACTCTCTACCTGTCAAAAAAAAAAAAAAAAAAAAAAAAAGTTAGTATTTTAAGACTGATTTTTCTTTCCAACCATGGCTGAACTTTCTGGTTCAACATCTCGATTTTGTTTTGAATAGAAGAAATTTTGTAACCTTAAGACACCAAGAAGGTAAACACAGTGACAAAATGAAATAGATTGTGGTGGAGTCAGTGCATTTGCTAAAAATTAAGGACATTTTAAAATCCTACAGTTAACATTTTGCAGATTTTTCATTGCACTTCAGGTTATCGTAAAAACAAAAATTGCTATTCTCCACTGCACTTTTTCCATTACTCAGGTAGAAATCTTATTATTTTCTTCATTTGTTCCTTTTAGGTAATTTTGACTACAATTTATGTAATAATGTCTCACTCATTTGTAGTCGGAAATAAAGATTTAACAAACAAAAGTAAATGTATTAGAAGTGCAACTAATGCAATATTAAAAAATAAAACTATGATACATATTAGTGTTACATATTTATTGTCAAGAGCTCAATTAGTAGGCATGTGTTGGCACAGTAGGTTAAGTTGCTGGTTGGGATGCCTGCCTCCCAGGATTGGAGGTCTTGGGATCAATTCCACTTCCACTTTGGATCCTGCTTCCTGCTTATGTGTCTGGGAGGCAGCAGATGATGACCTAGATACTTGGATTCTTGCCACCCATGTGGGAGATCTGCATGGAATCCTGGATTCCTGTACTCAGCTTGGTGGAGCCCTTTAGATCTCTCTCTTTCTCTCTGCCTTCACCCTGACCTTTCATATAAATAAATAAATAAATATTTTTAAAGAAAGATTTCAATTAGTAGAATAAATAATAATATTTATTTAGCAATGAATACATAAATTCTTTGTGTACTAAGTTATATGTTGGATTTTCTAATTTTGTCATTTAGAATAGACTTGATTAGTGACAGTAATTTGTTCAATGCTTAATTTATTTACATGAGATTGGTATTATGTTGAGTGCTTAAAATGAAGTCTGTCCAGTCTCGTAAGAAATTCTGCTTTGCATTTCAGTTTAAATTTTCTTATTTACTAAGAAATAAGATTAAGTTCCTGAATTGTGTCTGATTTTTATTTTTTAATTGAACTTTTATGTGTGTGTGTGTGTGTGTTTTTTTGAAAGGAATTGGCCAAGGTGTCCCTGTAGTGGCACTTGTATTTGAAGGTGGGCCTAATGTTATCCTCACAGTTCTAGAATACCTTCAAGAGAGTCCCCCTGTTCCAGTAGTTGTATGTGAAGGAACAGGCAGAGCTGCAGATCTGCTAGCATACATTCATAAGCAAACAGAAGAAGGAGGGTAAGTGAATGAGTATAACAAATTTTTATTAACTTTATTAAAGAGGCTGTGGTTTTTAGAATATTGGATTCCTTTCATTGTTTATGAACATGAACATTACACTTTTAGTATGATACTTGATTAAAGCTTGAGGAACCAGTCTGTCTCATATATTATTGAAATGAATTAAAATATAGTGTAGCCATCTTTTTGGTAGACTGTGTTTCATAAGATCCATCAGGTGGTTTGTCTTTAGACCTAGAAGTCTAGAGACCTGCACCTTTGAGATAACGTGTATAGTTACTTGTTGCAGGGTTGTTTGTAAACAGAAGTGGACTAAATAAATAAATCATGATTTATGTACACAATGGCATAGTTTATAGCAGAGTAAAGATACCTGTATACTACATTTGGGAAAATCACCAAAATATGCACATGGGAAAAAGACATAGAAGGGCATGTATATTGTATCACTTTTTATGTAGAGAAAAGGAAGAGGGGATAATTATTGTATAAATAGAAAAAGATCTTGGAAAGTTACATAAACTGGAGCCAGTGTTATACAGTGGGTTAAGTTGCCACCTGCAATGCTGGCATCCTGTATGGGCACTGATTTGAGTCCTGGCTGCTCCATATCCAATCTACTTCCCTGCTAATATAACTGGGAAAGCACCAGAAGATGGCCCAAATCTCTGGATGCCTGCATCCATGATGAAGCTCCTGGCTTCGTCCTGGCCCTGCACTGGCTGTTGTGGCCATCTAGGGAGTAAACCAGTAGATGGAAGCTCACTTTCTAACTCTGCCTTTCAAATAAATAAAATAAATTTTAAAAAATTATACAAGCTAGTAGTGATTCCTGAAAACAGTTGAAATGGAACTGGGAAGATGAAAGATTGTGGGACGAAGACTTTCATTAAGTATTTATGTATTTTGTTATTTTCTGTATTGTGAGCCATGTAAGTGTATTGCCTGTTTGCAGAAAGACAAATATGAATGTGGTTATGTTTAAGACATTTGGTAAAACATTGCTTTATATATCATAATATCTTAAAATTATCTTTATATAATATTTATAAAAATGTGAATTCTAGTAACATACACTATGTAAAAAGACTCATGAAGTAATTCAAAGAAAAAAACTGTCCACTCTGTTTTTTTTCTCCTGAGACTTATAGTGGGAGTCTCATGAAGGAGAAAATAATTCTATACAAGTTTAAGTATTTAATATTAATACAGTATGAGTATTTCCAGAGGTCTTACATGGATCCACTTATACTTCTTGTAGATCCTACAAAATAATAGAAGATGAAATTAGTAAATTGAGTTGTTTCTTCTTATTCCAGAAATCTTCCTGATGCTGCAGAGCCTGATATTATTTCAACCATCAAAAAAACATTCAACTTTGGTCAGAGTGAAGCAGTTCATTTATTTCAAACACTGATGGAGTGCATGAAAAAAAAGGAGCTTGTAAGTGGATTCGAGCAGAACAAGCCTCTTAATTTCTTTCAAAGCATATTCTGAATTGGTGAAATACTTTTGTTTTTAATTTTCATTTTACATTTTAAAATCTTTCTAAACCATTTAAAGATAACGTTTATTGGCCTTAAGCTGAAAGGTGTCACTACAGGATGGCTGTATGTTTTATGTATCAGACAATATATTTGCACTTCTGTATTAGGAAGTTTCATAAGTATATCTCGATAGATTATATCCAGTGTCTAGGAAGAACTGTGAGTTTTTAATGGCTTCTCTAAAAAAAAATTTGGAGAAAAATTCTAAACAGTTTTACTCTAAGTTCTAAGCCTACTGAATGAAAGATCAGTGCAAATTACTTCCATTCATGCAAATATGGGGTTGATTTTAAAAATAAAGTTTTTAAAGTTTGATAAATAGATGATGATCTCATTTGATTTGAAGTTGTCTTTCATTGCAAGTTTTTGAACTGCAAGGTGAAGGAATGGCAGGATTTACTATGATAAGTAATCCATCGCTTCTGCTCGTAAGTTGCTTACTCTAGCAAAGGATGTAATATAGGTCAAAAAAGAAGATGATATGGAAACAGGCTTTGTGGTGCAGCAGGTTAGCCACTTAGTTATGACTCTGGCATCTCATATCAGAGGGCCAGTTAGGATCCTGGCTGGTTTTTTTTTTTTTTTTTTAAGATGTTTACTTATTTATTTGAGAGGTAGAGTTACAGACAGAGGGAAAGGCAGAGAGAGAGAAAAGTCTTCCATCGCTGGTTAACTCCTCAGATGGCTGGCTGGATCAGCTGCAGCTGAGCTGATCCAAAGCCAGGAGTCAGGAGTTTCTTCTGGGTCTCCCACGTGGGTGTAAGGTCCCAAGCACTTAGGCCATCTTCCACTGCTTTACCAGGCGATAGCAGAAAGCTGGATTGGAAGAGAAGCAGCTGGGACTCGAACCGGCGCCCATATGGGATCCCAGTGCCACAGGCGGAGGCTTAACCCACTATACCACAGCGTCAGCCCACTGCTTCATTTCTGATTCAGTTTCCTGCTAATGTGTCAGAGAAGGCAATGAAAGATATCCCAAATACTTGTGTCCCTGCTACCCATGTGGGAGAACAGGGTAGAATTCCTGGCTTTAACCTAGCCCAAACCTAGTTGTTACAACCATTTGGGTAGTAAACCAACAGATGGAAGATGTCTCTCTCTGTCACTCTTCCTTTCAAATAGGTAAATAAATAAATCTTTTATAAATATAATATGAAACCAAATACTATGAGTATACTTGTTATTTTGTAAATGATAATGTTTTTTAATTTTCTGTTTTTTTTGGAAAATTGTTTTGAAGCTTTCTGCCCCTTGCCCTGCAATATACATATATTTTTTTCTCCTGTGTAGTGTAAAGTTACTTTCTATTTTATGATGCTTTTGCTTTGAAAATATAAAAGTATAATATTGCAAATTAATTTTTAAATAGATCACTGTTTTCCACATTGGATCAGAGGAACATCAAGATATAGATGTAGCAATACTTACTGCATTGCTAAAAGGTACTCTTTAATTTATGGCGTATTCATATAAGCTATGACCTTTTAATTTGGCTAGATGCTTGGAAAGTGAGATTTTCAATAATTTTTCTTTGTGAAAGACTGTTGGTTTTCATTGGTAGTACTTAGCTTTTTATCTTGTATATATTTAAAAATGTACAGCAAGGTAGGTTTATGTGAACAAATTCATGTAATTATCCTATTAAGATTCTTAGTTGGCCCTAAAATAAGTGTTTGAAAGTAATAATGTATTACGTGATACAAATTAAAGATGGATTAGTAAGTGTAGTCTTCGTTTTGAAGGTAACGTTTGAAAATTTGTGGTGTCTTACAGAACTAAGGGATTGATACACATGTACATTGAACTGTTTTCCTCTCAATATCTTAGCAAAGACATCCAACTAATACAACAATAAATTGCCAATACATCAAGCATTTAAAAAGTATATTTACATAATTGTATTGCGATCAAGAGATAAATAATAGAAAACACAAATTATAAAAAAAATCCCTAAATCTGTACCTATGAAATTTGTATTCATTAAATAAAAGCTTCCTCAAAAAAACAAAAAAAGATCAGTAAATGAGATTTTATAAAGATAAAAAAACTAGGTCTGTGCTTTGGTATAGCAGGTAAAGCCACCTCCTGCAGTGCTGGCATCCCTTACAGGCGCCAGTTCAATTCCCTGTTGCTCTGCTTCCGATCCAGCTCTCTGCTATGGCCTGAGAAGGCAGTGGAAGATCGCCCAAGTCTTTGGGCCCCTGTACCCACTTGGGAGACCTGGAAGAAGCTTCTGGCTCCTGGCTTCCGATCAGCTCAGCTCTGGTTGTTGCGGTCATTTGGGGAGTGAACCAGCAGATGGAAGACTTCCCTCTCTCTCTTCCTCTGCCTCTCTGTAACTCTGCCTTTCAAATAAACAAATAAATCTTAAAAAAAAAGATAAAAGAAAGCCCCCTATACATGTAATATTTGCTACAAGCCACTGTGCCTAAGTGGTTTTTATTGGTTATCTCATTTTACCTCTACAGTATGCTGAAGAGGCAGATTTCCTCTTATTTTCTTCATTTTATAGGTGAAGGGGACAGATATGTTAAAGTGGAGCTATTATCAATTAATAAGAAAAAGATGAATATCTCATGAAAAAAGGGGTCAGAATATATGTAAAAGATGTCAGCCAAAGAATGCAAATCTTGGGCGAAGGTGGGAAAATGATTAATTTTATGATAAAAATGTAAAATAAATAAAAAAAAGATTTTTCCCTTCTACTGGCATATGGAGAAATGGGTAGTCTTATGGGTAAATTGTGACTTACCTTTAAAAGGTATCAATATATATATGAGTGTGAGGTAGATCTAAATATACTGTTAAGGAAAACTAGGGTATGATGTTAAGGTACATAAAAGCAGGCTGCCGAACACTTTGTGCAGTATAATCTTGTTTTTGGATAGATAATTTAAAGTATATAAATGAGTTTATAAGTGTACAGAAAAGCATCTATACAGGATATGTTTCAGAATCATTATAGTCAGTGCTGTATCTGTGATAGAAATTGATGATGCTTGTTCTTTGTTTATATTTTTCTTCATTCTTAGTTGTTTGCAATGAATGAGATTGTATCGCTTTTGTACTTAGAAAATGAAATTCTTCAACTCTAGGGTTTTCTAATCTCTCTGAGGCAGGCTTCTGAATGGAGGCTAAGCCAGCTGTATAAATAAAAGTATGGTGGCAAGATTTCATGTGTTCATATATTAGTGGAAATACATTAATTGAACTTGGAAACTCTTCTCTTTATTTGATTAGGTACTAATGCATCTGCATTTGACCAGCTTATCCTTACATTGGCATGGGATAGAGTTGACATTGCCAAAAATCATGTATTTGTTTATGGACAACAGTGGCTGGTAAGTAAAAATAATCTATATGTACAGTACAGTTGGTGTTTATTTGTAGGTTCTGTATCCATTGATTCACCCATCCTTGGATTGTGTGCTACATAGGTAGGCTCGTGATTGTTTCCATTGTACTGAATGTGTACAGACTATTATTTCTGCTACTATTCCCTAAATAATAAAGTATAGGTGCCAGCACTGTGGCGTAGCAGGTAAAGCCACCGCCTGCAGTGCTAGCATCCCATATAGGTGCTGGTTCAAGTCCCAGCTGCTCCACTTCCAGTCCGGCTCTCTGTTATGGCCTGGGAAAGCAATAGAAGATGGCCCAACTCCTTGGGCTCCTGCACCCACGTGGGAGACCTGGAGGAAGCTCCTGGCTCCTGGCTTTGGATCGGCCCAGCTCTGGCCATTACAGCCAATTGAGGAGTGAATCAGCAGATGGAAGCCTTCTCTCTCTCTGCCTCTGCCTCTCTGTAACTCTGACTTTCAAATAAATAAATAAATTTTTTTAAAAAAGTAATATAGTATAACAACAATTTATATAGTATTTGTATTTATAAGATGTTATAAGTAATTTGGAGATGCTTGGAAGTATACAGGAAGATATATGTAGATTATATGTAGATACTACACCATTTTACATATTAGGGACTTGAACAACTGTGGATCTTGGTTTCCAAAGAAGTGTCCTGGAACTAATATTCCCATGGATACTGAATGATGATTATGATAACAAAATATTTTTTGGAATTTTGTGCTAATCTGCCATTTTACTTTTCTGCTGAAAGTGCAAAATGAGTTTAGCCAAACATTTCCACAATATTCAGCTCCATTTAGGATTTAATAAATTATATCTGCATCTTGATAAAACCTTTCTTTTAAAAACAAGGTATATAAAAGGCCACAGTTGTGGTGTAGTAGGTTAAGTTGCCACATGCAATGCTGGCATCCCATATGGGCGCCAGTTTGAATTCTGGCTGCTCTACTTCTTTTTTTTTTTTTCCTGAAATTTTTTTAATTTACTTGAGAGGTAGAACTAGAGGCAGAGAGAAAGGTCCTCTGTCCACTAGTTCACTCTCCAAATGGCCGGAGTTGGGCTGATCCAGAGTCAGGAGCCAGGAGCAGGTGCAAGGGCCCAAGCAGGTACAAGGGCCCAAGCACTTGAGCCATCTTCTGTTGCTTTCCCAGGGCTTAACAGAGAACTGGATCAGAAGAGGAGAAGCCAGGACATCTACCAGTGCCCATATAGGATGCTGGTGCTGCAGGTGGAGGTTTAGCCCACTATGCCACAGCACCGGCCCTGTTCCTCTTCTGATCCAGCTCCCTGGTAATGGCCTGGGAAAAGCAGTGGAAGGTGGCCCAAGTCCTTGGGCTCCTGACTCCTGTATGGGAGACCTGGAAGAAGCTCTTGGCTTCTGGTTCAGCCTGGCCCAGCCCTGGCTGTTGGCGGCCATTTGGGGCGTGAACAAACAGATGGAAAATCCCTGTCTCCCTTTTTTTTCATTCTCTCTGCCTGTAACTCTGCCTTTCAAATAAATAAATATTTAAAAAATAAATAAGGTGTATAAATCTGTCAAAATCCTGGAATTGAAAGAGACCTTGGGACTCTGTGTACAGATTTCATTCCCCTGGATGTTTGACCCATTCCTGTGGCAATTTTCCCTCTCCTACTCAATGGGAACAACATCTTCACAGTTTTTGATGTGAGAGGAGTTAATGTCATATTTTACTTTTCTTTTTTCATATATTCCAGTCTGATTTCATCTGTAAGTCTTCCCTTTTACTATACCTAATCTTAACATCCTGATCTGATCTGTCATCCCTCTTCCTTTGTGTTACTTAAGTAGCATTCTTTCTGTTTTTACTATTCTCAATCTTTCCTTTTCCAGACAGAAGATGGATCACTTCACATTTACTCAGTGCACAGTCTATAACCCTTAGTTCTCTTTCACCTGGCCTTGTTGGCCTTCTTGCTTTTTTTGAAATTCTCAAGCACACACTTAATCTGTCAACTTTTCATTTTACTGTTCTCTGTCTACAAGCCTTACCCACCTATCTGCCTGGATTTACTTCCTTATCTCTCTGGCCTATAGCCAACTGTCTCCTCTTTGCTCCATTTTAATAGCACCCTCCTTTTTCAGCATTTCCTTTGTTTCTCCCTGTCGTGTCATTTTGTTTTTCACTAGCAGTTATCACCACTTGACGAACTATATAATATAGCTATTTATTACTTACCTTTCTACTAACAGGAAGTAAATTTTATATAAGCAATAAATTTTCAGTTTTGTTTACTGCTGTAATCATAACCTGGTATGTATTAAGCAGTTGTTAAATTTTTGTAGCTGTCTCAATCCATAGAGGTTGGGTAAATAAAATGTTCATCTGTACCTTGGAGTTATACCAGCCTTTATAAAGGATGAGCTAGATTTTTTTCTGTTCCATAATAAATGTAAATTGCAGATTGCTGAGAAGAATGCATACTATGATCATAGTGGTGGCAAATTCTCTATAAACATGTGCATGTCTACATGTACTATGTGGAGATAGCACCTTCCTAGAACATTTTTTTTTTAAATTTTGGTTTATTTTTAGTTCACTAGAACCTTATGCATTCATAAATTTTTGAACAAATAAAGCATTTCCTAGCCGGCGCCGCGGCTCAGTAGGCTAATCCGCCTAGCGGCGCCGGCACACCGGGTTCTAGTCCCGGTCGGGGCGTCGGATTCTGTCCCGGTTGCCCCTCTTCCAGGCCAGCTCTCTGCTGTGGCCCGGGAGTGCAGTGGAGGATGGCCCAAGTGCTTGGGCCCTGCACCCCATGGGAGACCAGGATAAGTACTTGGCTCCTGGCTTTGGATCAGCGCGGTGTGCTGGCCGCGGCGGCCATTGGAGAGTGAACCAACAGCAAAGGAAGACCTTTCTCTCTGTCTCTCTCACTGTCCACTCTGCCTGTCCAAAAAAAAAAAAATCATTTCCTAAAAAATATATTTACAATTTCTTTCATTTGTTACTGGACAATTTCACATTCTTTAGCATTTGACACTAGGACCCAGCCATTTAGTAGTTCCTTCCCTCTACCGTAAGATAGATAACAAGGAACAATATAGTGATAGTCCCTTTTCTTGTTGAGTTTATAATGTAGAAGACATTTTAACTGCCTAATTTGTCACTCCTTCAGAAAGATCTTCTCTGTTCTTTTAGTCCAACTGAATGTCTTGTTACTCTTTTTCATAGCACTTTATTCTTTTCTTTGAAATCATAGTCATTATAAATATTGCAAATTACAATCTATATATTATTTGGGTGTTCATTTTGTTTCACTTCTCTACCTATGGCAAACTGTAAGTCCATACTGTCTTCAGATCTCTAGTGCAGTATATGTTTAACATTCAGCAAAAACTTTGAATTAATGAATGAATGATGACTATCTTTAGTATTTTGTAAAAGTGCAAGATGCCATCAATTAAGCAGACTTATTCCAGTGTGAGAATGAAGGAATACTTCTTAGAGGACTTGAAAATTAGTAGAAAATAAATAAATAAATAAATAAAATGAGTTGAAAGGTGTTGTGTTCAATACCCAGTTCTCTGTAGCATATAGGATATATATATGGAATTCCTTTGAATTTAAGAATCTGGGTGTTATACCTGACCTGAATAGGTCGGTGTTAATAGAATGAAAGGAATACAATTCAGATTACAGTTGCTCATTAGATTAGTAAGAAAATAGAGCAAGCAACTTTTCCTGTAAGATAGTTCTCAAATACTTATTGCTTTGGGATATAATAAAATGAACTATAAAAAGGAAATTATGCTTTAAATATTTTCAGTATTACATAAAAAGCATAAATGAATGAAAACTATCACATGAATGCTGTGGGAGGGCTACTTGGAATACATGGCTAATTGTCCTTTCACATGGAAACATGGAGTGAATAAGAAAGGGTGAACAGCTTCCACCTAAATCATCAGTCATTGAATTTCTCAAGAAATTAGAGTACTGAGACGATCTATTTTTAATTAACTTTATACACGTAAGGTGAACTCTACACTAAGTAGAGAGTTAACAAATAGTATGAAAAGAAAACTGTTCCTCAACAGTCGAGACAAGGGCTATTCAAAGTCATCCCATCTCAAAGTGTCAATTTCACTTCTATAGATTGCTCTGTTAACTAGGTGCATATGCTTTTATCATAGTCATGTCTTCCTGTTGAATTGATTCCTTAACATCATTACATCGTGCCCTTCTTTATCTCTTTTAATAGTTTTTGTGTTAAAGTCTATTTTTTCTGATATTAGGATGGCTATACCAGCTCTTTTTTGGTTTCTGTTAGCATGCATTATCTTTTTTCCTCCTTTGACTTTGTTTGCCTGGATCTTTGTTGGTGAGATCTGTTTCTTATAGGCAACAAATAGATTTTTTTTTTAATCTATTCAGCTAAAAGTCTATGTCTTTTAACTGGAGAGTTGACAAATTCTTTCAATTTTTATTTGTTACGGAATGTCTTTATTTCATCTTTATTCCTAAGCGAGAGCTTTGCAGGGTACAAATGCTGGGTTGACAGTTTTTTTTCTCTCTCTTTTCTTCTTTTAAGATTTATTTATTTATTTGAAAGTCAGAGTTACACAGAGAGAGCAGCAGCAGAGAGAGAGGGAGGGAGGGAACGAGAGGTCCTCCATCCAATGGTTCACTTCCCAATTGGCTGTAACGGCCAGAGCTGTGCTGATCCTAAGCCAGGAGCTTCCTTCGGGTCTCCCATGCAGGTGCAGGGGTCCAAGGACTTTCCACTGCTTTCCCAGGCCACAGCAGAGAGCCAGCTTGGAAGAGCAGCGGTGACTAGAACTCCTGCCCGTATGGGATGCCAAAGCTTTATGTTTTACTGTGGAGAGTTTGACTTTAGCGTGTTGGGGTAAAGAGCTCTTTTCTGGTCATATCTATTAGGGATTCTTTGTATGTCCCTTTCTTTCTCCAAATTAGGGAAGTTTTCTGTTTTTCACTAAAAAGGCCTTCTAATCCATTCTCTCCACACCTTCAAGAACTAAGACCTGAATGTTGGATCATTTGATAATATCCCATAAATCCCTAACACTTTTTTAATTTTCTAATTTTTTTTTTGGTCTGACTATAAAATTTCCAAAGATTTGTCTTCTAATTCAGATAATTCTTTTTTCAGGCTCACCAAGTCTATTGTTAAGGCTTTCCACTGCATTTTTTATTTGTTCTATAGAATTGTTCATTTCCAACATTTCTTTTTGATTTCTCTTTTAAATCTCAACTTCATGATAAAAATTTTCATTCATGTCATGTATGGATTTCTTTGATTTATGGATTTACTTCTGATTACCTCTAAGTAGTACTACAATTAATTGTTTGAACTCCGTTTCTGGCATTTCTTCAATCTCTTCATCTTCACATTATAGTATTGAAGTGTTGTAATCTTTTGGGAGTGTCATGGTGTTTTCCTTATTTTTGTTTCTTGAATTGCTGCATTTATTTTTAGGCATTTATGAAGATACTTGTTTTTTTTCTCCTTGTGATGGCTTCTATCTTTGGACTGTGCCTCTGTGGCTTAGAGGAGTGTCTGCTCTTTAAGTGAATACCCAGAAGCCTGTGCTGGGTGTGGCCAGGGAGCTCTGTTCAGTGCTCCAGGGTGAAGGGAGTGTCCAAGGTGACACCCAAGTTGTGCATGGTAAATCTTTTTTTTTTTTTTTTTTTTTCATCAGAGGGAAGATTCGACCAGCTCTGTTGGTGTAGTCTCACGCTTACCTCCTATCCTCCAAAGAGACCAATGCCTGGGCACTAGCCCTAGTGGGTACAGTATTCATCTGTGCTACCACAAGAACCACACAAAGGATCCATGCAGTCTTTGGTGTGAGCATGGTTCCTGCGGCAATGACCCTCACCAGTGAATCAGGGAGCCCTGAGCATGTGATGCTACCTACAGTGACTGCCCAAAGACCCAGCCATATTCTGTACCCTCCCATGCAGCCACAGTGCTTCCACAGTCATAGCACACAAGGTTCCCACAGTCTTGAGCACTCAGCCCCTTGACAGTTCTCCCAGCCAGACTCAGGTATCTCCTCTAAGCTGGTTGCTGGGAGCACCGACCTAAGCTGGTGGAGCTGTTATGTTTGTCCAAAATGGCTTGGCTAGTTATAGGATGCTGGTGCTGGGTGGTCATGGAGAGAGAAATGTGCCCCCCTTTTTTCCTTCTAGGTTGGCAGGTATACTGTCTTACCATAGGACTCCAAGCCTGACTCATGCTAGGCTGTTTCTGCAGCTTTATCGCCAGTGGCTTGGTCTGCTGCACTCTGGTCTCACCTTACTCTCAAAAGCTGGTGCTAAGGCTCTTGGCTGCTGGGATCCTGAGTTGTGTGCATCTACACCCTCCACGTAGATCCACAGTGTCCCTCTAATTTGCATAGAGTTTCCTCTGCAGTTTCTCCATAACTCTGCCCTGAGATTATACTCTTCCCACTTTTTTTTTTTTTCTTTCTTTCTTTTTTTTTTTTTTTTTTAGACTATCTTCCCCTAGACTAGAGCAGTAAGTACCCTCTCTCCCTATTCTGCTTTCTTGGAATCTACCCTAGAGCTGTTAACATGACATATATCTAGAGAGATGGGGCCCAGAAAAGAGAAAGTTTTATTTTATACTATTTGTGGTATTTGATTTTTTTAAAAACTGTGTAATATATTTTCTATATAATAATAAATTATATAGTCATTTCTCCTCTTTTAGTACAACAGAGGAAGAAATTGATTTTAATTACCTGTGGTAAAATTCAAACCTATAAACCAAACTTTTATTCCCCTGAATGATTTCATTGGATTTTTAGATTTAGATGTAAAGGTTTGGATGAAGCCTCTCTTTAGTATTTATTAAATTTTATTTATTTGAGAGGCAGAGAGCTGGACAGAGAGAGATAGGTCCTGTCTGCGGGTTCACTCCCCACTGCCTGCATTGGCGAGGACTGGGCTGAGTCCAAAGTCACTAGCCTGGAACTCACTCCAGGTCTCCCATGTGGGTGGCAGGATATCAGTCACTTGAGCCATCACTGCTGCCTCCTAGGGTCTGCATTAGCAAGATGCTGGAATTGGGAGCTAGAGCTAGGAATCGAGCTCATGCACTCAGTGTGGGATTTAGGTAACCACTGGGCTAAGCTCCTGTCTTCTGTCCTCTTTATTGCAACACATCAGTGTGCATTGTTTAAATGAGGAAATTCTGCCTACAAAGCAGATACATTTTTTAAAAAAGATTTATTTACTTATTTGAAAGGCAGAGTTAGAGGCAGAGGCAGAGAGAGAGAGGTCTCCCATCCACTAGCTTAGTCTTCAGGTGGCCCCAGCGGCTGGAGCTGCACCAGTCTGAAGCCAGGAGCCAAGAGCTTCTTCCAGGTCTCCCACGCAGGTGCAAGGACCCAAGGACTTGGGCCATCTTTCACTGCTTTCCCAGGCCTTAGTGGAGAGCTGGATCAAAAGTGGAACAGCCAGGACTCAAACTGGCGCCCTGTGGGATGCTGGCACTGCAGGCAGTGGCTTTACCCACTATACCACAGTGCTGGCCCCCAGCAGATAGATACATTTCTTTTAACTGCTTTATTTTTTTCCTTGGTTATGAAACTTTTGTCAGACTTTGTTGTTATTTTAGGGCCATAGTTATAAACCCCATCAGGTAAATTTTTGCTACTGTTTTAAAGCAAGAGTTTTGTTACGATGTCTTTTATTGTGCTAAAATGGAATTTCATAAATACTGTATAAATTTAAAAACATAATGCTCTAATTGTTAAAAAAAAGTCAAGAAAAGTGAATTATAGTAAATATTTCAGTTTGGAGTTGTTCAAGGATAGCAACATTTAAAAGGCATAGCTGATGCTTTTACTTACTATACATACAGTCAGTGTAAATGCTACAATTGTGTGTGGGACCTAATACAGATTGTAGTTGGTAACTTAATACCATGAGAGACAGAAAAAAATGCCTTGATAGGATAAGAAAAGACAGAGCAAACTAAGTAAGCACTAGAGTAATGATAAAATATTAGTACTAGAATAAGTAATAACAAATCAGAATTTTCTGTGTGTGATAAAGGAAATGCTCTTATGTAAAGTATGAATAACATGCCATGATACATTTTAGGCTGTTGATGTAGAGAAAATGAAAAAAAGTGTTAAATTTTTGTGAATTAGACCTTATTTTTAAGTATAATGTCAAAATGTTTTCTTTGCTATGACATAACTGAGTAGTGAGAAATATCAAAAAAAATAGTTTCCATCTTGAAATTTCATCATATATAATGCATACCTTTCATCAGTTAAATATAAAAAAATCTTGGAGACCATATCCTTTTCTAGGTGATGCAAATTGAGGATAGATTGGAAAAAGAAATGATAATACAAGGTGCTATAGAGAGGGTATGTAATTGTGTGGTAAACCTCTGAAGATGGTATCAAAATAAGATGAAAAATAAGTAAAAAACAGTAATTTTGGTATTGATTTTTCTACGGTTTTTAATTATGATAAAAAATATTATAAATATACAGAAGCAATAGTACCACATATTTTTAAAACAATCTTCTCTAATGACACTTGTGAAATTTCTACATTTCATGTGTCTCCACTAATTTACCAGTATTTGATTATAAAGTATGTTGAAAAGTCTTTTAAATAGGCTTTAAAAACACAAGAGACAGCTACATATGCTGAGTGCTAGAGCTGTTTTATGTTAAACTGAAATGACACAGATGGTCTGTTAAGTGATATGATTTTTCTCTAATTGTGAATAATTCTCAAATTCTAAAGTAAACATAAGTACAGTCTCACCTGACTTAATAGTTTTATTTTCTGAATATTCATTGTAGAATATTTTATTTTTAGAATATTCATTGTAGAATAAAACCATGGCAGAATACTTTATACTCATGTAAAGCAAAATTATTGAATTTTCGCTCACAAGTGTCTAACTGGATAATAGAAAATTGTGTGAGATGTGGAATAGTTTTCTTTTTGAGTGATACTGTCCAGCATATTGATTGTTTTCTGGTATCCCTTGACCTTGCCTCTTACGTGTTAGTAATGGCTCCTGAATATGGAAATGAATTTTCCCCAAAAATTTTTCCTAAAAATTGAAAACCATTACTCTAAGAGGTTTTTTTTCCTCCTAATTTAATTGATGGTGGACTTTATTTTCTTTCATCTTCCCATATAGTTTGTTCTCTTACAAAAATAGTACTTTTGGAGTGTTCTTTGAGGAATGGTATTCTAGATACATCTTTTTATCTGTTATCTAAATACCTTAGGTTCTAGCCTTTTACTATTTTGTATCTTTCTAATTTTATTTTAAAACTATTCAGTTCCAAATAGGTGTAAATCCTGAGGACTTAAATTTGAAAGTGTTTATGTAATTGGAACATGTGAAATGTATTTATTAATTTTTATTAATAAATTGAATTTTAATTTATTCTTTTAGGTTGGATCCTTAGAACAAGCTATGCTTGATGCTCTTGTAATGGATAGAGTTGCATTTGTAAAACTTCTTATAGAAAATGGAGTAAGCATGCATAAATTCCTTACCATTCCAAGACTGGAAGAACTTTACAACACTGTAAGTTATTGTTAAAATTTTTTTTAAGATTTATTTATTTATTTGAAAGTAAGAGTTACAGAGAAAAGGGAAGCGAGAGATCTTCCATCTGCTGGTTTACCTGCTAAATGGCTGCAATGGCTGGGGCTGGACCAGGCTGAAGCCAGGAGCTGGAACTCTCTCCAGGTCTCTGACTCGGGTGGCAGGGACCTAAGTACTTGGATCATCTTCTACTGCTTTCCCAGGTACATTAGCAAGGAAATGGATCGGAACCAGAGAAACCAGGACTGGAACTGGAGCCCCAACATGGGATGCCTTCATCGAGGCAGAAACATTAACCTGCTGGGTCACAATACTGACCCTGTTGATAAAGATTTTAATGCCTTGCTTGTTTATATGGAAAAAAATTGCTGGTCTTTGGTTGGTTGGTTGTGTTACAGTCTGAAACCCTTTCCCTGTCACACAGGAAAGGTGTGTGGACTTAATAGTCCTATCTCCTTTTCCTGCCTTTCACCCTTTTTTATTTTTTGTTTTTTGAAGATTAATTTATTTATTTGGTAGGTAGAGTTATAGAAAGAGAGAAGGAAAGACAGATAGAGATCTTCCATCTGCTGGTTCATTCCCCAAATGGCCACATTGGCTAGGGCTGTGCCAGGCTGATACCAGGAGCCAGGAGCTTCCTCTGGATCTCCCATGTGAGTACAGGAGCCCAGGGAGTTGGGCCAGCTTCCACTGCTTTCCCAGGCATATTTGCATGGAGCTGGATCAGATGTGCAGCAGTTGGGATATGAACTGGCGCCCCTATGGGATGCTGGTATTGCAGGCGACAGTTTAATCTGCTGTGCCACAGCACCGGTCTCTCCTTTCATCCTTTTTAAAAGCTAGGATGGGGTGGATGTTGGGGGTATCAGTTAAGGTGCCATTTGGGATAGCTGCATCCCATATCAGAATGTATGAGTTCAAGTCCCGGCTCTGCTTCTATTTCCATGTTCAAGTAGTTAGGTCCACCCAAGGGGATGACTTGCATTGAATTCTGGGTTCCTGGCTTCAGCCTGACCAGTGGATAGAAGATCTTGCACACATACACACTCTATCTAGCTGCCTAGCTGTGCCTTTCAAAAAAAAGTTTAAAAAAGTAAGGGTTGACTTCTTAATCATAGTCTTAACTTATATACTATGTTTCATTTTTGTAAATGACTCAGTGAAAACTTATTATTCTTGCCATCAAAGCTTTCTTGGTTAATTTCCAATTTCATATCATTAGTGTTGGAGAGGGTAAATACTACCCATCTCAGAGAGAAAGGTCTTCCATCCACTTGTTCACTCCCTATGTGGCCACAGTGGCTGGAGCTGAGCCAATCCAAAGGCAGGAGCCAGGAGCTGCTTCCAGGTCTCTGGGTCTCCCACGTGGGTGCAGGGGCCGAAGCACTTGAGCTGTCTTCTGCTTTCCCGCGCCGTAAGAGCTGGATTGGAAGAGGAGCAGCTGGGACAGAAACTGGCACTCATGTGGGATGCCAGCAACTCTGGCAGAGGTTTAGCCCCTTACGCCACAGAGCTGGCTACACCAGTATGAATTTAATGGTGCTATACTTTGAGGAACACTGGAACCAAATCCTAGCTTTGTAACTTTTACTTCTCTGCAAAGCTGCCTTTTCATTCATTAGTTTCTACCTATTTGTCTCCTTTTCTTCATTTTTCCTACTCAAATTATTTCTGTCTGCTGTTTCAGTAATCTAATCTCCCTGTCCATGTCTTTTCTCAGATCTGTTTTTTAATTATTTTTGTAGTGATAAAAATATTTTAATGTATTTTTTCTGCAGTTTAAAAACCTGTGATTTGCTGGCGAGGCAACTCACTTGGCTAATCCTCTGCCTGTGGCGCTGGCACCCTGGGTTTTAGTCCCGGTTGGGGCGCCAGCTTCTGTCCCGGTTGCTCCTCTTCCAGTCCAGCTCTCTTCTGTGGCCTGGGAGGGCAATGGAGGATGGCCCAAGTACTTGGGCCCTGCACCTGCCTGGGAGACCAGGAGGAAGCACCTGGCTCCTGGCTTCGGATCAGCGCAGTGCGCCAGCCATAGTGGCCATTTGGGGGGTGAACCAACGGAAGGAAGACCTTTCTCTGTCTCTCTCTCACACTGTCTAACTCTGCCTGTCAAAAACAAACAAACAAACAAAACCTGTGATAGCTCCCCAGTATGTATGTAATAGTACTCTTACCCTTAGCCTGATTTTCAAAGATTTCCACATTTTGCCTTAGCTTCATTTCTATGTATTTATTTATTTATTTATTTTTTTGACAGGCAGAGTGGACAGTGAGAGAGAGAGACAGAGAGAAAGGTCTTCCTTTGCCGTTGGTTCACCCTCCAATGGCCGCCGCGGCCGGCGCGCTGCAGCCGGCGCACCGCGCTGATCCGATAGCAGGAGCCAGGTGCTTCTCCTGGTCTCCCATGGGGTGCAGGGCCCAAGTACTTCAGCCATCTTCCACTGCACTCCCAGGCCATAGCAGAAAGCTGGCCTGGAAGAGGGGCAACCGGGACAGAATCCAGTGCCCTGACTGGGACTAGAACCCGGTGTGCCGGCGCCGCTAGGCGGAGGATTAGCCTAGTGAGCCGCGGCGGCAGCCTGCCTTAACTTCATTTCTGCTTTCATCCCTAAACCTTCTGACCAGTTGGGTGTTTCAACTATGTCTACCTACGCTTTACTAAAAATATAGACTTTTTAAAAAAGCATTTGTTATTTACACAGTGCACGTCTATTTTTCTTCCAACTAACCCTTATTAAAATGTTATTCATTTTTTGAAGCTTAGCTCAAATGCTATGTCTGTACTTTTATGAAGCCCTGTAGCATAGCTAAGTATAATGATCTATCTTCTTCTGTGGATTATAAATTTCTTCTGAGTAGGGATTATCTTTATTTTCTACTTTTTTCTCTTTAAAGTATTACAGTATAATTAAATGAACTTTGTTGCATTCCACTGTGTCTGATGAACAGATATAAAAATTAAAAGGATTATTCTTTGTGTTGAAATAGGTTTATCCCTAAAATGTAAAGCAAATATAAAACAATAAAAATCAAAATTGATCCTGTTAGCACTTTCACTTCTGTAGCTTGATGTTACTAAGATTATAGTTACTTTTTTTTTTAATAGTTCATTTTTATTTTTTTGACAGGCAGAGTGGACAGTGAGAGAGAGAGAGAAAGGTCTTCCTTTGCCGTTGGTTCACCCTCTAATGGCCACCGCAACCGGCGCACCGCGCTGATCCGATGGCAGGAGCCAGGTACTTCTCCTGGTCTCCCATGGGGTGCAGGGCCCAAGTACTTCAGCCATCCTCCACTGCACTTCCTGGCCACAGCACAGAGCTGGCCTGGAAGAGGGGCGACCGGGACTAGAACCCGGTGTGCCGGCGCCGCAAGGCAGAGGATTAGCCTAGTGAGCCGCGGCACCAGCCTATCGTTACTTTTAGTATCTGTTAAAGCTAAAAGTTTTTGAAAGTCTAAGGATTTAAAACATGTTAAGTAGTGTTTTTCAAACTTTTTTGGCATTAAGATATTTTTGCATACAAATTGTTGAGAACTTCAAGGAGCTGATCTTTATGAGATTTTGTATGTGTGTGTTGATATTTACCATATTAGAATGTAAAACAGTTTAAAATATTAATTGGTATTCACAAAACAAGCTTGTAGCTTTTTTCTTCTTCTTCTTCTTTTTTTTTTTTTTTTAAGATTCATTTATTTATTTGAAAGGCGGAGTTACAGAGAGGCAGAGGTAGAGAAAGAGAGAGAGAAATCTTCCATCTGCTGGTTCACTTCCCAGATGGCCAGAATGGCCAGAGGTGGGCTGATCTGAAGCCAAGTGCTTCTTCTGAGTCTCCCACATGGGTGCAGAGGCCCAAAGTTTTAGACCACCTTCTGCTGCTTTCCTATGCACATTAGCAGAGATCTGGATCGGAAGTGGAACAGCTGAGACTTGAACCGGTGCCCATATGGGATGCTGGCACTGCAGGCATCGGCTTTACCAGCTACACCACATTAAATAAGCTTTTTTTAAAAAAAAAAGATTTATTTATTTACTCAAAAGAGTTAGAGAGAGAGAGAGTGAGAGGAAGGGAGGGAGGGAGGGAGAGAGAGGTCTTCCCTCCACTGGTTCACTCCCCAATTGGCCACAACAGGTGGAACTGTGCTAGTCTGAAGCTAAGAGCCAGGAGCTTCTTCCAGGTCTCCCACGTGGGTGCAGGGTTCCAAGGACTTGGGCCATTTTCTACTGCTTTTCCAGGCCATAGCAGAGAGCTGGGTCGGAAGTAGAGCAGCCATATGGGATGCTGGCACTGAAGGCAGCGGCTTTAACTGCTACGCCACAGCGCTGGCCCCTAAATAAGCTTTTTTAAAGAAAATTTATTGGGGATCGGTGCTGCCTGCAGCGCCTGGTACCCAAAATGAGGGCTGGTTTGAGACCAAGCTGCTCCACTTCCAGATCTCTGTTATGGCCTGGGAAAGCGCTAGAAGATGGCCCAAGTGCTTGGGCCCTTGCACCCATATGGGAAACCCAAAAGAAGCTCCTGATTTCAGATTGGCCCAGCTCCAGCTGTTGGGGCCATCTGGGGACTGAGCCAGAGGAAGGAAGACCTCTCTCTCTGCCTCTGACTCTTTGTAAATCTACCTTTCAAATAAATAAATAAATCTAAAAAAAAAAAAAAAAAAAGATTTATTTATTTGAAAGGCTGAGTGGCAGAGGGAGGAGAAGAGACAGAGAGATCATCCACTCCCCAAAATGGCCGCAATAAGGATCCTGGAATTCCATCCAAGTCTCCCATGTGGTTGGCTGGGGCCCACCTACTTGATCTATCTTTTGCTGCTTTCCCAGTAGCGTTATCAGGGAGCTGGATTGGAAACAGAGCAGCTGGTACTCAGTCCAGCATGTGCTGATGGCACAGGTGGTGGCTTAACCAGCTGTCCTCTAACTGGTCTTAGCATAAATTTTTTTTTTTTTTTTTTTTTTTTTTTTGACAGGCAGAGTGGACAGTGAGAGAGAGAGACAGAGAGAAAGGTCTTCCTTTGCCGTTGGTTCACCCTCCAATGGCTGCTGCGGCCGGCACACCGCGCTGATCCGATGGCAGGAGCCAGGAGCCAGGTGCTTTTTCTGGTCTCCCATGGGGTGCAGGGCCCAAGCACCTGGGCCATCCTCCACTGCACTCCCTGGCCACAGCAGAGAGCTGGCCTGGAAGAGGGGCAACCGGGACAGAATCCGGCGCCCCAACCGGGACTAGAACCCGGTGTGCCGGCGCCGCTAGGCGGAGGATTAGCCTAGTGAGCCACGGCGCCGGCAGCATAAATAATTTTAAAGAAAATAAAATATTAATGAGAATAAAACAGTTTCACATTTTGGCAAATCTCTGGTGTCTGACTTCATAAAAGGACCCTCGATTTTCTTTTACAGTTGCTTTATTTATTTATTTATTTATTTATTTATTTATTTATTTAAAGAGTTACACAGAGAGAGGTAGAAAGGTCTTACATCCTCCAGTTCACTCCCCAGTGACCACAGCAGCAAGGACTGGCCAAAGCCAGGAGCCAAGAGCTTCCTCTGATTTCCCATGTGGATGCAGGGCCCCAAGGACTTAGCTATCCTCTGCTGCTTTCCCAGGCTTACATTAGCAGGAAGCTGGATCGAAATGGAGCAGTTGATCTTGAATTGGCAGCCATATGAAATGTTGGCATTGCAGGTGGCAGCTTACCCAGTTACATCACAATGTTGGCCTCAGGAGATAATTTTAAAATAAGATTTATTTATTCAAAAGGCAGAGTGACACAGAAATCTTCCATTAGCTGGTGCATTGGCCAGATGGCCACAATAGCCAAGGTTGTGTCAGGCTGAAGCTAGCAGCCAGAACAGTTCTCCTCCTCGAGTGGCAGGGACCCAAGTACCTGGGCCATCTTATGCTTTCCCAAGGTATTAGGAGGGAGATGGATCAGAAGCAGAGCAGCCAGAACTAGGAGGTAATTGTGTCTCACTCAGGATGCCAAGATGGAATGTAATTTATAAGGCAATTTAAATTGTCATCTTAGATATTACATAGAATTTGAAAGTCAAGAATATCAACCAAGGATCAACCAAGGATGTGCGTGATCACATGTGTACTACATGTTATCAAATTGGAAAAGTAGATTGAAATGATTTCTATAATAACGTCTCATTAAAAAATTGATGATAATGCAATGATGTGATTAAATCTCATTTCGTAATTATTTTAAGCAATAAAATTTGACGTATGAGAGTGAGTCTCTTAATTTGTGTCGCATAAAATTCATTACATAGCCAGTGCTGTGTCATAGTGGGCTAAGCTTCTGCCTGCGACACCAGCAATCCCATATGAGCACTGGTTCTAGTCTTGGCTGCTCCTCTTCTGATCCAGCTCTCTGCTATGGCCTGGGATTGCAGCAGCAAATAGCCCAAATATATTTGCCCCTGCATCTGCCTGGGAGACCTGGAGAAAGCTCCTGGCTTTGAATTGGTCTAGCTCCAGCCATTGGCAGCTATTTGGGGAATGGACCACCAGATGGAAAACATTTCTGTCTGTCTCTCCCTCTCTGTCTGTAACACTACTACTCAAATCAATAAATAAAATCTTTAAAAAAAATTTATTACAGTAAATTTCACGTGAATCAGAGCACTGTCTAAAGCGTTTTTAAAATTTTTTTAGGAGCTGGTGCTGTGGCGTAACAGGTAAAGCCGCCATGGTGCTGCATCCCCTATGGGCCCTGGCTCGAGTCCCGTCTGCTCCACTTCCGATCGAGCTCTCTGCTATGGCCTGGGAAAGCATTATAAAAGATGGCCCAAGTCCTTGCACCCCTGCACTCGTGTGGGAGACTTGGAAGAAACTCCTGGCTCCTGGCTCTTGGCTCCTGGTTTCAGATTGGCACAGCTCTGTCTATTGCAGCCATCTGGGGAGTGAACCAGCAGATGGAAGACCTTTTCTTTCTCTGCCTTTGCCTCGCTGTAATTCTGCCTTTCAAATAAATCTTTAAAAAATTTTTTAGAAGATTTATATATTTATTTGAAAGGCAGAATTACAGCGAGGCAGAGAGAGAGAATATCTTCCTGGTTCACTCTCCAGATGGCCACAATGGCTAGATCTGTGCTGATCTGAAGTCAGGAACCAGGAACTTCTTTTGGGTCTCTCATATGGGTATTGGGGTCCAAGCACTGTTTTCACAGGCAATAAGCAAAGGGCTGGATCAGAAAAGGAGCAGCCCCAAACATATGCTGGTGCCACAGGCAGAGGCTTAACTTACTACATCATAGCGTCATTCTCTGCCTAAAGCATTTAAGATATATTTTTGGACCATTTATGTTGGTGCAGGTTGGAGAAGTATACTCCTGGGAAATTTTTCAAAATACGGAATACCATCAAGATAAGTTTACTATAAAGATAAAAAAAGGTTCTAGTCCATTTTAAAGTATACATAGAGTAGGTAATTGGGAAATAAAGACGTATAAATGTTAAAGGCTTATTGCTTGAAATATTGAGCGTGTTGACACAATTTGATGATGGGTAACAAACATGTTTTAACAAGGAGAAAGGTTATGTATAGCTCTAGTATCAGTGAAAAATTTAAATATGAATTGAAGATGTAACAAGGAAACTTGCAGTGTTTATCTGACTTTTATAAGAAAACTTAAGTACCATTTTAGTGATTCTCTAAAATTATTCATCTTTGTGACAGTAAATATGTCAATATGAAATGGTTATAAAAGGCTGCTTCAAAAAATTCCCATGAAAATTGAAGTAAAAGAGGTTTATCTTAGATGGAAGATCTGTGTCCCTTTCTAACTTTGACTTTCAAATAAATCTTTAAAAAAAAGTTGATCTTGGTGCAAAAAAAATGTTTGAAGTCCATATATAGTTTTTCCATATTATGCATTTCCATGGACTTTTTAATGATTCCTGTATCTTTATCTTTTTTCACCCAGTTTATGACTATAACTTCAAAACAGTATAATTTGTACAAAAAGGTTCATAAAAATCTTTTAAATAATGAAAGGAAATTAAGTTACTTTAGAAGAAAAATAATAGTTTGCTTTAATTTTTTCTCCCTAAAGAAACAAGGCCCAACTAATCCAATGCTGTTTCATCTTATTCGAGATGTGAAACAGGTAAGAGATTAATTTCTTTTGTTTTTTAAAAAGTTTTATTATAAAAAAGCACTTATACTTCAGCTGGCCCTAAGAAAGTATTTAAATACATTATCAAGCTGTAATAGACTAACAGTTTTTGGAATAAGATAAAATAAGGGCTAAATTTGTGATGAGAGACCTTTAAGAGCATAATTATCGGAAATCAAATAGGAGTAGTTTATGAAGTAAAAATGAAGTTTCCTGAGCTTCTGGGGATCTGAGATAGAATTTGATCAATTTTATAATCTTCATTGGTCCACAATATGAGATTATTGATAGAATGTGTTTTCATTTTGTGTTCAGAAAAAATGTATCCCCTCGATATTTGTCCCAGTGCAACGGAAATTGATTAAGGAAGTTGAGGGAGCACTGAGTGGTGATCTTCATGGTAGACCTAGCCAATAAAAATGCTACAATACTCTATCCCTGTTTTAAGAAAAAAATTAGTATTATAATGACTGAATACATAACATTGATACGTGATCTAAAGGTATTTCATAGTGACAAAATGTTATTCCTCTTCTGTTGAGATTCTTTGTGGATTTATAGTGTTAAACCTGTATCAGCATTTTTATAGCCACATTATGGGTACCTAGTACAATTTGTTTTCCTTGATGAAATGGTACTCATATTTGGCTACTTTAAATATTTTTACGTTTCTAAATTAAAGGGCTTCCATTCTAAAATTCTTCTTGTATTTGAGATTTTACTTGCTGCTCAGAATGAATATATGAATAAACACAAGCTGAAAATAGAAATGTCATTTTTAATTTTAATTTTATGTAGTTGGTAACTCATTTAATACTAATTAATATCCCATGGGAAAAACTTAGACATTATTATACCTTAAAAATTTTTCTTTGGACTTGGTGTGGTATAGCCAGTAATGCTGGCACTTGCACCACTGACATCCCAAATGGGTGCTGGTTTGAGTCCTGTCTGCTCCACTTCTGATCCAGCTACCTGCTAATGTGTGTGGGAAGGCACTGGAAGATGGCCCAAGTCCTTAGGCCCCTGACACCCACATGAGAGACCCGAGAAATTTCCTGGTTCCTGGCTTTGGCCTGGCTCAACCCAGGATGTTGTGGCTGTCTGGAGAGTGAACCAGCGAGTGGAAGGTCTCTCTCTTCTCTCTGTAAGCTCTGCTGTTCAAATAAATCTTTAAAGTTTTGATGTAGTTCAACTTTTTATATGCATTTTTCTTAGTGGATTTATTGAGGTGTATTTCACACACTATATAATTAATTCATTAAAAGTATATGTCATTGATTTTTATTGTATTCACAGAATTGTGCAGCCATTGCTGAAGTCTAATGTTAGAGCATTAACATTATCTTAGAAAAGTGACTGTTTGCTCATTATCAGCGATTGCATGTCCTGCTCCTTCTCTGCCCTTTGCACACCCACCACAGACAACTGAGGATTTGCATATTCTGTGCATTCCATATTAATCTGATTTTTTAAAAAAATAATTAAAACCTTCCACCCCAAACTTAATGGAAGAGATCTTCAGGCCAGAAGTTTATGAAGCACATTGCATTATGATTACATGATTTATTTATGTGGGTTAACACAAAATAGAATATTTTATTTTAGAAACAAATGCAAGCAGTTATATATTGACTGGATGTATTGGTGATAGGAAGTTCAGTTTTTTAAATCCTCATAATAAGTATTAAAGACAGTAATTGAATATTTTCTGACTCAGATTAACAAGTTGGATTTTATAAGAATTATCAGTGTAGTTTGAGAAATTGCTCATGATCTTTTTATTAAGATCCTTAATTCCTCAATTTAAATATTCCTTAATTTAAATATTTCCCGTTCAGCTAGGCTTATATCATGATTGTATGTGTTGAGTTTCTTAAGGAAATACATTTGACAATACAGATGGCATCCTCAATCCTAAAGTATATTCGGAGGTTGTTTGAGTTAAAATAAAAAAAAATCAGTGTATTCGAAAGGCAAAGCAGCAGAGAGAGGGGCAAGAGATGTATATATGAAAGAGATCTTCCATCCACTGGTACATTCCCCAGATGGCTTCAACAGCCCAGTCTGGTTCAGGCCAAAGCCAAGAACCAAGAACCCCATCCTGCTTTCTCATGAGGGTGTCAGGGGCCCAACTACTTGAGTCATCTTCTGTTTCCTTCCCAGGCAGATTAGCGGGAAAGTAGATTAAAAGCAAGATAGCTAGCACTTGAACTTGCATTCTGATTTGGGATGCCAGGTGTTACAAGCAGCAACTTAACCTGCTGTGCCCCAAAACCAGCCCTGATACCAAAAATCTTGTACTTTGCATAGAAATAAGTGCTTTTATTATAAGTGATAGGTTAAGTGCCACATAAAGCTCTAAAGATTTGTCTAACCTATAATATACTGAGTATAATTTTGGTTAAAAAAATACTGAATTTATGGGCCAGTCTGGAAACATAGTTAACACTTTATAACATTAATTTTGTAAAAAAAATTCAATTTGTGGTGTGTACTTCAATGAGAATGGAATATGTGGCTAACAGTTTCTTTGCCTCTTTGTGTCAAATATTAGTACCATAAAAAAATGCTTATATTTCTGCTTTAGGCCATATGCCTGCATGTCCCAAACCATACCTTGCGACCTCATCAAAGTTTCAGAATCCCCACCTCTTAGAAAAGGAAAAGTTGGTGCTATGGCATAGTGGGTAAAGCAGGCGCCTGCAGTGCCAGCATCCCACATGGGCACTGGTTCAAGTGCTGGCTGTTTCACTTCCTATCCAGCTCCCTGATAATGTGCCTGGGAAAGCAATGGAAGATGGCCCAATTCCTTGGACCCCTGAGCCCAGGTTTGAGAACTGGATGAAGCTCCTGGCTTCAGCTTGTTAGATTTGGGGAATGAAACAGCGGATGGAAGACTTCTGTGTCTGTCTCTGCCAATGCCTCTCCCTCTCTGTAACTCTGAATTTCAAATAAAATAATTTTTTTTTTAAAAGGAAATGGAAAAAGAAGTCATTCTCTTTCCCTGTAAAGGATAACACTTGCAACCTCAGGTTCTTAGTATTAAGTATACATTTATCATTTTGGAGAGTAGGCCTATTTTTAGTCATGGCATGGCAATATGAAGAAATACTATCACATCTTTTAAAAATATTTTCTTTGCAGGGAAATCTTCCTCCTGGATATAAAATCACTCTAATTGATATAGGACTCGTTATTGAATATCTCATGGGGGGAACCTACAGATGTACCTATACTCGGAAACGTTTTCGATTAATATACAATAGTCTTGGTGGAAATAATCGGGTATGTATAACTTGGGGGGGAAATTATATGTGTGATTTAAAGTTAATCTGTATACTTTAAATGTTTAATTTAAAAGTTAAATGTTAAGAATTAGGAATGAGGCCGGCGCCGGGGCTCACTAGTCTAATCCTCCGCCTGTGGCGCTAGTACCCCAGGTTCTAGTCCCGATTGGGGCACCGGTTCTGTCCCAGTTGCTCCTCTTCCAGTCCAGCTCTCTGCTGTGGCCCGGGAGGGCAGTGGAGGATGGCCCAAGTGCTTGGGCCCTGCACCCGCATGGGAGACCAGGAGGAAGCACCTGGCTCCTGGCTTCGGATCAGCACAGTGCGCCGACTGTGGTGGCCATCTGGGGGGTGAACCAACGAAAGGAAGACTTTCTCTCTCTCTCTCTCTCTCTCTCTCTCTCTCTCTCTCTCTCTTTCCCTCTCTCACTAACTCTGCCTGTCCAAAAAAAAAAAAAAAATTAGGTATGTTAGAATGCTGAAAGTAACAATGTCTTAGAAATGGGAGATTTTCAGTTGAGCAGTTAGAAAAATTTATAAGCAAAATCCTAAACCAGTTATTTGTATGTGTACACATGCAAACATTTGCATATGTAGATGAATACACTCGAATATTTATAACATGTCAGGATATTTAAATCTATAAAGTCTAATAAGATCTCTTTTTCAGAGGTCTGGCCGAAATACTTCCAGTAGCACTCCTCAGTTGCGAAAGAGTCATGAATCTTTTGGTAATAGAGCTGATAAAAAGGAAAAAATGAGACATAATCATTTCATTAAAACAGCACAGCCCTACAGACCAAAGGTATATTTATCTAAATATTATATATTCTAGTTTTTTATTTTATTCATTTTCAATTAAGCAACAAAAAATTACTTGTTTTATAAGAATTTTTTGTTTTTTCATATATCTTTCAGTCTTCGTTTTGCCATATGCAAAGGTGTTCATTGTGAATTAACGAATTAACTATGATAATATGATTTTTAAAATATTTTCTTGAATGTTGGCTCCTTATAGTCCATTTTTCCTTGATTAGAAACTTGTAAAAATGGACCAGCGCCACAGCACACTAGGCTAATCCTCCGCCTGTGGCACTGGCACCCCAGGTTCTAGTCCCGGTTGGGGCGCCGGATTCTGTCCCGGTTGCTCCTCTTCCAGTCCAGCTCTCTGCTGTGGCCCGGAAAGGCAGTGCAGGATGGCCCAAGTACTTGGGTCCTGCACCCGCATGGGAGACCAGGAGGCGGCACTTGGCTCCTGGTTTCGGATCGGCACGGTGCACCACTGGCCGCAGCAGCCATTTCGGGGGTGAACCAATGAAAGGAAGACCTTTCTCTCTGTCTCTCTCTCTCACTAACTCTGCCTGTCAAGAAAAAAAAAAAAAAAAAAAAAAACAGCTTGCAAAAACAAAGGTGTTATCAAACATTTATTTCATTATAGTTTTATCACATATTGGTTGAAATATGTAGGCCTTTTAGTTTGGAAACTTTATAAAGATCCCGGGCAAATGCCATTTACTCCCGATGAATTATGAACCATAAATAAAATGCCTCATATAAATATGAAGTTTATAAAATAATGTGTAATTATATGAAATTGAAACTAGGGCAAAGACTATTTTACAAAAACTTAAAATAACATCAATATCATATGGCTTTATTATAAAGGGCTTTATAACATTTAATTTCATCTTGTAAGATGATACATCTGTTGGATGCAGAAAGAAGAAAATATCCAACTCATGATATAGTCTATTAAGATGATCTGAAAGCAATGATTTATTCATACTCACTTAATGAAAGTTAATTAGAGGCTTGACTCATGAAGAGCCTGGTCCAAGTCGCGTGCTCTTATGGCAGCATGGTGAAGAATCAATGGCTAAAGCATTAGTTGCCTGTAAGATCTATCGTTCAATGGCATATGAAGCAAAGCAGAGCGACTTGGTAGATGATACTTCAGAAGAACTGAAACAGTATTCCAAGTAAGTGATATTTTATGGGTTGAAAACGTTTTAAAAATACAAAATATGGGCCAGCATTGTGGCCCAGCAAGATATCAGAATCTCATATCTAAGTGCTGCTGCACTGCTTCCTATCTAGCTCCCTGCTAATGTACCTGTGAGGCAGCAGAAGAGGATCCAAGTACTTGGGCCACTGCTACCCATATGGGAGATCTGTATGGTGTTCTAGGCTCCTTTCTTTGGCCTGACCCGGCCCTGGCTGTTACAGTCATTTGGGGACTCACTGAGCTGATGAAAAATTTCTTTTTATGTCTTTCCCACTTTTCTTTCTGTTACTCTGCCTTTCAAATAAATCAATAAAATCAAAAACAAAAATAAAAACAAAAAACACATGTTTGAGTGGCCGTTATAATGCTGTGCAGTTAGTGGGGATATATGTCTTATTGATATTCTTAAGAGAAAGTATACCCAGAAAATATACCAAGAAAGTATACTCAGTGGGGCCAGCATTGTAGTGTAGCAGGTAAAGCCACCACTTGTGATGCCGGTGTCCCATATGTGTGGGGGTTCAAGTCTGGGCTGCTCCACTTCGGATTCAGCTCCCTGATAATACCCTGGGAAAGCAGTGGAAGATAGCCCAAGTGCTTGGGCTCCTGCCACCCACATGGGATTCCCAGGTGAAGTTCCTGGCTTCTGGCTTCTGCCTGGCCCAGCCCTGGTCATTGCAGCCATCTGGGGAGTGAGCCAGCATGTGGAAGATCTCTCTGTCTCTCCCTCTCTTTCTGTAATTTTGACTTTCAAATAAATAAATAAATTTTAAAAATTCAGAGAATAACTTCCTTCTGTGTATGTGAAAAATGTTATTACTATATTTTTGCAATTTAGGAGTTCAATATTTCAGCAACAACAAAAGAAATGCCAGAATCAGTTTAATAAGTGCATACAACAGTGATAAGATTAATGAAATCCCATTTGAGGAAGTAAAGAAAGGGAAGAACTGAGGTTTTAGCTGTGTTCTAGGGAGACAGACTGAATTCACCTGCAGGGCATTTTGGATGATAAAATCATGTTCATAGAATAAAATAGTTCATACAATTTACTTATGAAGTTAAGCTAGAAAGGTAGTGTGAGGAAGCCTTCTCATAGATACTTGGACCTCCATATCCTCCAATAGGCTGTCTTTAGAAGAGGGTAATAGTTGTCACTGAAAATAACTCACACAGGTATTCTCTGATTATTTAGTGGAAATTGAAGATTCAGATATGTCTTGTGATTACTTATTCCCTAATGTTACTATTCCTGTCTACAGGGTACCAACCACCCCTCTTTTTTTTTTTTTTTTTTTTTAATATTGATTGATTGATTTGAAAGGTAGAGTTACAGAGAGAAAGAGAGACAGAGGTCTTCCATCCAGTGGTTCACTCCCCAAATAGCTGCAACAGCTGGAGCTGGGCCGATCCCAAGCCAGGATCTGGGAGCTTCTTCCAGGTTTCCCACGTGGGTGCAGGGGTCCAAGCACTTGGGCCCTCTTCCGCTGCTTTCCCAGGCCATCAGTAGAGAGCGGGAATGGAAGTGGACAAGCTGGAACTCAAACTGGCACCCATATGGGATATTGGCGCCACAGGCAGTTGCTTAGCCTGTTATGCCACAGCTCTAGCCCCACCACCCCTTTTCTATGTTTGAAATACTTTATATAGAGACTTTTTAAAATGTTATTTATAGATATAAAAATTTCTAAAGGTTTATTTATTTAGAAAAACAGTTATAGAATGAGAGAGAGAGATATCTTCCATTCTCTGGTTCACTTCTCAGATGGCTGCAATGGCCAGGGCTGGACCAGGCTGGAACCAGGAGCCAAGAGCTGAGAGCTTCATCCGTGTCTCCCACATGGGTGGCAGGGTTCTCAGGCACTTGAGCCATTTTCTGCTGCTTTTCCCAGGCCATTAGCAGGGAGCCAGATTGAAAGTGGAGCAGCTGGGACACCAACTAGCACCCATGTGGGATGCCAGCATTGCAGGCGGCTTTACCCTGTATACCACATGCAGGTCCCAAGAGACTTTTTTTGGAACTAGAATGCTGTAACATTATCAGTGTGTGTGTGAGTGTGTTTGTGTGTGTGTGACTGTAGCTTTATTTCTAGGACCTGGAGAAAATGCTCTGAATTCACAGTTTCAGTCATGTATTTAATGTGACTTATTTTAAGATTTTTTAATAGGCAATGTCTGAAAATAGTTATTCTCATGCCTCACAGTTCCATAAGTGTGTGTGAAAAACAATTGGAAAGCATTTTGTATCAATTTAAGATTAATGGTTTAAAATTTCAGTTTGTTAATTGAGTATATTTCGGCTCTCATCTTTTTTAGTGATTTTGGTCAACTGGCTGTTGAATTACTAGAACAGTCATTCAGACAAGATGAAACAATGGCTATGAAATTGCTCACATATGAACTGAAAAACTGGAGTAATTCAACCTGCCTTAAATTAGCAGTTTCATCAAGACTTAGACCTTTTGTAGCCCACACCTGTACACAAATGTTATTATCCGATATGTGGATGGGAAGGCTTAATATGAGGAAAAATTCGTGGTACAAGGTATACTTTAGAAGCAATTTCAATATAAAGTGTATGATTACATAAAAAGAGTAGAAGAATTAATCAGATGTATAGTAATATGCCTTGATTTGTGAAGAATAATAGGAGTAGGTGGGCTGGGAGCTTGGTGGCGGATACTAGGTAGTCAGCATTTCATCCCAAGTGGCAAGTAATGAGCTTTTGGCCTCCTGTTCTTCAGTGTTTGAGAAATGTGTAATTTTTGCTCCCCTTTGAACCACAAGTATGAAGGAATAAATGGGGTATATTGGCATTTACAGCCCTGAAAAAAAATTACTGTTTTATGAAAGGACGATTCCAAAATTCTAAAATTCAGGACCTAGTTAGTTACTAAACTTAATAATCTGTTACTTTTGAGTTACTTGAAGTATCTTGGATAAGTATAGACATATTTTTGGGTCAGTTTATCAATATGTCCAATTTTTAAGGTTAATAATTTGGGTAAAATAGTCTTTGAGTTTTCTCATTGTGAGAAATATTGCTTTAAACCTCTCTTTATTCTCATATATTTTAAAATAAGGTACAGAAATGTGGAAGGCAGAAATCATGCAAGTGGTTTAACCCTAGACTATTGTTAAGTGAAATAATACAGTATTAATTACTAAAAAAAGATGAAGGAATAACTAACTTCTGTTGCAGAATTACAATTTCCTCATGCTTTAGGGTTTCCAAGTAATATGTAAAATCTGGAAATAAACCATTTTGTTTATAGAGGCAGGAGCTGAGTAATCATGTTATGATATGGAACACTTGCAAAGAGATTTAGGATAAAATTAAGCACTTAGCAGCTTCATAAGACTTGAATTTTGTTTAAACAGAAATGTTTTTCTAATCAAATTGTAACCTGACTTTATTTAAAAGACACATCTATAATAATCATTGAATCTATTTTAAATCCTCATTGTAGTACTCATTGTTTTTACTCTTTAAAACAGTTTTACCTATACCATTTAAATTTGTTTTCCCCTATACTTTAAGAGCAGAGTGGCTAACAGTCATAAGATATTTAATGTATTTTTATTATTTTTATTATAGTCTTGAAGATCACTAATAGTAAAATGCAAACTATGTTTCTAAAAATTTTAGGTCATATTAAGTATTTTAGTTCCACCTGCGATATTAATGCTAGAATATAAAACTAAAGCTGAAATGTCCCATATCCCACAATCTCAAGATGCTCATCAGATGACAATGGAAGACAGTGAAAACAACTTTCAAAACATAACAGAAGAGATCCCCATGGTAAGGAGGAAAAAAAATTTAAAAGTAAATATAATTTTTTGTGGACTAATATGCAGTAAACTTTTTTTTTTTTAATTTAGGAAGTATTTAAAGAAGTAAAGATTTTGGGTACTAATGAAGGAAAGAATGAAATGGATATACAGATAAAATCCAAAAAGCTTCCAATCACACGAAAGTTCTATGCCTTTTATCATGCACCAATTGTAAAGTTCTGGTTTAACACGGTATGTATGAGCATAACATATTTAAAAGATATACTTAAAAATAGCAATTCAAGTGGCCACAGGAATTTTTCTTTCTATATTGTAGTTTATTTTCCTGCTATAGCTAAATCAAGGATGTGACTTGTTCTAATACTAGTAGAGACAAGGAGGGAGATGAGAGGATTCTTAGCTATAAATTTTTCAGTGGTCAGTGAGAATACAGTTTCTTCTGAAATGAAATACATCTTTACTAGTTATACATAGACCTTATCACTTCCCTATAACCCTTTTAGTTAAGAGTGTCTAAGGTAGGCTGTTCCCTTATCTAGGGCAAATCCTTTCCATATCTGTTTCCATTTAAGTTTCATGACTAGGAGCTAGGAAAATACTAGATGTCTTTCCTTGGAGTACTGTTTGCTTGGGAAGAGGCAGGTAGTTTGTGTTCCTTGATGATCATAGTAATGCAGTTCTACAATGATTTCTAATACATTGTGATATCTGAGTAGAATATTAAACAGAATTTTATGTACTGTGCTGAAAACATAAACCTAATAGTTGTTAAAATTCTTTCTGTGATTAGTTTAAAAGGTCAGCAGTTCTAGAACCACACGTTTATACTTTGGGGACCATTTATTATTTACCACAGGCAATATCTGCACTGAAGAAGAGCTTTTTCTAAAACTATTTTAATGACTGAAGCTGAGGAATAACTCACAGAAGCTCATTTGATAGCTGTTTGTGTATATGCTTTAGTATGTCCATAATAAATTTTTATTTTATAATTTTCATTAATATAATATTTCTTTTTTGTTAGTTGGCATATTTAGGATTTCTGATGCTGTATACATTTGTAGTTCTTGTACAAATGGAACGGTTACCTTCAGTTCAAGAATGGATTGTTATTGCCTATATTTTTACCTATGCTATTGAGAAAGTCCGTGAGGTATGTTATTAGTTTTTCAAAAGTAATAATGTAAATATGGAAGATGTTTAGATTCATTTTGTTTTGGGTGTTTATGTGAGTATGTATTATAGTTTAGATGTACAGAACATGATATTTTTAAAAGTCCAAAAGTGACTTGGAAGAATATAGATCAGAGGTATGCAGTTCATTCCGTCACCATTACAGATATAATAGTTTGCATCAGAAACATAGCCTAAGTCATTTTTTCATTTTATTTCCTCATCACTGATATTCATGCTGTCTGCTAATCTGCAAAGAGAGTAAATGTCTATGATAGCCAATTGGGTAGATAAACTAAAATAGGTTATTTTGCTCTTATATTGCCCACTAAAGTATACTGTATTGCCCACTGAGTTGTCATGGAGATTTATATCCTTTTGTGTTTTGGTTTCCGTTTAAATTATACATTTAAGACTTATTTTTGAAAGGTGGAATTAGAGCAGAGGAGATGCAGAGAGAGTCTCTTGGAGTCGTTCCTCGGGCGGTGGGCGTTTTCGGACCCTAACAGGAGACCTGGATAGTATTCAGGGCTTGTGGCTTCTGCCTGGTCCAGCCCTGGCCAGTGTGACCATTTAGGGTGTGAACCGGTGAATGGAAGATTTCTCTTATTTCTCCCTGTCTCTGTTACTCTGACTTGGAAATAAGTAAATAAATAAATGTTTAAAAAGTATTTCAGATTCCAAGTATAGAGAACTATGTTGTAATCCAAGATTTTCTACTTCTTACTTGAGTGACCTCAAGTATTTATTTATTTATTTATCTTAGTGTTTCAGGTATCAAATGCCAACATAATTGATTAAAAGTGCTTTGAAATTTAAAAGATATCTAAAATTTCTACTGAGATATTGTAATTGAATGTTGTATGTGTTTTAATAGAAAGAAATTGATTAAACCATTTGTGTTCTGGTTAAACCTTTAGATCTTCATGTCTGAAGCTGGAAAAATAAGCCAGAAGATTAAAGTGTGGTTTAGTGATTATTTCAATATCACTGATTCAATTGCCATAATTTCATTCTTCATTGGATTTGGACTAAGATTTGGAGCAAAATGGAATTTTGAGAATGCATATGATAATCATGTTTTTGTGGCTGGAAGATTAATTTACTGTCTTAACATAATATTTTGGTATGTGCGTTTGCTAGATTTTCTAGCTGTAAATCAACAGGCAGGACCTTATGTAATGATGATTGGAAAAATGGTAAGTTGGGAGATGTCTTATTTATGTGTTTATTGGTGCTTTTTTATTAAAATTTATAAAAATCTTTTATTTATTTGCTCATAATCTAAATCTACCATTCCTTATGGACATATTACTAACTTAAAAGAGATATTTGTTACGATAATATGAAGAAAAGCATTTTGTTTGTGTTTTCTTGAAATGCTTTGATTTTTAAGTGCTAGTTGCTAAGAATATTTTACATCATAAAACATTTGCTAACAATTGTTAATTCCTATCTGTATATTTCTTTTCAGCTTTACTGTTACTTTTATCAGTCAGCCATCATCTGGTACCTGCAGTAGACTAGTAATCAGTTTCCTCAGAATCACTTTGGCCTCTCTTCAGTCTACATTATTGCTCTTTAAAAAATGCAAAACTGGGGCCAGTGTTGTGGCTTAGTGGGTTAAGCCACCACCTGCAATGCCAGCATCTCATATAAGCACCAGTTTGAGATCCTGCTGATCCACTTGGATCCAGTTCCTTGCTAATGCAAGCCTGGGAAAGCAGCAGCAGATGACCCAAATCCTTGAGCCCCTGTACCTATGTAGGAGACCAGGAAGAAGTTCCTGGCTCCTGCTATGGTCACCAGTGTGAGGGGCAGGAGCACAAGTACCTGAGCCATCTTGTGCTTTCCGAGCCACATTAGCAGGGAACTTAATGGGAAGTGGAGCAGCCAGAACTTGTGCAAGTGCTCTAATATGAAATGTAGAATGCTGACATCACATGTGGTTGCTGAACTCACTGGGCCACAATGCTATCCCTGCTTATTATGATTTTCAGACAGTGGGAACATTCTGAAAGCATCCCACAAGAATTTCTTATGCTCAAGCCCAGTCCTCTGTACTCATCATTTCTCATCATTGATATTCTTTGCTAGCTAAACAAATAGTGTCTATGGTTTATATCTTTGGGAACTCTTTGCTTCAGTTTTCATTGATCCAAGTTAAATTTTTTAGACTTATTTTATTTATTTGAAAAGCGGAGTTTCACACAGAGAGAGAAATCCTCCATCTGATGGTTCACTCCCCAAATGGCTGCAACAGCTGGGGCTGGGCCTGGCCAAAATCATGAATCAGGAGCTTCTTCCAGGTCTCCCATGTGGGTGCAGGGACCCAAAGATTTGCGCCATTTTCCTCTGCTTTCCCAGTTGTATTTGCAAGGAACTGGATGAGAAGTGGAGCAGCCAGGACTGGAACCCGCTCCCATATGGGATGCCAGCACTACAGGTGGCAGCTTACCTCTTTAAACCACAATACTGGCCCCAAAGTGAATTATATTTTCAAATTTGATCCAAAATATCTTGATTGTTTTCCTGATATAATGTGCCTAGTATTTTAGTCTTTATCCAACTGGAATGTTTTGTTTTTAATCTAGATGTCAAGTTTAATGTGTAGTTTTTTTATTCACTGAACTGAAAAATAAGTTGGGTCTTGTCCTACCATAATTGCTTTCAGTTTTCAATGCTGAGAAAGGCAAAACTCCTAGTAGTGCTATTGTTTCTGTAAAAATGATTTTTCCTTCCTTTTTAGAGATTACAAAAAAAAATCACATAGAGACATCTTCTGTTAACAGCTTAAAGTGTATCTTTCCATCCTTCAAGACATAGATGTGAATGCATGTGTTTATTTGTGTAATAATAATTTTATCAATATAGGTTTTTATAATACTTTTATATGCTATTACTTGAGTCTTTTTTAAATAATTGTTCCAATTTAATATATATGAAAATCTCTTTTACAAGTTCTTGAAATCCTTTACCTTGCTTGGTCTTGGAAAATTGCTAGTCTTCTAAGTAACCCCACTTTCTCAAAAGATTATCTTACATCATGAAAATAAAATTTGAAGTTTCCTAAATAGAAAATTTTATCAATCCTTTCTCATACTACACACTTCCCATCCAGGCTAATTTATTCTCCTTCTCCCTAGTTGAGAATTACTGGTCTACTGTTTGTCACATAGAAGAAAAAAATCATTATTCACCTATTTTAGCATTCTTAGAGTATTTTCAGGAACAGCAGGAGAATTAAAGTTTTGGGGGGAGGAATTAATTTTAGCCTATTTACCATGCATAAAGGCATTACGATTCTCACCGTTTATGATTACTCAGGGTCTCAGTGGTATCAGGACTATGCAATGGTATGTAAGTAAGAGGTATAAAAAGTACAGAATGGGGGCCGGCGCCATGGCTCACTTGGTTAATCTTCCGCCTGTGGTGCCAGCATCCCATATGGGCGCCAGGTTCTAGTCCCGGTTGCTCCTCTTCCAGTCCAGCTCTCTGCTGTGGCCTGGGAGGGCAGTGGAGGATGGCCCAAGTGCTTGGGCCCTGCACCCGCATGGGAGACCAGGAGGAAGCACCTGGCTCCTGGCTTCGGATTGGCGTAGCTCTGGCTGTAGCGGCCATTTGGGGAGTGACCCAATGGAAGGAAGACCTTTCTCTCCGTCTCTCTCTTGCTCACTAACTCTGTCAAATAAATTTTTAAAAAAATGAATTACCATCATAAAGGGTGGAGATGGAAGAAGTGGAGGGAGTTGAGAAAATGGAGCAATCTGGGGTTCATTCTGCATGTAGCTTCTGACTTGCCCCCAACACATCTGTCATTTTTCTCATCCCAGTTATAGGGAGCATGAATATATATCTCTTCTTTACTTGCAGTCATCTTTAGAACCACTCTCCCCAGAGCACTTTCCCCTCATCAACCAGTCATTTTCCCCATTGTGTGTTCTCCCATAGTGTCCTCTTCCGTTTACACCCCCTTCAAAATGTTCATCAAAGTTACCATCCTAATGCTAACATTCTTACATGTATTATTATATATCTATTATATAAGGAGTTATACTAACCTGAGGCTACAAGGGTGCATGAGACATTTTCCATATCCTCATGGAATTCACTTTGTCTCAGATGGATGTGAATAGATAGCTGTTGAGACATAGGATAAGTTACTTGAAGATAGAAGAGCTAGTAACAACTGTATCATGAGGCATTCATAAAAAAAGGGTTTCAAAAGAGTTTAGGAAATTAATAGGACTTTTTCTGAACAGCAGATTTCTAGCCAGAGGAAACAGCTTTGGAAAGCCTGAAGGGGCCAGTGTTGTGGTCTAACAGGTAAACCCATTGCCTGCAATGCTGGCACTTCCTATGGGCACTGGTTTATGTCCCAGCTACTCCACTAATGATCCAGCTCCCAGTGGCCTGGGAAAAGTGGCAGAAGTTGGCCCAAATACATGGGCCTCTGCCAACTCATACGGGAATCTGGATGAAGTTCCAGGTTCCTAGCTTTGGCCTGGCCTAGCCCTAGCCATTGAGGGCATCTGGGGAGTTAACCAGCTGATAAATGATCTCTCTCTTTGTAACTCTGACAGTCAAACAAATAAATAAATAAAATAAATCTTAAATAAAGAAAAGCCTGAAGATATTTAAAATGAAACCTTCACATTTTGTATCTTGGATACCACCCTAATGAAAATTAGGTAAATGCTAAACTTCTCCCTTTCATCTTATACATTATATATGTAAACTGGATATGGTATGGGCAAACCATATTCAGATATTTTAGAATAATTAAATTTATATCAACTATAGGGAAAATTGTCAGGCTTTATGTGAAATGATGTGAAATCTAAGGCGTCTGAATCACCAGTCTTAGATGTTGAATAATTTGCAGTTACTTCAGTACAGATTTGGGTTTTATATTAAATATTTGACTTGAACTTTTCCTTTAATTATAGATAGTTGGATTCTAAAGTATATGAAATAGCATGAAAAATGGTCTGATGAATCTTTTGCCTTCTCAGAAATGCTTGATGAAGGCATTAGTTGACGATTTTACAATATGAAAATTGAATTTTGGAGAGTGTCAAGACTCTACAGAGCACAAAGACCTACATTTGAATTGATATTTTAAGACTTAGCTGTCTGTATAACTTTTCTTTCCAATATTATAACCCTATAAAATTATTCTATCCAGTCTAGAATACTTATTGTTTCCTTCACTTTTCACATTCCTGCCTTCCATTTCAACTGTTACTGTATACTCATTTAAAAAATATATAAAAATGTCATAATAATTTCAGGTCGATTCATTGTTGTAATTATTGCTTTATATTTATTCAGATGAGTTCAAATTTATTATAAATGTGGTCTCTTGGTAGTCTCTTGGTCTACATGGATTTTTCTCTCCAGTTGAGTTGAGAGTGAGAAAGCATTCACTTTTTTAGATACAAATACTGAGAAGTTGTATAGCTAAATCAGTAGAGAGGACTTAAAGATAGAAATTAAAATGGGATTCTCTTTAATACTTTGGATTCCTGCATAGTGGTGTCAAAATTCACATTGTAACTTAACAGCAAAATTTATTTTTCAGTGACTTATTAGGTTATAGAGGATTTAGATCATTTTCAGTTTAGTTGAAATTAAAGTTAGTGACAGACTACCTGACTAGCAAGTGTTTGTTATTCAGACATTGGTGAACTTATTTTTTCAGTTTCCATACTGTTAATTTGATTTGTTGTTTTGTTTGGCTCCCTGGATGTTTTCATACCCCCAAACAAGGCACCAGGTAGGGATCAGGATAAGTGGGAAGTATGCCTTTGTTTTGTGAAATGAGTGCGAGACCATTATACCAGCAAGATCAGAAAAAGTGCACTTCAATTACAAGAACAGTAAAACTCTAGGAAAGGACACTTAGGGAAATTGATTCCGTAAATCTGCCCACTTGTGTATACTTTTTGAAACTCTTCATATACCTCATACTCTAGTTAAGCCACTAATACAATTCAGCATGTAGATAAAGAAACCCATGACTTGCTCAGCCTCACAAAGTTTATTTTTTAAAATAATCTCTTTGATGTTAATGTTTATATAGTGACAAGTTTTCCTTGAATGCTATTCAGAATTTTTAAAAAACCTCAATGACTATATTTGGATTTACCTATTAGAATATCAGAGACATTTTTAAAGATGAAAATTCATGGTAGAATATAAGTTTCATTATATTTTAACAATGTTCATTTTTTAACAGGTGGCCAATATGTTCTACATTGTAGTGATTATGGCTCTTGTGTTACTTAGTTTTGGTGTTCCCAGAAAGGCAATACTTTATCCTTATGAAGCACCATCTTGGACTCTTGCTAAAGATATAGTGTTTCATCCATACTGGATGATTTTTGGTGAAGTTTATGCATATGAAATTGATGGTAAGGATTTATATGTAAAAATTAATCTTTTGGTTATTTTATTTTGTTTTATAATAATTGTTTTATTTTACTATTGCTATATAATAATTTGCATATTTTCAATTAAACTGTTACTAACCTAAACCCCACACAAAGCATTAGTTAACTCTAGAAGAAGCATAAAAATAATTGAAAATATATATTTTAGAATTTATTTTAGCTATAAATAATGGAAATCTGGTTTACACATAAAGAATATTTATTAGCTCACATAACAAAAAAATTCAGAGTTGTAGTGTTCGTCAGACTGGATAAATTCATGAATAAGTACCCTTGTTCTTTTTTATCCCACTCCTCTGTAGTCCTGCTTTCTGATATGTACATGTTTCCCTTATAATTATAAAACTGTTGTTGGCAGTCAGAGGAAAGAGACACTTTGACCATGGTTCACTTTTGCAGAAATTCCGCCCCCCTTTTTTTTGACAGGCAGAGTGGACAGTGAGAGAGACAGAGAGAAAGGTCTTCCTTTTCTGTTGGTTCACCCCAACAATGGCCGCTGCGGCCAGCACACCGTGCTGATCCAAAGCCAGGAGCCAGGTGCTTCCTCCTGGTCTCCCATGTGGCTGCAGGGCCCAAGTACTTGGGCCATCCTCCACTGAACTCCTGGGCCACAGCAGAGAGCTGGAATGCAAGAGGAGCAACCGGGACAGAATCCGGCGCCTTGACTGGGACTAGAACCTGGGGTGCCAGCGCTGCAGGCAGAGGATTAGCTTATCAAGCCTCAGCGCCGGCCAGAAATCCCTTTTTGAACCTTTTTTTTTCCCCCTCATCTCATTAGCTCAAGTTGCTTTTAGCCTTCCCCTCTCTAAAAGGACTATAGGTAAAGGGAGTGGGATTTACCATGAGAACATATAGACCAATATGGGTGGATTAAATACTGAAGAGTCAAGCAGAGTGTTAATCACAAAAATAATAATCTTGTGTAAATCCTGTAGGGTTTACAGCATGTTGAGTTTTACAAGGATTGACAGATTTTCAGGTTTCTATCAAAATTTGTGAGTACATTCTCTGAATAAACTAAAAAACAACAACCACCACCTCTTCAACCCAATTCTTAAAGAGAACATTAATGTTTTTGCACAATTTTGTTTTATTTACACTTTGACTCTTATATTACCTTAGTTAATTGGGGCTAGATAATTTAATAATTTTTGAAGGTTTTCCCTTCCTTATTTATATTCAGCTATATTTTGGCTTTGGAAACTAATGCAAGGGGTAATGGAAAGTAAGGAATTCATATCCAATCACAGTGTGTTTGAGAAGTACTAGCTACTCTTTCAGTTCTCTTCAGACATATTTAGATAAATTTAGTAATCTTTATGTTATTTTTTTTTTCAGTAATCTGTATGTTAGTAAATTAAGGTTTGCTGTGAGTCTACCATACTGTGAAGGTTCAGATGTTTTTCTTACAGAAATATTGTGGTGTGGCTGCTCACAAGAATTTTGCACTCCTTATTGCTCCTCAGGCTACACCCTACCTTAAAGGGTAAATAAGATGTGTAACCTTGTCAGAATGGAGTAGTGAAAGAAATAACACATCTCTCACAAAATCTTCCTGTGCTAAAATACTTTTAAGCTGGAGTTTCTATATTTCCTGACCAAAGATTTTTGCTGGGTACTTTGAAACAGAGTTGTATGTAATCAGGACTTCCATTAAGTATAGTAAACAAATAAGCTTAAAAACAAATGAATAGCAATTACTGGTGAAATACTATACTAAAAAATTTGTTTTTCTATCTGAAGTGTGTGCAAATGATTCCGTTGTCAAGGAAATCTGTGGTCCTGGGACATGGTTGACTCCATTTCTTCAAGCAGTCTACCTCTTTGTACAGTATATCATTATGGTTAATCTTCTTATTGCATTTTTCAAGTAAGTACATTCGATTGCTTATTACAGTGAATGATTGACTATACAGTTTCTACTCATTTTGAAGGAAATGTACAGAATTTACGAAAATTTTATTGAAGCTTAAACTACAGAATTAATCTTTGGAAGATTAAAATAGCATATGTTTTTTTAAATCAGATGGGTTCTATATTTTAAGCCTATTTATTTATTTTAAAGATTTTATTTATTTGAGAGGTAGAGTTATAGACAGTGAGAAAGAGAGACATTGGTTCACTTCCCAGATGGCCGCAGTGGCCAGAGCTGCGCTGATCTGAAGCCAGGAGCCAGGTGCTTCTTCCAGGTCTCCCATGCGGGTGCAGGGGCCAAAGGATTTGGGCCATCTTCTGCTGCTTTCCCAGGCCATAGCAGAGAGCTGTACTGGAAGGGGGGCAGCTGGGACTAGAACCGGCACCCATATGGGATGCTGGCGCTGCAGGTGGAGGATTAACCTACTGTGCCACAGTGCCGGCCCCAAAACCTTTTATTTAAGGAATGCAAACTTCTCACCTTTCATAAATACAACTTTAGGAACATAGTGATTCTTCCTACCATACCCACGCTCCTACACTTCTTCCTCCTGCCTATCCTATTTCTATTTTTAGTTTTTACTAAAATTTTTTTCTTTTTCTTTAGATTTATTTATTTATTTATTATTTTAGCAGATTTATTTATCTGGTAACAGAAAGATAAATACTGCATGTTCTCTCTTGTATGTGGGAGCTAAAAATTAAAGAATTGCTGAGTGTATCTGTTTTGCTACAAATACAGTATTTTGTTAAATGTTGCTTTAATTAATTGTCTAACAAGTTGATGGGAATTACATACCAGTATAGTTTTTATAATTTTGTGACTATTTTAAAATTTACTTCACATAAGAAAAAAAATAGGCCTGTGTCCCTAACTTCCCGCCAACCTTCAGTATTGTCATTTTAATGGTTTTGAGTTTTATAGTAAATATAAGAAACTTGTTTTTATTTGCATTTACTTAACTACCACTGTGATGGACTATTTTTTTTTTATCTTTTTACCATTTGTATATAATTTTTAAAATCTTAAAAATATTTTTTCCACGTTTTTCTCAGAGACTATATTTATGGTCCTCAAGAGTGGCAGGTTTTTGCCTTTTATTTGTGGCTATGTATTTACCAGTTTCTCATTTTTAGTCTTGTTTATGGAAGTAAAGAACTCTTTTGAGTTCTTATTTAGTACAAAGTTATGGCAAAGCTTTTAGTGTTTAAAACTTTAAGATGCAATTAACTGAATTTATTTTTATTCTCTGTTATTTTAGCAATGTGTATTTACAAGTTAAAGCAATTTCCAATATTGTATGGAAGTACCAGCGTTACCATTTTATTATGGCTTATCATGAGAAACCAGTTCTGCCTCCTCCACTTATCATTCTTAGCCATATAGTTTCTCTGTTTTGCTGTATATGTAAAAGAAGAAAAAAAGATAAGACTTCTGATGGACCAAGTAAGTAAAATATATTAATACAAATTTTTTTATCTCTTCTCATATTATACTAAATGCTACGAATTTATTTTATTGGTTAGTGTTATTGCAAGCCTTTTATTAAGTTTTCTAAACCTAAGGACATTTTTAGGTGAAGTATGATATCTATAAAAGTTATTTGGGGGGCTAGTGTGTGGCTCAGCTGGTTAACCTGGTGCCTGCAACACTGGCATTGCATTTAAGCACCAGTTTGAGTCCTGACAGCTCCACTTTTGATCCAGCTGCCTGCTAATGGGCCTGGGAAAACAACAGAAGATTGCTCCTGCAACCTACATGGGGGACCCAGATGGAGTTCCAGCTTCTAGCTCCAACCTGGCCCCATGTCTGACTATTGCAGCCATTTGGAAAGTGAATCTGCAGATGGAAGATCTCTCTGGGTCTTTTTCTCTGTGTGTAGTTCTACCTTTCAAATAAATAAAATAAAATCTTAAAAAAAAATGAAGAATGGAAGATAGTATCTGAAATTATTATGATATCATATTGCAGTGTGAGTGAAGACAGTGCTACTTGTCTAGTGCTTTAGAAGCACAGCAGTGAAAAGACAAAAAAATTGTAGTTGATGGATATATTCTTGAGCACTCTAAATAAAAAAAATCACAAAACTCATGAGCTAAAGTTTGATAGCTTGATAGCTCTTTATTCATTTTTCCCCTTTTTCTTTCTTAGAACTTTTCCTAACAGAAGAAGATCAAAAGAAACTTCATGATTTTGAAGAACAGTGTGTTGAGATGTATTTTAATGAAAAAGATGACAAATTCCATTCTGGAAGTGAAGAGAGAATTCGTGTCACTTTTGAAAGGTTCAAAAGCTCTTTCACTGAAATTAATTATATGTCAGAAAGGATTCTGTTATGTTTATTATGCGTGTAGTCAATGTTCAATTTTGTTGAATAAGTAATAGTTTTATATTATATATTGATTATGTGTCTTAGGTGTGGTCATTGTTCAACTTATTTGTTTTTAAAGATTTTATTATGTATTTATTTGAGAGGTAGAGTTACAGACAGTGAGAGGGAGAAACAGAGAGAGAGGTCTTCCTTCCGTTAGTTCACTCCCCAGATGGCCGCCGCAACCGTCGGAGCTGTGCTGATCCAAAGCCAAGAGCCAGGTGCTTCTTCCTGGTCTCCCATGTGGGTGCAGGGGCCCAAGCACTTGGGCCATCTTCTGCTGTTTTCTCAGGCCACAGCGGAGAGCTGGATTGGAAGAGGAACAACCGGGACTAGAACCAGAGTCCAAATGGGATGCCAGTGCCGTAGGCAGAGGATTAACCTACTGTGCCACAGCACCGGCCGGCTCCTCAACTTGTTTTGTCTTACAAAATGTTTAGTAATCATTTTATATTATGTTTTTTTGTTTTTTGGGTTTTTTTGACAGGCAGAGTTAGAGAGAGAGACAGAGAGAAAGGTCTTCCTTTTTCCGTTGGTTCACCCCCCAAATGGCCGTAGCGGCCGGCACACGGTGCCAATCTGAAGCCAGGAGCCAGGTGCTTCCTCCTGGTCTCCCATGCGGGTGCAGGGCCCAATCACTTGGGCCATCCTCCACTGCCTTCCCGGGCCACAGCAGAGAGCTGAACTGCAAGAGGAGCAACCGGGACAGAATCCGGCTCCCCGACCGGGACTAGAACCCGGGGTGCCGGCGCTGCAGGCAGAGGACTAGCAAAGTAAGCCGCGGCGCCGGCCATATTGTGTTTTGAAAAGACAGTTCAATTCTTTGTCTTCAGTATTTCATCTAACTCAGTAAGTCAAAACTTATTATTTTTGACCCTAGTTACAGATGTCAGAGAAGAATAATGTTCCTTGCTGTTCAGGGGAGAGGAGTGAAACTATCCTCACTTTTTGAAAGCTTGTCTTCTTTCTATTGCCTTTGCTACATTCTGGAACTATATGGTATTTGTGTAGTTACAATCATAGTATATCTATGCCTAAGTACCAGTATACATATTTTTTGAGAGGAAGTTGGAATAAATAGGCTGTGGAACAAATTTATTTGTAGAATTTTTGTTGATTTGAGATGTAGAGTTACAGACAGATAGAGGGAGAGACAGAGAGAGGTTTTCATCTGCTGATTCACCCCCCAAATGGCTGCAACGGCCGGAGCTGGGCTGATCCAAAGCCAAGAGCTAGGAGCCTCTTCCAGGTCCCCCAAGCCTCTTCCAGATCTCCCACACGGGCACAGGGGCCAAAGCACCCAGGCCACTATCTTAATGCTCTCCCAGGCTACCAACAGGGAGCTGGACCAGAAGCAGAGCAGCCAGGACACAAACCAGTGCCCATATGGGATGCCAGTGCCGCAGGTGGCAGCCCTGCCCACTATGCCACAGCACTGGCCCCTCAAATTTTTTTAAAGATGGCTTTTCAATAATTTTTTTAAAAGATACATTCATTTGCTTTAAAGACAAAGTGAAAGAGAGAGAGAGACAAAGAAAGAGATCTTCTGTTCACTGGTTTACTCCCCAGTTGGCCGCAGTGACTGGGGCCCTCTTCGTTGCTTTCCCAGGCACACTGGCAGGGAATTGTATTTGAAGTGGGGTAGCCAAGACACGAACTAGTCTCACAGGCAGGAGCTTAACCTGCTCTGCCACAATGCCCGCCCCACAAAAATATTTTTGAAATCTTGCTTTTTATCATAGGATTAGCACTAGATTCTTTCTTTCTTCTTTTAAGGCAGAATTAGTGAAAGAGGCAGAAAGAGGGATCTTTCAGCTATTGGTTCACTCCCCAAATGGCCACTCCCTTGGCTGGGCCAGGCTGCAGCCAGCAGCTAGGAGCTTGATCAGATCTCCCACGTAAATGCAGAGGCTCACACTGGGGCCATTTTCCACTGCCTTCCCAGGCATACTAGCAAAGAGCTAGAGCAGAAATGGAGCAGCCAGGATTTGAACCAGTGCCCATATAAGATGCTAGCACTGCAGGCGGCAGCTTAACCCACTGCACCACAGCACTAGCCCCTAGATTCTTTATTAAACATAAGACATGCCTTGTAAAGAGTAACCATATTTTATTTTACAGTTTATGGTGTTTGAGTGCATGTAAAATCTTTTTACCATAATTTATTGAGACTACAGAAACAATTTCTACATTACTTTTTAGCATTTACAGAAAGCCTGTTTTTCCCTTACAGAGTGGAACAGATGTGTATTCAGATTAAAGAAGTTGGAGATCGAGTCAACTACATAAAAAGATCTTTACAGTCATTAGATTCTCAAATTGGACATTTACAAGATCTTTCAGCCCTAACAGTAGATACATTAAAGACACTCACTGCCCAGAAAGCTTCAGAAGCTAGCAAAGTTCATAATGAAATAACACGAGAATTGAGCATTTCCAAACATTTGACTCAAAACCTTATGGATGATGGTCCTGTAAGACCTTCTTTATGGAAAAAGCACAGTGTTGCTAATACACTTAGCTCCTCTCTTCCCCAAGGTGATATTGAAAATAATAATCCTTTTCTTTGTAATATTTTTATGAAAGATGAAAAAGATCCTCAGTATAACATATTTGGTCAAGATTTACCTATAATACCCCAGAAAAAAGAATTCAATTTTCCAGAGGCTGGTTCCTCTTGTGGTGCCTTATTCCCAAGTGCTCTTTCTCCTCCAGAACTACGACAGAGACGACATGGCATAGAAATCTTAAAAATATTTAATAAAAATCAAAAATTAGGCAGTTCATCTAATAGTACACCACATCTATCATCCCCACCAACCAAATTTTCTATTAGTACACCATCCCAGCCAAGTTGCAAACGCCACTTGGAAAGTGTAACCAAAGATCAAGAAACTATTTGCTCTAAAGCTGCAGAAGGAGATAATACAGAATTTGGTGCATTTGTAGGTAAGTTTAATGAACTGTTATTTGTATTGTCAATATTGCTTACTTTTTACCTTAGAACTAAAAGTTATCACCTAAGGAAAAAAATGGTTTTTAGATAATTAATAAAAGCAAGTACTATGTGACAGGTATACTGTTCTTTCATAAGAGTATAGTTCTAAATAACTTAAAAGGAATTGGTAGTGGGGAAAATAGGTTTATTTGGGTTGTAAAAGTTACAAAGTCATATGCCTCTTTGGTATTATTTACTATACTAACAATTGTATGTGGAAAACTTATGTGGACTTTTATCTTTGTAATTTAAGTATCTTCAGTTGAATTTGATCATCTCTGTTGAAAAAACCTAAGTGCTTAGTGATTGTTAAATCCCTGGGGAACAATAGAAAGGTACAGGGGAAATTAGGAACAAGTAGACAAGGACAGTACTCTATAAATAAGGGAGATCATATAATTTTTTATGCAATTCAGGACAATTGCTACTGATAATTATATTATTAGGAAAACAATTATTTACTTGCCTAATAAATAGAGAATAGAAGCCAGGTATCTCCTTGGGAACTAAGTACAGTCATGTGTCCTTGATGGGGGTGTGTTCTGAGAGTTCTGAAAAAATGCATCATTAGGAGATTTTGTTATTTCGGCAGTTATAGAGTATCATCTTTGAGCATACTTAAATAAACCTAGATGGTATAGGTCAATCATTTGACATGGCATCTTGATGAAATGTATGAGGCTGCTACTAGTATAACATAGCTGTATTGTTTTATGGTCATTTTTTCAGTAAGTAGGAGTACACTGTGAAGTAACAATAGAAGCTGTGGTATAGTAAATATATAAGCTAGTAACATATTCATATATTGTCATTATCAAGTCTTCAGTGCATCATTGAGTAGGTTTCTCTTTTTTATGATTTATTTATTTGAAAGGCAGAGTTACACAGAGAGAGAGAGGCAGAGAGAGGAAGAGAGATCTTCCATCTGTTAGTTCACTCCCTAGATGGCCACAATGGCCAGATCTGGGCCAGTCCGAAGGCAGGAGCCAGAAGCCTCTTTCAGGTCTTCCATGTGGGTGCAGAGGCCCAAGGATTTGAGCTGTCTTTCACTGCTTTCCCAGGTACATTAGCAGGGAGCTGGCTCGGAAGTGGAACAGCTGGGACTCAAGCCTATGCCGCAGGCTGTGGCTTTACCCCGACAGACCACAGCGCCAACCCCTTGAGTAGGTTTCTTTGTACCAATATCACCACCAACATGTGAGTTGTATGGTAACACTAGGCAATAGGGACTTTTTGAGCTTGTGAGACCACTGACTTATAGTCCATCATTGACAGAAACATTATACAGCGCATAACTGTATTTATATATCCAGATGGTATGCCATGTAGAAGGAATAAGTGAAGAGGAAACATTTCACAGAGCTAGCTAAATCTTCTATTTTGAAGGATATAATGTTGTCTCCTGATAGATTATTACAGATTAAAGTATTTTTATTTATCTGAAAGGCAGAAATGGGGGGACGGGCATCTTCTGTCTGCTGGTTTACTCCCCAGATGGCCACAATGGCAGGGGCTAGGCCATTCTGAAGCCAGGAGCCAAGAGCTACTTCCGGGCCTCCCACCTGGGTGCAGGGGCATATGTTCTTGGGCCTTCTTCCACTAATTTCCCAGGTGCATTAGCAGGGAGCAGGATGGGAAGTAGAGTAGCTGGGACTCAACCGGTGCCCATATGGGCTGCTAGCACTGCAGGCAAGGTTTAACCTTCTATGCCACAGCACCGGCCTGAGATAAAAGTATTTTAACAAAAAATTCTTAGGAAATGTTGTGATTGTTTCTGAAGGTTAGCAGATGTTTAGAATTATGGATGAGGTCCTTGGCCTCCTCAGATTTGAATTTTTCCATCAGTGGTTTCTTAATCTTTAACACTTTGTGCCTTTTATGAAACAAGCAAAAATACTGTTCTGAGAATATGTTAATGAGCCTATGTAAAATGTTTTAGGATGCCATTGTCTTGATGTGATATTAAACGGAAGAAATCTTCGCTAATGTCTTGACAAATATTTTCAATATTATTCATCAAAAGAGCTAAAGGAGACTGAAAAGCAATTGAAACTTTAAAAACAGATCACTTGTTTTTATAGGTGTCTGGTGTTTTCATTATTTTTCAGGTTTAGGAATATCCAAAATTTTTTATTACAACCTTTTATTTTTCAGGACACAGAGATAGTATGGATTTGCAGAGGTTTAAAGAAACATCAAACAAGATAAAAGAATTACTATCTGTAAGTATATCTTACTATAACAAGACAGTTCAACTTTATTTCACTAATTTGATGTTTATTTCAAAATAGAATTAAACATTTTTTCAGTAGAAATATAGCTTCAGCAGAGACCCTCATCAACATAATCAGATTTGACACTATACCTACTTTGAAAAAAACAGAAGAAACCTGAAATAATGTACAAATAGCTTGCATTTTAAAGTTAACTAAAATATGAAAATGTAACCCATTCAACATTTCTTTTTAAAATGCTTATCCCTTTATGCTTTCTATTAACTAAATAGTTCAATTCTTTTCCTAGGCCCAAAAGCTTATTAGAATATGATTCTGTTGTCTAGCAATAAAAAGTTGTATATAATATACAAGTACAAGACATTGAAAAAATGTTTGGTAAATTTTTTTTTAAGATTTATTTATTTATTTGAAAGACAGGGAAATATACAGAGAAGGAGAGAAAGAGAGAGATCTTCCATGCACTGATTCACTCCCCAAATGGCCACAAAGGCTGGAGCTGGGCTTATCTGAAACCAGGAGCAACTTCTGAGTTGGGAGCATGTGGGTACAGGGCCATCTTCCACTGCTTTCCAAGGAGCATTAGCAGGGAGTTGGTTCAGAAGTGAACAGTGAGAGACTCGAACCAGCGCCCATATGGGATGCCGGCATCCCAGGTGGAGATTTAACCTTCTATGCCATAGTGCCAGCCACATTATATAAGTGTGTGTGTGTGTGTGTGTGTGTGTTTTTAAGATTTTATTTATTTGAAAGACAGAGTTACAGACAGAGGTAGGGACAGAGAGAGAGGTCCTCCATCCACTGGTTCACTGCCCAGATGGCTGCAACAGCCGGAGCTGCACCGATCCAAATCCAGGAGCCAGGAGCTTCTTCCAGGTCTACCACGTGGGTGCAGGGGCACAGGGACTTGGGCCATCTTCTACTGCTTCCCCAGGCTATAGCAGAGAGCTGGATTGGAAGAGGAGCAGCTGGGACTAGAATCAGCATGTGGGATGCCCGCACTTCAGGCCAGGGGGTTAACCTGCTGCACCACAGCACCGGCCCCACATTATATAAGTTTTAAAAAATGGCAAGAATGTCGGTTTCCTGCCTAAAAATTACTTTTATTTTCTAGCTTGCTTTCATGAATATCTGTAACTATTCAGTACCTTCCAGGTAATAATGTAGATAATTAAGATCATTAAAATAATTAAAACCTAGGAAAGGATTAAGCTTCTCTATGCCTTAGAGAGCTTATATTGTAGGAATCAATGACAAAATGAAAACAATTTTTCCTAAAGCTAAAGCAAAGAAAATGATAATGACATGAGTTTCTATGAACAATTGATTTTCATGTGATCTAAAGTTAATTATATAATTGCTATTGGGCCATTTTGTATATTATCTTACATATAACAATGCACTCATGCATTTTGATGACATTTGCATTATTATTTATTTTTTATTTATTATATTTGAAAGGCAGAGTTATAAGGAGACAGTGGGTCCCAGTGTTAATTATTGCAATAAACTAGTACTTAAATTAATTTAAATCTAAAGATACACTTTCTGACTTCAGTGTTCCAAGCGTTTTTGCCTTTTTTTTTTTTTTTAAGATTTTACTTATTTATTGGAAAGGTAGAGTTACAAAGAGAGAGAGAGGGAAAGAGAGAAATCTTCCATCTGCTGGTTCACTCCCCCAAATGGCTGCAATGGCCAGGACTGTGTGAGGCCAAAGCCAGAAGCCAGAGCTTCTTCCAGGTCTCCCACGTGTGTTCAGGGGCCCAAGCCCTTGGGCCACCTTCAGCTGCTTTCCCAAGCACATTAGCAGGAAGCTGGACTGGAAGTGGAGCACCTGGGTCTCAGACTGGTACCCGTATGGGATGCAGGCTTCACAGGCCACAGGTTTACCTACCTGTGTGCTACGCCACAGCACTGGCACCAGCATTTCTATTTTCTAGTAGTCCGTGTTCTGATTAAAGTATTGCATTGAATTGATTAATTTAGTGGCTGTTAGCTAGATGTTGTTACTTAGAATTTATTTGATGATTATTTGGAAATTGAGATGTGATAATTACATGGAGCTTTTTTTTTTCATGTTTGCCTTTAAGTTTAAAGTAGTTGTATGATTTTTACTTCAAATAGGAACAGCAGAATGATGTAAGAAACATGATTATGGAGTATTCAGAGATGCCTAAACATCAGGTAAAGTCTCTTTAATATATATGGGAGTCAGAAAGCTTAAAATGTACATGTCCATTAGTTGGAGAAGTATGTGTAAGTTCAGTGAACCTATCATAACACTATCATTTGCACGGTTTTTTAATCACTTTAATTCTGTGGCCTACTTCTAAAGATCTGAATTTTCGATTATGTTTAATGATTTGGAAAGACAGATATAAATACATAAGTTGACTGCATTTAATTTTCCCTGGCTGACAATTGATGATGAAAAGAGAAAGAAATACGAAAAAGTGATAAGAAGTAAGAAAAACAAGTTCCTCTCAACTGGAGTTGATTTTGTGATTATTGTGATGTGACACATGCTATTCTATGTAGGGTTTTTCTTCAACAGGTTTTAACTGATATAGATTTTATAAGTATATAGTGATATGTGTATCTTCATTAAAGTTACTCATAATCTGGAGATACTTTATAAATTTTCTTAACATTTTTTCCTGTATGTAAATTATTGTATCACTGCATTCTAGTGGCATCTTTTGGCTGTTGCAAAGCATTTGATGTACATTGTAAAGTTTAGGGTGAAGCTGCATTTTTTAATGGGACAGGATAAAGCATCACTATTTCTCCTTTTAATGGTAAAAGAGAATTGTGTTGCAAATTTTAAGTAGGTCAATTTCTGATGAAAGCAAGAAGTATAAATTTCTCTGAGTTAGCAGAAAGGTGGTGACTATGTTTTGAATTAAACAGTTTGAGTAATTTACTTAGAGGAAATAAACTGAGAATATCTATGGGCTCCATTTTATGATGGTTGGATATCTTGAGTTCTTGACCATGTATGGGTTATAAACCCCTTTAAAAATCTAATAAACCTTCCTAGAAAAATGTCCACATAAAAATTGTTAATTTTTCAAATACTTCAAAGTCCACATCTTAGTCACAGGTTAGAATTCTTGTGTTATTATATCAAAGAGTATATAAAGGAAAGTGTTTGAAATAAGGCAAGCAAAAAATAACTAAAACTGGTTCCAGGAGGAAAATCTAAAATCAGATATGAAAATAAAATCTACTTTGTAACTACCAGATAAAGGACTCTAGCTTGGCTATATAAACCAGCTACATGTTAAAAGCATGGAGCCAGACCAGTGCTGTGGCACAGCAGGTTAAGTCATGGCCTGCAGTGCCGGCATCCCATATGGGCATTGGTCTGAGTCCTGGCTGCTCCTAGCGTATGATCCAGCTCCCAGCCAACGTGCCCATGAAGGCAATGGAAGATGGCCCAAGTCCGTGAGCCCTGGGCTCCTGGCTTCAGCCTAGCACAGGCTTGGCTGTTGCAGCCATTTGGGGAGTGAACCAGCGGATGAAAGATGTCTCTCTGTCTCTCCTTTTTGTTTTTTTTTTTCCAAGATTTATTTTCATTTATTCGAAAGGCAGAGTTACAGAGAGTCAAAGACAGAGAGAGGTTTTCATCTGCTGGTTCACTCACTAGATGGCTGCAACGGCCGGAGCTGTGCCGATCCGAAGCTAAGAGCTTCTTCCAGATCTCCCATGTACATTGTAAAGTTGGGCAAGGGCCCAAGGACTTGGGTCATCTTCTGCTTTCCCAGGCCATAGCAGAGAGCTGGATTGGAAGTGGAGCGGTTGGGATTCGAACTGGCACCCATATGGGATAGCAGTATTGCAGGTGGCAGCTTTATCTGCTGTGCTACATGCCAGCCCCTCTCTGTCTCTCCTTCTCTGTATCTCTCTTCAACTCTGCCTTTCAAATAAATAAATTTTTAAAATGAGCTTGGAGCATCGAAACCAGAAAGTATATCTTTAGATTTAAATTAAATTAATGAAAGTACCAGTTTATTACAGGAATAACCTTGTGAGACCCATTGTTTCTGAGAGGTGGCAGAGGTTTAGAAATAGTTTAAAGTTGCTTAATAGAATGACTTGGAGATGAGAAAGCAAACCAATGTGTCAGAGTGTCAGATCTTACTAACTTGCTTCATGCAAGTCATTAGTTCATCTAGAAAAATAAGCAGGTAAAAAGAAAATGAGTTAGCTGTTAGATACTAAAACAATATGTAGCCAGAAAATTGAAACATGAATATTTAGCAAGACATTTTGGCTGACCTAGAAATATCACTCTGATAAGAAGTGAAGAAGGAATATTGGGTAAGAAATGTATATGGAAGGGAATGCTTTGCCAGTAAATACAAACTGGACAATTGGATAGAAATTTAGAAAAGTCTGTTTATGTTTTCATTATTTCATAAGTGTGAGTGAATTCAAAAGTTAATGTAAAAATTGAAATCAGGAAAAACAACTTAAGAAAATGGAAGCGATTAAAGCCAATAGAGCTTTCCTTTTTTTTTTTTTTTTTTTTTTTTTGAGACATTTATTTATTTTGAAAGAGTTACAGAGAAAGAGGGAGAGACAAAGAGAGATCTTCCATCTGCTGGTTTCACTCCCCTGATGGCCAGAACTAGAAGGGCTGGACCAGGCTGGAGCCAGGAGCCAGGAGCTTCTTCCTGTTCTCCTCCATGTGGATGGCAGGGTCCCAAACACTTGGGCCTTCTTCACTGCTTTTCCCAGGCCATTAGCAAGGAGCTGGATCTGAAGTGGACCAGCCAGGTCATGAACCTGTGCCCATAGAGGATGCCGATATTGCAGGTAGCAGCTTCACCCACTGTGCCACACCGCTAGCCCCCAGTAGAGCTTTCTAAACATGCAAATAATAGAAAATATTGGGAAAAATTATAAAAGGATTTTAAGTACCTAAAAATGTAAAGCATAGGTAAGTCAAAATAAATTTGGAAAAAAAAAAAAGTTCGACAATGATCAGATAGATAAATTTGTTTCGTAAATATCTCATAGAAATCATTAAGAAAACCGCCAGGGCCTCCAAAAATGAAATATTTTCTTCCAAATCAGTACTCTAAAGTGCTAATGTAAGTAAGATTACAGCTTTCTGTTTTTCTTTTTTCTGTTGGTGAATTGGTAATGGATTTATTTTTTCTACTGTTCCCTTATAGTTACCCAAATATTTGTCATTTTATATTGTTATGAAAAAGGAATAATTCAAATAGATTTATAAACAATAAGCAAGGAGGGTGTTTTGTTGCAGTTTTTGAGGTTGACTTTGAAGAAAATAACCATAGACTGTATTATTCCCTTTGGTGTCCATGTAAAATAAAGTATATGGAGCTAAACAGATCAATGGATTCTTAGAACAGTGGCCTGCAATTCACTTTAATTATTCTAAAATTATGTGTATGTTCAATATATGCAGAATGATAATCCTTCTGAAAATACTTTGAAACATGTGAGTTCTTTTGCTGGATTTACTGAGTGTCAGAAAACTTTCAGTTCTCTTCATTTGGAACAAGGTGAGTGTTTTGACTATATGAATTTTATTAGCAAATATACCTATTTAAGTTTTAAGTTAAGGACCTGAGTGTGTGTATGTGTGTATAAAAATATATAAAATATACCTATTAAGTTTTTTTATTGTATCTTTGTTAATGATCCAAAGTGAGAGGATAAAGATTCTGGTCCATCAGTATTACTGTAACTGTGAATAATCCTAACATTCTAATATTTTTTATAAAACTGTCTATTCCATAAATGTGAAGTATAAAGACTTGCTTATTACAAATCTGATATTATCTTTGATGTGTCTTAATCATTTTAAAAAGAACTAATATTATTTGTACATTCATTGTTAAGATATATACCCTTTAGGAACTCTCATTCTGTAATTCTGCGTGTAACCATTTTTTATCTATCTTTAGATTTTCATGTTTATGCAATAATATGTGATAATTCAGTCTTTTTTAACTTTGATCTTTTACTACAGAAGACAGTATACCATATATACTGTTTTACTTAATATATTGTGTTGCTTCCATATCATGCTTTTTTAAATGAGTTCAAATTACCTATGTAATTTAAATGTTGAGAATACTGTTAAGAGAAACAGTATTACCATGTCCCTCTCACCATGCACTGAATTCAGCAGTATATGTCCTGACCAAGTTGGCTATTCTCCAGGAATGCAAGTTGGTTTAATGTTCAAAAATATAATTACTATGATGCATGATAAAAGCAGATTAAAGGAGGAAAATTGTAAGGTCATTTCAGTAGTTACAGAAAAGGGATTTGATAAAATTCAATAGTCATTCACAATTAAAATTCTTAGTAAAATAAGAATGAAATGGCATCCCTCTATTGATAAGGGGTGTCTACGAAGAGTTATCACAGACATAGTAAAATATTCAAAGTCCATGATGGGGAACAAGACAAGGATTCTGGCTATTACTTTTTCTCTTTTACATTTTAAATCGGAGCAATTAACATTTACCCTTTTTTTGAAGTAGGTTTGGACTAAACAAAATATGACAGTGTGTTATCTTAAATCACAGACTATACATTGTAACATTCTTGATAATAACAAGAGATTGGCGAATTGGACCAGATGTTCACCAGTAGGAATTTGTTTAAATTTATTATTATATGCCCATAATATGAAACTAAAGGTAGCATCATAAAATAATAAAGTTTATTCTGCTTCCATGGAAAATCTCCAAGCTTAAACTTAAACCAACAACAAAAAAATTTAAAAATACATATTATGCTACTATTTATATAAAAAGAGGTGTGAAAGGCAGGGGTACACATACAAACATAAAACACTCATACATACTACCCCTGAAAAAATGCATAAGAAATTAATCACTTTGATTGCCCCTAACAAGGGTGATTTGAAGACAGGTGAAAGAAAGATGTTTTATTTACTTATTCTTCTTCGTTTCTTATTTCCTTTTTACAATAAATAAAGTGAATAGTTTATTCAGCTCATAGGCTACATATAGCTCTCGGTGATCAGCAGTGTTGGGGAGATTATAAGCTATTTTATGCAGGTTATACGGTACCCAGAAATACTTTGTGTTTGGTCAATTGATATTAATTGTGACTTTTTAAAAATTTTCTTAGTGGAAATCAATAGCCGAAGGCCATCTGCAGAAGATACTCATGAAGTAGATTCCAAAGCAGCTTTACTACCGGTTTGTACATTTGAATTAAACTGATGCGTGTTATTAAATGCATGTTTAGTAAAGTTCTATAATTGGTAATATTTTATTGGAGGTTGCATCAAGCTTTCAAAAAATTTTACTTTAGAAAACTTATATCAGGGGTAGATGTTGGCACATGGTTAAGTTACTGCTTCAGTTGCCCACATCACATACTGTAGTGCCTGGTTCAGGTCCCAGGTATTTGGTTTCTAATCCACTTCCTTGGGAGGCAGCAGATGATGGCTCAAGTACTTGGGCCCCGGCCACCCACATGGGAAACCTGGATGGATTTCTTGGCTCCTGGCTTTGGCCTGGCCCAGTGCTGGCTGTAATGGGCATTTGTGGAGTGAATCAGTGGCTGGAAGATCTCTCTGTTTCTCTGCATTTCAAATAAAGATTTTTTGAAAAGATAAGAGGGGCTAGCGCCGGAGCGCAGTAGGTTAATCCGCCTGCGGTGCCGGCATCCCTTATGGGCACCGGTTCTAGTCCCGGCTGCTCCTCTTCCAATCTGGCTCTCTGCTGTAGCCTGGGAAAGTAGTGGAAGATGGCGCACGTCCTTGGGCCCCTGCACCAGCATGGGAGAGCGAGAAGAAGCACCTGGCTCCTGGCTTCGGATTGGCACAGCTCAGGCCATTGCAGCCATCTGGGGAGTGAACCAACGGAAGGAAGACCTGTCTCTCCCTCTCACTGTCTGTAACTCTGCCTCCCAAATAAATAAATAAAATCTTAGAAAAAAAAAAAAAAGATAAGAAAACATAACATCAGTGCTTGGTAGCAGTTACAGGAAAGTTTCTTCCTGCTGTGAATAGTCAGATTATGTAGAAGACAAAAAGGCAAGGATCTGTTTTTTGTTTTAATTGAACTTGAGTATATGAACTCATTCCTTGCCAGCTGAGATAATAGGGAACTTCAAAAAGTTGATGGAAATGCATTTTATCTTTCAATTCCATTTTTCCAAGAACTTTTAAAAAACCTCCTCTTTTTGATTTTGCAAGTTTCCTTGAAAAGCAGACTCTGGCAGCAAAGATAACTCAGGTGAAAGCAGAAAAATTGTTCCTTTATATTCAAGAATGTAGAAATCGGTGCTCATAATTATGATCAAGAAAATACTGACTTGGCATTTAAAATATATATTATGTAAAGAGAAAATGTTAAAGTGTTAAAAATCATGTTATTTAACAATAAAAAATTGTTTCCAAGGGGAGATGAGTTGGTTACCACAGACTTCCATAGTAATAAATCCTTCTGTTTAGAGGGACCCAGTCTTAACCTAAGCAGCACAGTTTTGCAACAAATGAACTTCCTATTGAAGAGACCTCACAGTGCCACATTGAAAGACTCGTGGACATCAACTTACACAAGCAGTATTAGACCTCTGTTAGTAAAATTATTGGTTACAGATTATAAAAATAAGTATGTTTAAATTAATATAAAACATAAAGAAAAAAATATAAAACATGAGGAAAGGAAAAGATAACTATTTTAAAAGACTGGCATATTTATAAAGAATCTAGAAATATATACTCACTGAAAATGAAAGAACAGTGTAAGTAGACATGTCTAAAGAGTTACTCAACTGGACCTGATACAACACAGATGGAAAATATGTTAAAGATAAAAAGACAAGGAAAATATATGTACTTGACCTTGAGAGAGTGGAGAATTTGAAGAGATTATAAATGACTTAGACTTTTCCAAGTTGATGAAATGTGTAAAAACTCATTGGAGAAATGAAACTAAACCAGACCTAGAAACATCATTAGAAACCGGCGGAATAAAAACCATGCGCACTTAAACACAAAAAAGCTATAGTGAAATGTGACAAAATGCCATTTGTGATTATTATTGAATGTTCAACTTGGCATGATTTTAATTTGTTTGTACTTTGATTTTCTTTGAGCAGAGGGCCAAATCATAGTAAGGTGGAGTCTTCAAAAAGTTCACGGAAAAATTCCTGTTATAAAGAAATCATGCATGAATTTCAAGAAAAGTTTTGCACAAGAATGACCTAATTTTTTAAAGTGTGTATTTGATGGATAAAGACAGTCATACAGAGAGCAATCTCCCACCCACTGATTGCCCAGATGCCTGCAACAACCAGCTGAGGAAAAAGAGCTGAACATCTTTTTTATTTATTTATTTATTTATCTGTTTATTTTTCATATATTTTTTTTTTTTTGACAGGCAGAGTGGATAGTGAGAGAGAGAGAGACAGAGAGAAAGGTCCTCCTTTTGCCATTGGTTCACCCTCCAATGGCCGCCACAGCTGGCGCGCTGTGGCCGGCGCACCACACTGATCCAAAGCCAGGAGCCAGGTGCTTCCTCCTGGTCTCCCATGGGGTGCAGGGCCCAAGCACTTGGGCCATCCTCCACTGCCTTCCTGGGCCACAGCAGAGAGCTGGCCTGGAAGAGGGGCAACCAGGACAGAATCCGGCATCCCGACCGGGACTAGAACCCGGTGTGCCGGCGCCGCTAGGGGGAGGATTAGCCTATTGAGCCGCGGCGCCGGCCTATTTTTTATATTTTTTAATGTATTTGAAAAACAGAAGGAAAGACAGATCTTCCATTTGGTTGGTTCACTCCCCACATGGAAGACAAGAGCATGAAATTCGATCTGGGTCTTCCATTTGGATCAACCTCTGCATTCTTAAAGCATATTATAGGAAACAAAACAGCATTAAACAGTTACATTTATAATACAGTTTTTTTTGTATTTAAGTTTTTGTTTGTGTTTGTTTTTTGCTGAAGGATTGGTTACAAGATAGACCATCAAAAAGAGAAATATTGTAAGTAAGCCTTTTCTTACTATTAGTCAAAGTATTTATAGTTACTGATGTTTGTCCTTTTTACTGATCACTACATCATCTCTTTAACTTCTCTTCATCTTTGGTTGATAATTATTGTAGTCTCTCCTGTCTTTTTGTATGAGGTTGAGGTAACTTATTATGCATGAATTTAGTTTCATCATTTTATAGTTATCCTATGATTACAATCCTATTGAAATCTTTCTAATAGTGATAAATTATGATTCTATGGTTTAGTCCTATTTTCACCTTGTTCTTGAATAAGTACGAGTGACCTAATTTGAAAATTTAATTTTGTACTTCCTTGACTTCTTTGTCCATCATTCTAATCAGACTTTGCATTTGCTTTTGGCAAATGCATTGATGGTTACATCATTAACATACAATATATGTTAGAAAGCATGGATACAAGTTGTTGATTGAGTAGAGCACATGGATATATACATTTTCTATGTTGGCTTGGGAGAAATTGCAATACTCAGGAGTGAATCTGAATATCAGTTTCTTCAACATTCATTACATAATCATAGCTAAAAATTCATAAAATTAAAAAATTAAATGGTAGCCAAAACTTAAATTGTAACACAGCTATACTATGTTCTTTTGTGTTTCTTTAGACCATCTGAAGAAGGAACATTAAATGGTGAGTCTCTGGGATAGATTAAATGTGGGAAACTGTGAACCATATATGATCTATTATAGCAAATAACAGATTTTCCTAGGTACCTTTTAGATTTCAAATTTGAAAAAGCAAAGATAGTAGCAAGTTCTTTCTTCAAATAATTTTTCTTTAAAGTAATATAGATATTTTAAAAACATATTGCCAAGCCTGTGAATGACATTCTCTTTACTGTCACCCCCTTCTCTTCATCCCTTCTGCTCAGCCTGCTCCTCCTCTAATATTCCCTGTTTGGATGAATGATACTCTTTTAGCCAGCTGTGTGAAACCTGAGAGTTTGACTACCTTGTCTTTATGCTCACAAAGTCCTATTGCATTTACTTGTTAAATATTTCCAGAACCCATCTTCCATTATATATCCCATTGCTGCTTTCAGTTCAGACCATCATTTTTAAAACCTTTTGTTGAAGACCTCTGCCCCTAAAAACACAGTAGGTTAGTTTTGCTTGGTGTTTGTGTATGTGTGTGTGTGTGTGTGCATCATTAAGTATGTACTGCCCTGGATTCTTTAAATTTTTATGACTTTTATGAATATTATATGTATAATGGCAGCTTGTGCATTCTCACTATTGTGTACTGTTTTCTTGTGTGAATATATTGAATTTATCCATTATTCTTACTGTTTGATGGGCATTTTTTCTTCTAAAAGATCTAATCTTGTCATTCCTCCACTTTACATTTTCCCCATTGTCATTCAATGAACTCAAGTATTCTTTCTTAAATAAATAATTTGCATGCATTTCATAAATATAACTTCGGGAGCATAGTAATTCTTCCTACCATACCTGCCCCCCCCCCCACATTCCTACCTCTTTCTTCCTCCTCCCTCTCCTATTCCAAGTCTTATTTTTTGCTAAGATCTATTTTCAATTAACTTTGTACACGGAAGGTTAATTCTATTCTAGGTAAAGAGTTCAACACTTTGGGCCGGCGCCATAGCTCACTTGGCTAATCCTCCACCTGAGGCGCCAGCACCCCGGGTTCTTGTTCCAATTGGGGTGCTGGGTACTAGTTCCAGTTGCTCCTCTTCCAGTCCAGCTCTCTACTGTGGCCTGGGAGGGCAGTGGAGGATGGCCTGAGTGTTTGGGTCCCTGCACCTGCATGGGAGACCGGGAGGAAGTACCCGGCTCCTGGCTTCAGATCGGTACAGCGCCAGTCGTAGTGGCCATTAGGGGAGTGAACCAACGGAAGGAAGACCTTTCTCTCTGTTTCTCTCTCACTGTCTATAATGCTCTCTCTGTCTCTATCTCTCACTGTCTAACTCTGCCTGGCCAAAAAAAAATAATAATAATTCAACACTTTGTATGAGAAAGAAAAAAAAAGTGTTCCTTCAACAGTCCAGACAAGGGCTGCTCAAAGCCATTGCATCTTGAAGTTAATTTTGCTCCTTTTTTTTTTTCAGCATTCTTTTTTTTTTTTTTTTTTTTGAGAAACTTAATTATCTTTAAAGAAGAACCAAGAATGATATATCTTTTGCGAGTACTTAGACATAACTATAACTTATGAGACATAAGAATATCTTCCACTTAATACACTAAAATGAAGTAATTCTTTGAGAACGAGTTTTATTATTAACTCTCATGATATAGCTCTTTAAGGACAGAGGTCCTACCTGGAAAGTTAGAGCACAGTGATTCTTGTTGTTAATTTAACAATTAACACTTTTTCTCTTTAATTTAATTTAATTTTCTCATGCTAATCATTGCAGTCTTTACTTGACAATCATGTTTATAAAGTTAATTGAAAATAGATCTTAGTGAAAAATAAGAGACTAAGAGAGAGAGGAGGAAGACGGGTGGCAGTGTGGTTGAGAGGGCAGGCACGGTGGATAGAACAGAACCATAATGTCCCTAAAGTTGTAATTGTGAAATATATGAATTTTGTAACTGTAAAGCAGGATAGTTCTGCATACATTCCTATGGACTTACTTCTAAGAGTACAGTTTAAAAAGTTGCCATGGGGCCCCAAATCCCCTTAAGCTGGGTAGTAAAAATACCCTTTTAAGTGTTATGGTGACCATTTGGATAGGATTAAGTGTTAAAGTGATAAAATAAATAGGACTGAGTGTTTGGTAATAGTAATAGAATTGAAAAGGAGTGAATGCTCCAACATGGGAAGCAGTCCATGCAGCAGACTCATAGAATGACAATCATGTTAAGTAGCACTCTGACCTCAGAATCCGCCCTCAAGGCATTCTGGTCTGGGTGAAAAGCCCATGAGAACATTTCAGGTATGGAAAGCCAAGAAACTGTGGCAAAAAGTGTCCTACATAAAGGACTCTGTGGGTGAGACCCCAGTGGAAAGAGCTGGCCATCAAAGAAGGGTGTAGTTTTCTCTGAAGAGAGAGAACTTCCACTTTGCTTATGGCCTTCTCGAAATACAGAAGGAGTATGTGGAGCGTTCTTAGCATGGTATATTAGGCTGTTAACAATTTGATTCCCTATTTCTCTGGCTTCACCTCCTATAGGTATGCTGTATTCTTGCTCATCAATTTATAATTTGCATATTCAAATCATGTACAGAGAATCTCATCTTTTTTTCCCCCCAAGATTTATTTATTTATTTATTTTAAAGGCCTAAATACAGAGATAGAATGAGCGAGAGAGAGGAAGATCTTCCATTTGCTGGTTCGTTCCCCAAATTGCCACAATTTAAGCCAAAGTCAGGAGCCAGGAACTTCATCCGGTTCTCCAAAAAGGCTGCAGGGGCCCAAGTATTTGTGCCATCTTCTTTTACTTTGCCAGGCACATTAACAGGGAGCTGGATCAGAAGTGGAATAGCCAGGACTCAAACCAGCACCGATATGGGATGCTGGCACTGTAGACAGAGGCTTACCTTTCTAAACCATAGTGTAGGCCACAGAATCTCTATTGATGACACACACCTGCAGAGTTAGACTATTTTGGAGTGAATGAATTCTGGTTGGATATACATAAGTTCAGAAAGTTTCACAGGTCTGACTAGTGTATATATAAATAGTTCTGTTCATACTACATGTAGTTTCCCAAGTGTAGTATGGACAATCACTCCTTTGCAAATTACTTTTTTCCTCCTAGACAGCCTTTGTAGTTTTTCTTTTTTTATGATTTATTTATTTTATTGAAAGGGAGAATTAGAGAAATAGAGAGAAAGAGACAAATCAGTCTTACATCCACTGGTTCATTTCCCAAATGGCCACAGTGGCTGGGATCATGGCCAGATGGAATTCAGGAGCTCAGAACTCAAACTGCATCTACCACTTGAATGTTAGGAGCCCAAGTACTTGGGCCAACTTCTGCTGCTTTCCCAGACACATTAGTAGGGAGATAGGTCAAAAGTGGAGCAGCTGGTACTTGAACCTGTGCCCATAAGGGATGCTGATGTCACTGTACCATGATGCCATCCCTTTTGATTTATCTTTTTAAAAAATCTATTTGAGAGGACTGGTGCTGTGGTACAGCAGGTTAACGCCCTGGCCTGAAGCACTGGCATCCCATGTGGGTGCTGGTTCGAGACCTGGCTGCTCCACTTATGATCCGGGTCTCTGCTATAGCCTGGGAAGGCAATAGAAGGTGGCCCAAGTCCTTGGGCCCCTGTACCTATGTGAGACCCAGAAGAAGCTCCTGGCGCCAGCTTGGGATCAGCACAGCTGCGGCCATTGCCCATTGCAGCCAACTGGGGAGTGAACCAGCAGATGGAAGATACCCCCCCCCCCTTCTGCGTGTAACTTTGACTTTCAAATAAATAAATAAACCTTTAAAAAAATCTATTTGAGTGGCCAGCGCTGTGGCGTAGGAGGTAAAGCTGCCGCCTGCAGTGCTGGCATCCCATATGGGCTTCGGTTGAAGTCCCAGCTGCTCCACTTCCCATCCAGCTCTCTGCTATGGCCTGGGAAAGCAGTAGAAGATGGCCCAAATGCTTGGGCCCCTGCACCCGCATCGGAGACCCAGAAGAAGCTCCTGGTTCCTGGCTTCAGATCGGTGCAGCTCTGGCAGTTGCAGCCAATTGGGGAGTGAGCCAGCGGATGGAAGACCTCTTTCTCTGTCTCTCTGCCTCGCCTCTTTCTGTGTAACTATGACTTTCAAATAAATAAATAAATCTTAAAAAAAAAATCTATTTGAGAGACAGAGCTCACATTGCTAGTTTGCTTCCCAAATGCCCACAATGGCCAGAACTGGTCCTGGAGTCATCACTATGAGCTGTAAACTCAATCCAGGCCTCCCACGTTGGTGGTAGGGACCCAACTACTTGAGCTTGCCCTCTTAGCGAGAAACGGGAACTGAGGTCAGCAGTATTCCAGTATGGGACTCGGGTATCTTAACTGCTGGACCATAATTCCTGTCCTTTGTGAGATCTCTTGACCTGTTCTCAAGCAAGAGGAATCCTTTATAGTCCTTACAATCTGCTTGCATGTGTTCTGTGTATGTTGTCTGTACTTAAATAGTACTAAAACTGTTGACTAACTTCCTTCTGTGAAAGAATAGGATTGCTTTACTTTGTAATATAGAAATTTAGTGCACAGCATATCTGATTTATTCTCCATCTTTTGCTTCTTGCTACATTTATAAGTAAAGTCCTTAAAAATTTTAGAGATATAAGAGGGCATTTGGGACATCTTTCATATCATAGAAGTTCATCTTCTCATGGCTAACCTGCTGAAATGGTTTTATGGCTGCAGTCCCCAATCCCTAAAGATCAGAACAAAGACATTTTTTCTTTTTGAGGGGGCAGAGTGCAATTTATGGCAAAAGGAAAATGAGAAACATCAATGTGCTTCTTCCCTTCCCTGTATACAGAGACCACTAATCTGACATAATGAATTAGGGTAATACTATAGCATGTTCTGGACATTTTTATTGTGTTTTCTATTTTCATGAGAAGTTCCATAAAGAAAATTGAAGATGATTATATGGGAGTATCTGAGCAAAAAGTAGTGCTACACTTGTAATTTTAAAGTTGTCGTTGTTTATTTGCCATTTTAGGTCTTGCTTCTCCTTTTAAGCCAGTTATGGATACAAATTATTATTACTCAGGTCAGTAATACTAAAAATAAAATGTTATTAGTAATACTACTAATAAAAATATTTTGAATACTTAGAGATTTCATTTTTTCTCTTTCATTTTTATGCAGCTGTGGAAAGAAATAACTTGATGAGGTTATCACAGAGCATTCCATTCACACCTGTACCTCCAAGAGGTAAATCCAAAAAGTAAAGAAATAAAAAAAGGAAACTTGACCTTCTACTGATTTTTAACTAAAACCTAGAACATTGCTGGAGACAGAGATCACATTAAGAAATACAGTTTTTAATATAAATCCTTAATTAGTCTGACTACTTAGAGCGTGGCATAGACTTAAATACAAGGTGGAATCATCTGAAAGTTTTTTTAACTTTCAAAATTTTGAAAATGCTGATCATGGCACAGAAATTTGATATTATGGAAATGCATTCTTGATTTTCTCTGATTTGTCATTTTTAAAATTCTTTTTATGTTTATAAGACTATGTATAATGTGCTTCATTTTTTTTTACTATTCCTTAATCTTAAGCAGATATTTGTATATTTTTGTTCAACTTTATCGTTTTTAAAGAGTCATACTTTGATATTAAACTGTATTCATTCATATTGCAGGTGAACCTGTCACAGTGTATCGTTTGGAAGAGAGTTCTCCCAGCATACTGAATAACAGTATGTCTTCTTGGTCACAGCTAGGCCTTTGTGCCAAAATAGAGTTTTTAAGTAAAGAGGAAATGGGAGGAGGTTTACGAAGAGCTGTCAAAGTACAGTGTACCTGGTCAGAACATGATATCCTCAAATCAGGACATCTTTATATTATCAAGTCTTTTCTTCCTGAGGTGGTTAACACATGGTCAAGTATTTATAAAGAAGATACGGTTCTTCATCTCTGCCTCAGAGTAAGTGACAGTGAATGCCTAGCAGTGAAATACATTTGAGTTTCATATTTTCACTTCTAAAGTATGAAAAAAAAGTCTTAGTTTGAATATTGAACAGGAGATTTTTCTCCCTTCTGTAGGAAATTCAACAACAGAGAGCTGCACAAAAGCTCACATTTGCCTTCAATCAAATGAAACCCAAATCTATACCATATTCTCCCAGGTAAATCTGTACATGTTCCTGAATCTTTTATTATTATGTGGATACTAGTCTTTTTTGACCTTCATTATTGATGTTGAATATTGTATTCACATACCCATTTTGCAGATCAATTTTAATTCTACTACCAAAACCACTAATATCTATATTTCATTTTTCATAAGATTTCTGGAAGTTTTCCTGCTGTATTGCCATTCAGCTGGACAGTGGTTTGCTGTGGAAGAGTGTATGACTGGAGAATTTAGAAAATACAACAACAATAATGGTGATGAGATTATTCCAACTAATACACTGGAAGAGATCATGCTAGCCTTTAGCCATTGGACTTATGAATATACCAGAGGGGAGTTACTGGTACTTGATTTACAAGGTAAATTTATGAAAAAACTTAGAATTGTACAATAGTTTCTCACCTATTCATATTATATGTGATACACAGAAATCTACTAATTTAAAAATCTTAGACCAATAGAAACTATAAAATAAGCAGATCAGTAACAACCATAACTTACTGCCACCAGAGCCTTGAATAAAGGGATCTGGCTATCTCAGTTGTTGTTAAGGTAATAGATACGTTCTGATAAGCAAAAACATGTGAAATCCCAGGTTCTATGCTCTGATGTTCAGCATTTATATTTTGAAAGTGTAAAGACTTTCTCTAAAGAGAACCCATAACAAAAATCTCTATTGTTTTTGGTATTTATGTTCTATTACTATGAACCAATCAACCTAAAAATTTAGTGGATTAAATAACCATTTTAGTTTGATTCCAGAATTTAGGTGGCATTGAGAAGGAATAACTCATCTCTGCTCTCACTTTGGAAGTCTTGTCTGATGGGAGACATTGGACAGCTTATGCAGCTTGACCTGAGTTAAAAGTGTCTGAGATCTCTTCAATATCAGCTGGATTCCTCATTTCTCCAAATGGTCTTTCCATATGTCTAGCTGGCCTAAGCTAGTGGTAGTTATAGATAGATGGACTTCATACTGGCTAGCCTGCTTCCACTAGAGAGAAAGCAGAAATTCCTCAAGGCCCAGAACTGACCAGCATCCCTTCTGCTGCTTCTCACTCATCGAGATATAACAGGCAGCCCACAACCAAGGGGAAGGGAAGTAGACTCCTGCACTTAAAGTGGAACATCATGTATAGAGGGAGAAAAAAATTGCTCATAACCATCTCAGTAGATAGACTCTGTCATATAAGTGGAGCAGCCAAGACTCAAACCAGCACCCATATTGGATGCCAGTGCCACAGGCGGAGGCTTAACCTGTGCCACAGCACTGGCCCCAAAATCAGACTAGATTTTAAGTCCTATAAGAAAATTGCTTATAATGCTTAATTCTCAGTGAATCTTTTCATTGTAGAGATAGAAGTATTAAGGATTTGTTGAAAATAGTTGGTATTGATTCAGTTCAGGAATGAAAATCTGTATACATAACCTTTTTTTAGTAATCAATGTATATTGAAGATTAGGAGTATATATACAGGTACAATGAGAATGCTGATGTAAATTATTAGTTAAGCCAATCCAATTAAATTTAAGAATAATTAAAATATATTCAGTAAATATCAGTTAATTTCGTTCAGGCATACAAAAGTAGTGAAGAAAACAAATTTTGTCATATCAATCACCATCAAAAAGATGGTGATTGTTTTCAGTTAGCAAAGTAATTATGATTTTTTTCTTTGCATAATTAATGTGAACCATTTTTTAGGAATATTTTACATGGTTGCTGCAGCAAATTAAATAATAAGAGAGATGTAACTGCTAGGCCCAGTACCTGCCCCTGAGTTAGTTCATTCATTCTTTCTCTCTCTCTCTCTCTCTTTCTTTCTTGATTTTATTTGTTTATTAAAAAGGCAGAGTTGCAGAGGGAGAGCCATAAAGAAAGGTCTTCCACTCACTGATTCACTCCCCAAATGACCCAATGGCCCCGATTGTTATTTTTTAACTTTTTAAATATTTATTTATTAATCATTTATTTGAAAGGTAGAGTGACAGTGAGTGAGAGACAGCGATATCTATCTGCTGATTCACTCCCTAAATGCCTACAACAGCTAGGGCTGGGCCAGACCAAAGCCAGGAGCCAGGACCTCCATCCTGGTCTCCCCATGTGCATAGCAAGAACCCAAGTCCATGGTCTGTCATCCACTGCTTTCCCAGGTTCATTAGCAGGAAGGTGGTTCAGAAGGAAGCAGATGAGTCTCTGGGACTGGAACTTGTGCTTATACCTGCTGTGTGACAACACAGAACCCCTCCACCACCATTGTTATTTTAATAATCGCTGCTTTTTTTTTTTTTTTTTTTTACAAAAGATCGTAGTTAGCTAAGATCCTGCTCAGCACTGTATGAGTGCCCATTTCTCCACAGTTTCCCAAATATTGAGTATTCTTAATCTTCAATCTTTGCCAGTCTGTTGTGAAAATTAGTTTCTTATTTTCTGATTTTTCCCTTCTGTGAAATTGAAACATTTTATTATATTTCATTTAAATAGGTTAAATATTTATGATTACTCAAAACATCACTAGGTATTATTTGTGTGTGTGTGTTTGTGGCTGGGGTGAGGGTATGGCAGAATAGATAAGAGCTAGAAAGTTTTTTTTTTTTTTTTTTTTTGACAGGCAGAGTTAGACAGTGAGAGAGACAGAGAAAGGTCTTCCTTCTGTTGATTCACCCCCTAAGTGGCCACTACGGCCGGCGCTGCGCTGATCCAAAGCCAGGAGCCAGGTGCTTCTCCTGGTCTCCCATGTGGCTGCAGGGCCCAAGTACTTGGGCCATCCTCCACTGAACTCCTGGGCCACAGCAGAGAGCTGGACTAGAAGAGGAACAACCAGGACAGAATCCAGTGCCCCGACCGGGACTAGAACCCAGGGTGCCGGTGCCGCAGGTGGAGGATTAGCCTAGTGAGCCACGGTGCCGGCCAAGAGCTAGAAAGATTTAACCAGACAGTATTTCTGGGGAGAGCTAGTGGTGAAAGAAGATGCTCACAGTTGAACTCTTTGTGTTACCTGAATGTTTTACATAAAATGTGTTACTTGTTGCTATGTGATTTTTTTTTTTTAAATCATAAAACACCCTTTTAAAAAGTTCTGTGGAGTATTCCTTCATGTACCAGATCATTCTTTGCTAACTAAGCATAAATGAGAGTAGATTGTATAGGCCTTTACAAGTAAGGAGACAGCTGCTTGCAGCCTTTTCCCTGTTGAATTAGAAGCTGAGTGCCTGCCTACTAACTTTTACATTTAAATCTCACATCCCAAGAGCTTTGTTTATTCCTGGTGGGGTGCTGGGATCATAAATCAAGTTACAAAATATGAAGAAAGAAAAATTACATCCTTTGAATAGTTTAAATTATAATGATGGATTATTTGCTATAAAATCAAGATTATTTTTGATTGTGCACATGTCAGTGTTTATATCAATTATATAATTTGTTTTTTGTCCTTTTTATGTGTACATAAAAAGGTGTGGGTGAAAATTTGACTGACCCATCCGTGATAAAAGCAGAAGAAAAAAGGTAATAAGTTTTAACAATTTCATTAGGGCATATTTTCATAATTTCAAATTTGCATTTCTACTTGCATAAACTACCTTTTTTTTTCTTTTAAACTAACAATTCTACAGATCCTGTGATATGGTTTTTGGCCCAGCAAATCTAGGAGAAGATGCAATAAAAAACTTCAGAGCAAAACATCACTGTAATTCTTGCTGTAGAAAGCTTAAACTTCCAGGTAAAGATTTTAATCAGTATAATACATGAATTTTTAGTTAAGTTGGCTAGTATAATACCTCATAAGGTTAGAGGTACAAAGGTTTGATTTAATGGCCTCTAATTATGCCAGCTTTAGCAAGTCCTTCATAAATACACATTGTTTGTTATAAATGGATCTGTGATTTCATTATTCATAAAAACATTTTTTCATTTAATACATCACATGTGTACAGGAATTGTGCTAGATACTGATGGTATAATATGAATAGACAGATATAGTTCCTTCCTTCATGCAGTTAAGTCAGGTGTTCACTGCTGACAGTGTTGCAGGACCAGTACAAAAAAATAAGAGTGCTATAGAATTGTAAACAGGTTACCAAACTCAGACTTGGGGATCAGAGAATGATCCTCGGGAACTGGTGTACTAGATTTGAAGGGTGAATAGGCTTTCAAGTTAGCCTGGCAAAAGTTAGGAAAGAATATTTCATAAAACAGGAACAGCAATTGCAAATATACTTATATTCTGTTATGATAGTAAACTTTGTATTTTAAGTTACACATTGTTGTTTAATTATAAATTACAGCATAAGTTTAGTTCTTTGCCTTTTGTGCACAGTTGAATCTCCTGTTTAAGTCTTTTTAAATTACTGCTGTCTGGGATTCACCCTTGATCTGTATTCTTTAAAAGTCCCGCTCATTAAGACCAGTAACTTCATAGTTAGGAGCCTGGCCTCAGGAGCCAGATTTCATGGTTCCACAAAGTGCCTGTATCATCAAGATTGTGTGTGTATATGTTTGTTAGTGTGTTTAAAGATGTATTTATTTATTTGAAAGTCAGAGAGAGAGAAAGAGATCTTCCATCCTCTGGTTCACTCCCCAAATGTCTGCAGTGGCCAGAGCTAGGCCAGGCCAAAGCCAGGAGCCAGGAGATTTTTCCGGGTCTCCACGTGGATGCAGGGGCCCAAGGATTTGGGCCATCCTCTGCTGCTTTCCCAAGCACATTAGCAGGGAGCTGGATTGGAAGTGGAACAGCCAGGATTCAAACCAGCACACATATGGGATACTGGTGCTGCAGGTCAGGTCTTTAACCCACTGTGCCACAGTCCTGGACCTGCTTTTGTTTGTTTGTTTTAAGATATATTTATTGGGGCTGGCGCTGTGGCTGTAGTTTAGTTATCAAAGCCTTTGCTATGTTGTCTTTTCATGCATGTACCACTCAGGAGTGAGTCTGGGATTGAGTGGGATTCACCCACAAATTTAGGGTATCCCTTTCTTCATTTTCCTCTTCCTATGATTTCCTTCAAACTCTGTGGATGTCAAGGTTCTTTTTATTTTATTTATATTTTTGTGCTTTAACTAGAAAGCCAAGATTTTAGCCTCTTTGTACTGTCATACATGTCTTTAAACGGGATGCACCTATGGTACTTAGAAGCAATGGAAGTGCCTCTTTGAGGCACCTATTCCCATTTCTTCTAATCATAGAGGACTTTTCTCAGGATTGTAGTTGATTGTCCTACAGACGGCTATGAGTGACTCTTCATGAATGAGGCTTGTCTTAGGATCAGAGGAGCAAGAGAAAAATTCAAAAGTCGGCATTTCCCTGAACATTGTGTACTCAACAGAGTTCCTCCACCTGATCCTCAGCTATAGAAAGTTTTAGAGCTTTTTCTGTGTACATTTACTCTACATTTACGGGATCAAGCTGTCTTCAAACCTAAGCCTAGAAGTAATAGAGGGGGAAAAAACTAGGAAGCTCACCACTATATATAGGTAATTGTTCAGGTTCTTCTTTCCCGGGTCTGCCTGCTATTTACTTTCAGAAGTTTCAGATGGTTATTTTATGTTTTCTTTTTCTTTCTTTCTTTTTTTTTTTTAGATTTATTAATTTTTATTCCAAAGGCAGAGTTACAGAGGTAGAAAAGGAGAGACAGAGATTGAAGGATCTTCCATCTGCTGGTTCACTCCCCAGATGGCCACAATGGCCAGAGCTGGGCTGATCCAAAGCCAGAAACTTCTTTCAGTTATCCCACGTGGGTGCAGGGGCCCAAGCACTTGGGCCATCCTCCTGGGCTTTTCCAGGACATTAGCAGGGAGCTGGACTGGAAGTGGAGCAGACCAGACTTGAACCAGATGCTATATGGGATGCTGGTAGGCAGAGGCTTAACCCACTATATCACATCACCGGCCTCATATTTTATGTTTTCTTTGCAGAATTTTTACTTCTAACCAGTGGCAGAAATAGAGTGGCACGTATTTAGTTCATTTTAGCAAGAGCTAAAAATCGAGTTGAGATTATTTGTTCATGATTACACCCATTAGTTCACTACCTAATCAAGACTTGAACTATGGGGCTGGCACTATGGTGTTATCAAGTTAAGATACCACCTGTGGTGCATCTCATATGGGCGCTTATTCAAATCCCTGGCTGCTCTACTTCTGAACCAGCTCTCTGCAGATGTGCCTGGGAAGGTGGTGGAAGATGGCCCATGTACTTGGACCCCTGCACCCATGTAGGAGACCATGAAGCTTCTGGCTCCTGGCTTCAGTCTCACCCAGCCTGTCTGTCGTGGCCATTTGAGGAGTGAACCAGCAGATGGAAGATGACTTTCTCTGCCTCTGCCTCTCCTCCACTGTAACTACCTTTCAGATAAATAAATAAATATTTTTTAAAAAGATGAGCTATAATTGCATGTCTGTCCACTGATGTTTATACAATACAATTGCAAAGTAATTGTATTCTTTTGGAAAATATCCTCACCTGTCCATTCAAGAGAGACTTGGGCTCAGGAAGTACAGTGAAAGCAAGAAAGACCTTATGATGGGTTTTGCAAGATCAGGTGTTTGATGAGCAGGTACACCTGGATCAGTTACAGCAAGAGGTTTATATCCTAAGTTACAGGTCCCCTGGTTCCTCATTGGTTGAGTACTGTGGAGTATACAGTCTTCTGTCACCTAAGTTACAAAGTTACCTTCCTCATTCCTTCTCTGTAATTTAATTTCCTCTTGTGAATTGCCTACTCTATAACATCCTGTTTGCCCAGTGAGTTTTGCCACATCTGCAAGTCATCTAACAGTAATTTTCCATGCTGTACTGAAAATGGGCTGACATTTTCTCACAGTTCTTTAAGGCTGTACTGCTCATGTTATCAAAAATAATTCATGAAGTTATAAATACGTATTTGAATCACTTAAGGTAGAGTATTTCTCAGATTAAAATTAACAGTTCTTGTTCTGAGCGTCAGTTCTGTTCTACCTGGAGATAGAATTATCAGGCTATATGCATGACTATGGTTAGTTTAAATTCTAAATTTGGAATTACTGCATTTTGTTCTCCAATTTTACAACTGTTCGCCTATCTTCTATATGGCTAAATGATTTCATCATATCTCAAAGCTAAGCATTGTACAACTGATAATACCAAATTTATCAGAAAATTCCTGAGCTTCTGTTTCTATGTTCATTACCCTAAAACATCTTGACAGTAACGTGTCCATTCTAGAACTTTTGATTTCCACTACCTGTAATGACTAGTTTAATCTCATTAACGGTTACCCAGTTGCTCAGGCCCAAAACCTAAACTATCCATTTCCTCTTCTCTCGTCTTTCATATATAATCCATCAGATTCTGTCCTCTCTAATTCATCTGTGTCTCTCCTTCTTCATTGTCACTTTCTTGTTTCCTGTACTGCTGCCAGTTTCCTCCTAATGATAGACTTAACAGGTCTAACACAATAGTCATTTAAAAATACGAATCAGATTCTAACTCTACCTTAAGACTGCTTAAAACCATCCTGTAGGGGCCTGCGCGGTGGCATGGTCAGTTGGTCCTTTGACTGCGGTGCAGTGTCCTGTGTGGGCACCAGTTCTGGTCCTGGCTGCTCCTCTTCCTGTCCAGCTCTCTGCTGTGGCTTGGGATGGCGGTGGAGGATGGCCCGGGTCCCTGGGCCTCTGCACCCTCATGGGAGACCAGGAGGAGGCTCCTGGCTCCTGGCTTCGGATCGGCACGGCTCTGACCGTTGGGGCCGTTTGGGGAGTGAACCAGCGGAGGGAAGATCTTTCTCACTGTCTGTGGCTCTGCCTGTCAAATAAATAAATAAAATCTTGGGAAAAAAAAATCCAGTAGATTCCTTTCACTGTAATCTAATCATTATTTCATTGTAATCTACTAATCGTGATGATTAATAGCTTGCGCACCCTAAATTGGGTCAGCAAATTCTTTGTAAGGGGCAGAGTAGTAAAATGCTTTAGGCTTGCAGGCTATGTGGTCTCAGCTTCTACCAGTTCTACCATCATAATGCAAAAATAGCCATAGACTAAACAAATGAACTTGGGTATATTCCACCAAAACTATTTGCAGAAACAGGCAGGAAGCCAGATTGGCCCACAGGCTATAGTTTGACACTTCTGGCCATTAACCTTTGCTTGACCTAATTTTCTAGAAGTCTTCCTCTCATTCACTGTATATAAACCATAGGGGCACTCCAAGCCCATTTCCTTCTCTCAGTCTTTCTAGCCTTCCCTGTGCCTAGAATACTCCTCTGAGAACTCTGATAGCTCGCCTCTCAATATTTAGGTCTTTACTCAGATGTCTATGTCCTCAGCTTTTCTGCTCTGCCCAGCCTATCTGAAGGAATCACCCTATACCACCTCCAGTCTGGCGCGCAGCACACATCAAGAAGTTATTTTCTTCAAACACATGTTCCTACTTATAGTGCTCCCACTTTGCTATTTCCTTGTTTTTCTTCACTCGCAAGAATATAACCTCCATGAGGTCGGGGTCCTTGTCTTCCTTCCTTGCTCATTGCAGCATCCCCACATTTACATGAGCCAAGTTCCTGGCTCATAGTTTGTCTAATAATTATTTAATGAGTGATTTTATATGTATAATATTATGCCTAATAACTTGATAGAAGGTAGATCTCTGACACATTTAGAGGAAAATCAATTTGAAAAATGTTCTTAATTCTACTTTTCTGAGCGATACAAGCAGTACTGACCTTTTTTTTTTTTTTGTCTGGGGTGGTGACTATAGATCTGAAGAGGAATGACTATACACCTGATAAAATTATATTTCCTCAAGATGAGCCTTCAGATTTCAATCTTCAGCCTGAAAATTCCACCAAAGAATCAGAATCAACTAATTCTGTTCGTCTGATGTTATAATATTACTGAATCACTGATTTTGTTGACACATCAAAAATGTTACTATGTTACTTTTCCATTAAGAGGAAATTATTTGGTAATATATAAAGGTGTGGCAAATTGGATTTGCTGACTCCAGCACAGTTAAAAAGTCAATGTTCTTTTTGACCTGATTAAACTAGTCAAAAACGCGCTATAGGACTGAGCTGGCAATTAAGAATTTTAAAAAGTAGTGAAAAATTAGTATTTATGACTTTCTAAAGGGCTTTTTATAGCAGAGGATTTCATTTGACTTTGTTATGAGGGTGATCGTGCCCTCTCCTATGTGGTGCAATACCATTAACCAAAGTTAGGTGTCTGTGCACATTTTATTGGCAGCTGGTTTATTGCCATTGAACTAGAGAAATGAAGTCAGCCTTTTGGTTAAATGGCAGTCAAAAGTCTTCCTCGGTGTGTTTAGTGTGTTCCATGATGATGTCACTTGGTTCCCAACTCTATACTTGTTGACCACAAGAAAGAAGATGGCTTATTACAGTTCTGAATTCCCAGGGATATAAGAAGCCAGAGCTGAAGACCATTTTCTAAAGAGAGACTTTATTTGTGAATCAGGGTTAGGCTCCATATTTAAAGATAGAACCAATTTTTGTTAGAGCCCAAATTGTGCAAAAGTATTTGTTTGCTTGTTTTTTTTTAACATTTTTTATCAAGTTACTGTTAAGTAGAAGAAAGCCATGGTAAACTGGTATGTCACCTAAATATAGAAAAGGAAGAACTCAACTCACTGTTCAAGGGAAATTGTCTTGTGAGGAAAGCTAAAGTACTTTTTCCCTATCTGTGTTGGTAGTGACAACCTGAAAGTTAGACACTTCTCCAAAGATTTTTATTAACCAATCAAATCAGACTGTAGACATGAACTTTTGCTTATATTTAAAATTGTGTTGGAACATCTGAACATGAATTTTTTTGTGATACTTATTTAAGAAATGAATTGAGTTGGATTATTATGTAATGTCGGGAGATTGCAATGCAACTTTATGCCAATAAAATGAATTTAACTGCCCCAGATACTGTTGAATATTCAACAAGAAGAAAAGCTTTTCATCTGACTAAAGTTTTATGCTTTGATATTTTTTTTCCTTTTTGTTTGTTTCCTAGGTACTAATTTTCATTTTTATTTGGAAGACAGCAGTAAAAAGCTTACTTGTATTAAGTAGTGTATCTCATAGATACAGTCAAGGCAAAAAGAGATAAGCTGTTTAAATAGTGTTTAATATTGATGGGGGGGAGAAAGAAAAAGTGTATTACTTAAAGATATTATACTATATACATTTTGTATATCATTAAATCTTTAAAAGAAATTAAATAAATTTATTCTTGTTTACAATTGTTTAGTGAGTTGAATCATTCTGAAAAATTATCTGACATTTTCAGAGCATGTGTTTTTAATGGACCATTTGTACACCCTTGCTTCTTGCTCCTCTGTCCTGTATAGTGTTTAATTTGATATTGGTGTCCTGTGTCTGTTTTTTTAAATGTTTCTTATTATGCCAGAAAAGGGAGATAAGGGTTTTGTTTAATTTTATGTTGATTATTTTCACAAAATGATAATTGTAGCTAGCTCTTATTTAATCTTGATAAGTAGCAGGCTTTATTCCAAGGACTTTACGTATATTAACTTATTTAACCCTTATATGACATAGGTGTTAATATTACCCTGTTTTTCAGATTGGAAAATCAAGGTGCTAGAGAGGTAAAGCAGCTTTGCTCAGACTCTTAATAAGTAGCATGCAGCATGGCTAGAATTCGAATGCCCACAAATTGGTTTTCATCTGTACTCTTAAACCCTGTGCTATGATGAATCACAAGCATAGCGACCACTGATGTTTTCTGTACCATATCCTGGCCACTTTTCTGAACAAATCTATTAATATTCTTGGTTAATTCTGGAAAGAAACAGTTTACTGGTAAACCACATTTCTCATCCCAAAGAAAGAAGAGTTGTCTCTCCTTAGATTATTGAAGTTCATTTTTATTTACTCCAGTTCCTGAAAGTGTCATTTGCTTAATCTCTTCTAATGTTTTTCTTCTCAGTTTCATCCCACTGAGGAGGATAAAACATGTCTTTCACCAAATTAATTCTTAAAATGTTGAATTCTTGGGGCTGGCACTGTGGTACAGCAGGTAAAGCCTTTGCCTATGGCACCAGCATCCCATATGAGTGCCATTTCTTGTCTTGGCTGCTTCAGTTCCCATCAAGCTACCTCTGGATGTGCCTGGGAAAGCAGCAGAAGATGACCCGGGTGCTTGGGCCCCTGCACCCACATGGGAGACCCAGAAGAAGCTCCTGGCTTCCGTTTGGCCCTAGTGCTGGCCATTGCTACCATCTGGGGAGTGCACCAGTGGATGGAAGATCTTTTTCTAACTCTTAACTTTCAAATAAATAAGTAAATTTAAAAAAAAAAATGTTGAATTCTGCAAATGTTTTATTCGTATGTCTTCAATCAATGTATGTATGCCGTTTTTATTTTAGAAGCAGTGCATGTTGATTGTATTGATGTATTAAAAAAATTTAAATGTAAAGGAAAGTAAAGAAATTAATACCCTTTCAAACTCTCATGTCAGACTACATTGCTTTCATAGTTGTTACTGGATTATCTGTCAACCCCACTAGCTTGTACCCGTGGAAGAGAGAAAGGATCTTTATTTCACTGGGTAGGGACTGGTGTGGTGGTGTAATGGGTAAAGCCACTGCCTGAGATACCAGCATCCTGTATAAGCATCAGTTCTAGTCCCAGCTGATCCACTTCTAATCTGGCTCCCTACTAACGTGTCTGGGAAGGCAGTGGAAGATTGCCCAAGTGGTTGTGGCCATTTGGGGGATGAACCAGTAGATGGAAGATTTTTTCCCTTTGCCTCTCCCTCTTTTTCTAACTCTTTAAAATAAATAAAATCTTTTAAAAAATGCTTTTTTAAAATTCGAGTTAGGTCTCAGGTTTATACATTGTAGTTGCTCGTGGGTTTTTTTTTTGTTTTGTTTTGTTTTGTTTTGTTTTTCCCTCTTGAAGATTTATTTACTTGAAAGAGTTACAGAGAGTTCTGTCTGCTGGGTCACTACCAAAATGGCTGCAACAGCTGGGGCTGGGCCAAGCCAAAACCAGGAGCCTGGAACTCTATCCAGATCTCCTGTAAGGGTGGGACCCAAGTACTTCAGCCATCATCTACTGCTTTCCCAGAAGCATTAGCAGGGAGCTGGATAGGAAACAGGACTATGCTGTGCTCCAGTATAGGATGCTGGTGTCACAAGCAATGGCTCAGCCTACTGTGCCACAATGCCGGCCCCTTGATTTGTTCTTAAAGTTTTAATGTACAAGTTTCCCTGCCCATCTTTTTTACCTTCTGATTTTATCAGGAACTAACTTATCTGACTTTAAAAGTGTACCAAATTTGGGACTTCACTAAACTAGTTGTTAGGTCCAAAGGCTTGATCAAGGTGTTTGGTGCAGTAGTAGCATACCTTTTTTTTTTTTTTTTATTAACAGGCAGAGTTAGAGAGAAAGATCTTCCTTTTCTGTTGGTTCACCCCCCAAGTGGCTGCTACAGCCGGCACGCCAGCATGCTGTTCCAAAGCCAGGAGCCAGGTGCTTCCTCCTGGTCTCCCATGTGGGTGCAGGGCCCAAGCACCTGGGACATCCTCCACTGCCTTCCCAGGCCACAGCAGAGAGCTGGACAGGAAGAGGAGCAACCAGGACAGAATCTGGCGCCCCAACCGGGACTAGAACCCGGGGTGCCGGCGCTGCAGGCGGAGGATTAGGCTAGTGAGCCACAGCGCCGGCCCGTAGCGTACCTTTTAAAGTGCCAGGGTTCAAATCCCTGCTCCACTTCTGATTCCAGTTTCCTGCTAATGTACACCCTGGAAAGCAGCAGGTATTGTTTCAGTTGTTTTTGGGTCTCTGCTGTACAGGTGGGAGACCTGAATTGTGTTTTGGCTTCTAGTTTCACCCTTGCCCAGCCATGGCTTTTGCGAACACTGGGAGAATGAACCAGAAGACAGAAGATTAGATATAGGGTTAACTCTAGCAAGAAAAGTTCTTCATTGGTGGCAGTGTTTGTCTATGTGATGGTCACTGCCTTGATATAATAGTCTCGTAGATCTAGGTCGGTGGTTATCAGAAGTCCCCAGGACACTTTCACAAGATCCACAAGGTCAGAATAATTCTCCCTTTCCCATTGCGTTGAGAGTTTTACCAATGGAACAAAAGTATTGGTAGGTGAAACTGCTGATATCTAGCATTGCATCAAGGCAGTAGCATTAAATTGCACTAGTGGTTATTACATTTCTTCACTCTTACAGTCTTTGAAAGGTCATTTTCTTTAAAAATTCCTTGATGAAGTAATTAATGTTGACCTTTCAATATATGTTTATAATACATTGTAGGAAAAAATGGGAACTGCATGGAAAACTTTGCACTATACAATATGGCTATCTCAAAGAAAAAGCACTTAGGCAGTTGTGAGTTAAGTGAGTAGAACCAGATGATCATTTCATCGATCATTTTCTCCAATTCATAGAATGACTATTGGGATTGGCCTTGTGGCATAGCAGGTTAAACTGGTGCCTGTCCAGGAGAAGCACCTGGCTCCTGGCTTCAGATCAATGCGTTGCGCCAGCTGCGGCGGCCATTGGAGGGTGAACCAACAGCAAAGGAAGACCTTTCTGTCTCTCTCACTGTCCACTATGCCTGTCAAAAAAATAAAAACTAAAAATAAATAAACTGGTGCCTGCAATGCCTGGCATCCCATACATGTACATGTTCACATCCCGGCTGTTCTACTTCCCATTCAGCTCCCTGCTAACGCACCTGAGAAGGCAGCGGAAGATGAACCAAATGGTTGGGCCCTTGCACTCCTGTGGAGACAGGAGAAAATCTGGGCTCCTGGCTTTGGTCTGGCCCAGTTCCAGCCGTTGGAGACATTTAGGGGGTGAATCAGCAGATGGAAGATTCTCTCTTTGTTTCTCTCTCTCTCTCTCTCTGCCTTTCAAATTAAATATTTTTAAAAGATGATTTTCAACTGTATAATCAAACATCAGTGTTTGATCTGCATAACTAAGCCAGTAGTTTACAAATGTACAATTTACGTAGCGTTTTCCAAATGATACGTGAGAGATCTAACACAATAGAAAGAGTTTGTTCATAGGGTTTCAAGTTCTATGTTCTTCATTACACTTGACTATTAGTAAACTACCTAGCCCCAGCCATCTGGGTAGTGAACCAGCAGATGGAAGATCTCTGTCCTCTCTGTAATTCTGCCTTTCAGATAAACAAAATCTTCAAGGGGAAAAATGCAAAAATAAATCCTTGTGACCTTGGATTATGTGATGGTTTTTTAAATAGAACACCAACAGCACAACCATACTGTAGAAAAAATAAACTGGGGCTGGCGCTGTGGCGTAACGGGTAAAGCCACTGCCTACAGTGCTGGCATCCCATATGGGCACCGGTTCAAGTCCCGGCTGCTCCACTTCCAATCCAGCTCTCTGCTATGGCCTGGGGAAGCAGTAGAGGATGGCCCAAGTCCCTGGGCCCTGGCACCTGCATGGGACACCAAGAAGAAGCTCCTGGATCCTGGCTTCAGATCAGCACAGCTCCGGCCGTTGCGGCCAATTGGGGAACGAACCAGCAGATGGAAGACCTCTGTTTCTCTGCCTCTGCCTCTCTGTAACTCTGTCTTTCAAATAAATAAATTAATTAAAAAAAAAAAAGACAACCTACCTATTGGAAGAAAACTGTTGCAAATAATGTATTTAATGAGAGACTTGAATAAAGAACTCCTAAAAAGGTAACCCAGGAGTGGCCATTCTGATGCAAGTTGAGATGCTTGAGTCTCATATAACACTGCTTGAATTTAGGTCCCAGCCCTGTGCTTCCTGTGGATATGCAGTTGATGGTTCAAGTACTTGGGTCCCTGTCACCCACATGGTATGCTTGGATTGGATTCTTGGCTCCTGTTTTGAGCCCTAGTCAGGGGCCATGGTATGCATTTGGGGAGTCAACCAGTAGATGGAAAGTCAGTCTCTCTCTCTCTCTCTCTCTCTCTCTCTCTCTCTCTCTCTTGCTCTGCCTCCCAAAATTAAAAAATTAACAATGAACTAAGTCTGACATATTTCTCCACACACACACACATATATATATATATATGTTCATTCAATGGAATAATGTTTAGCAGTAAAAAAGAATGGAGTACTGATACCTCCTGTGAGCCTTTCAATGACTATTGTTTTATTTGTGTAGAGTATACATTGCAATAGAAAATTGAGCTGGGTAGACTTGGTCTCCTGTTGCTCCATGAGTGACCTTGGCTAAGTTGATCAAGCCTCTCCGAGAGTGCCTCATAGTGTGGCGGTGTGTGCTGTAATGACCTAAGCCTTCAGAACGTAGAAGTACTCAAATAATCTGGTCCCTTCTTGCTCTATCTTCTTCCCTTGGAAGCTCCCGTGAAGATAAAAGAACATAATGGAGAACAAAACATTCTGAGGGTGATTTTTCTCTACAAAGGAGTTTATCATTTTGTAACTTCTTTCATAAGTAGATACCAGCATATGGTTAAGAAATTTGCAGCTGTGCATAATTGCATCAAAGTGCATAAATCTGCATATTCATCTCAACATTTAACATTAAAGGTTAACCTTTAAGAGTGAAACTAGGGAAAAGTGTGTAGAAAGTAGCCACAAGCACTAAAAGTCAAATTAAATATCAAGTAATCCCACAAATATCCAACAATATGCAAAAACGTATGTTAAGAAGTAAAAGTAAGGGCCCACGCTATGGCATAGTAAGTTCTGCAGCACCTGCATCCCAAATGGGCTCTGGTTCAAGTCCCAGCTGCTCCGCTTCTGATCCAGCTCCCTGCTAATATGTCTGGGAAAGTAGCAAAGGATGGTCCAAATGCTTGGGCCTTGCACCTATAAGGGAGACCCAGATCTACCCAGCTCTGGCTGTTGCCGCCATTTGGGGTGTGAACCAGCAGATGGAAGACTCTCTCTCTCCCCTCCCCCCTACCGTCCCTCTTCCTCTCCCTCTCCTCTCTCTGTCTTTCAAATAGATAAAATAAATCTTACAAAAAAAAAAAGAAGTAATGGCACAGATGTGAGAATTGGGACGACAGAGAATAAACACAAGTAGTCAAGATAGTGAACTGAGAGTCAAGATTTATATCTTACTATTTCAGGACTGGCACGAAGCACAGTATTTTCTGGGTTGATAATGTAATGTGATAACTTTAAAAGGACTTCAGAATGAAAGTGGAACCGGAAGGGAGGAAATTAAAGGGCCCACTGAATGCTCCGTCTAGTGGCTCTGTAAGTACAACAGGCTTACAAGGGGAGACATCAGATTGACTTCAGAATTCTCACCTCTCATAATGTCCAGGAAGCAGCACAGCAGCGGCATGACGGGCAAGAGGAATGTGCCACTAGCCATGTGATGGCGTGCTCCGAAAGTTCACTGCCCGTGCTTTTCCTTGGAAAATGTTAAGGGTGTACTCGAAAAGAATCTCCATGGGAAGGCACAAGACAGAAGAGACAGAGCTGAGCAAAGCGTCATAAATACACAAACGTAGACACGTGCTGGCAGGTAAATACAGTGTAATGCTTGTTTAAAAAAGCAGCCCAGAATAAAAATTGTTTAAATAGGAGAAGGGGAAAGTTGGTAATAAAAACAGTAAAGTCTTCATTTCTATTTGAGAAGAATTACTAACTTTTACATTAATTGGAAAGTAATTTTAAGGATGAGTACCCATTGCTATCCTAACTTTTCACTCTGTGGTCTCAGAACCTTATAGGCCACCCAGAGGTTAGAAACCAAATACATTGGGATAATTCAGTATCCCTTGCTATTGGAACCTTAGACCCAAAGAGATTAAGATTACAAGGGTTACTTATGTACGTGTTGAGATAACAAAGAAGTATAAATAGAAGAAAATGAAAACAATTCACAACTTCCTCACAATAAAAAGGGAAGAAGGGAGGGAACTTTACCAAAAATAATCCAGGGGCCAGCGCCGTGGCTCACTTGGTTAATCATCTGCCTGCGGCACCGGCATCCCATATGGGTGCCGGGTTCTAGTCCCTGCTGCTCCTCTTCCAGTCCAGCTCTCTGCTGTGGCCCGGGAGGGCAGTGGAGGATGGCCCAAGTCCTTGGGCCCTGCACCCGCATGGGAGACCAGGAGGAAGCACCTGGCTCCTGGCTTCAGATCAGTGCAGTGCTGCAGAGCCACCCGAGGTGACTTCAAGAGACATCACTGTCCCGATGGTGACTCAAGTACTTGAGTACCTCCCACACATGGGAGGCTCCTGGCTTCAGCCCTGGGTGCTTTGGGTATTTGCAGGGTGAACGATTAGATGGAAGACCTCTGTTTCTATGTTTCTGTGCCTTTCAAATAAATTAAAATAAGTAAATAACTATTTTAAAGAGATACCACAAATAGCAAACAGCTGCAGGAGCTGTCACATCTAGTTGTCAGGATCCTTTATCCAGGTGTCAAAGTAGGGTTACTCTTCATACCTTGTGCAGCCTGAGCAACTGTGTGTGTGACTTTTAACCACTAGGATAGAAGTAAGGTTGCATACTAATGACCCTTCAACATGCTGCTTTCTTGACTTACCGGTAATACAAGAGTGCTTTAAAAGGTTCTTGGAAAATGGAATTAAAAGGTAACTTTATTTTGGTGGAAAAGTATATGAAATGCACACAGTGTTTTTCATAACACATCTTTCATGAACTTTTTAGAGTATCCATATACTTGCTGCAGAGCTGAGAAAAGGCACATTGGATTCACCCTCAAAGCTCTTGCTTCCCTTGTGTTGCCTCGCTGGCTCAGCAGATGCGAGTTAGCCCGAAGGGAAAACAGGCTGCCACCAGCTTTGGAGCTGTGAGGTCTCCTCTTTTCAGCAAGACCACTCTCTCAGCCAAGCTGCTTTCACTGTGGATAGTCAGTACCTTCTCCAAACCTGTTTTCACTTAGGTAGAACATTCAGAAGAAGAGGTACCTTTATACTGAAAGAAGGTTTTGTTTAGTTTTGCAGTTTATTTGAAAGGCTAGTTCACTCCCCAAATGCCTGCAATAGCCAAGGCTGGGCCAAGCAAGAGCCAGTGACCCAGAACTCCACCTGGGTCTCCCACATGGCCAGCAGGGACCCAAGTTTTTGGGCCATCACTGCTGCATCCCAGGATGTGCATTAGTGGAAAATAAGATTGGAAGCAGGGTGTCCAATGGCCGCACCTGAATGACTGTCTAAAGTACAGTCGTCTGTCGCAGAATATGAGAGCCAGGAGATCTTATGTGCTGTGCTGCCAGCTTATAAGTTCTCCTACAACAAACCCTGTGTGGCACTAGTAGTATGTGTTTGTGTTTGCTCCAGCCCTCATGAAGGGAAATTCTCTATTCAACCCCAACGCAAAGCATTTGGAAGCAGCAACATCCAGCTGCCTCAGGGTGGGAGGTGTTCCTCCCCAGGAGGGGGGAATGTGTGCTCAGAGTGGGCAGGATCACCAGAGCGCCCCCTAACTCTGGTGGTAAATCTTTGGTGCATATGCATGCATGGATGTGGTATATACATATACAAGAGAAACTGAGGGATGGGGAGACTGGTGCCGTGGCGTAGCAGGTAAAGCCACTGCCTGCAATGCTGGCATCCCATATGGGTGCCAGTTCAAGTCCCATCTGCTCCACTTCTGATCCAGCTCTCTGCTATGGCCTGGGAAAACAGTGGAAGATGGCTCAAGTCCTTGGGCCCCTGCACCCCGTGGGAGACCTGGAGGAAGCACCTGGCTCCTGGTTTCAGATTGGTGAAGCTCCGGCTGTTGCAGCCAATTGGGGAGTGAACCAGCAGATGAAAGAACTCTCTCTCTGCCTTTCCTCTCTCTGTGTAACTCTGAATTTAAAATAAATAAATAAATAAATCTTTATTTAAAAAAGAGTCTTAATAAAAAATTAAAATAAACATGCAGTTCATTCTGTCCAGTGTAGTCTTTCCAAGCAGTTCAACCAACCTAATAACAGTGTCTCACGGCAACATGCTAGAATCTTGGGGGTGAATGGAAAGGATTGTGATGCATGGGAAAATCCAAGTTGCAGTGGTGCCTGATACAGGGGAAAATCAGTTTGCCGCTTCAGAAAGGCGGAAGGAGCATATAAATTGCTTAAAACAGACAAAGGGAGGCATAATGGACTTGGAGAAATGAAGTTGAAAGGATTAGCCGCTGCTCCTGAATAGATGTCAGAGTCCAGCGTGGTTCCACTACGATGACTTCTCAGCGGTCATTCCCTGCGGACGACTTCGGTATCTACTATGTCCTGTGAGCCTCTGTCTCCTACAGCTTTCCACCTGAGCTCCAGGGTGGGGGTGGGGGGGAGAGTCTCATCAAAGAAATCGGGGTACATGCCGCATTTGGGAAGGTTCCCCCAGATTTGGCCCACAGAGGTCGAGGTCCTCCCAAAGGAAGGGACTAGATTTAATATCTAGGCAGTAGACCCATGTCTTTTTTTAAAATTAATTTATTTATTTGAAAGAGTTACAGAGAGAGAGAGAGACAGAGAGAGATGTCTTCCATCCACTGTTTCACTCCCCAAATGGCCACAATGGGCAAGGCTGGGCCAATCGAAGCCAAGAGCCAGGAGCTTCCTCCAGGTCTCCTATGTGGGTGCAGGGGCCCAAAGCCTTGGGCCATCCTCTGCTGCTTTCCCAGGTGCATTAGCAGGGAGCTGGACTGGAAGTGGAGCAGACTGGACTCGAGCCCAGCACCTTGTGGGATTCCAACACTGCAGGCAGTGGAGTTACCCTCTACACCACAGTGCCAGCCCCCTCCTCGTCCTTCTTAAAGCAAGACAGGGCTTCCCATGACGTTGTAAGGAAACATGAAAATGACCATGTGTCCAGTGAGCACTTTTCAAACTGACATAGCTAAGTAGAGGTACTGTGAGGAAGCTGTCTCACAGAGCTCAAACTGTAGAGGCAGTGCTTGGAAAGAAGAATCATAAAGGGCAAAGATGGTGGGCTGGCAACAAACCAGGAGAGGAAGCCGTGGATGGGGAGGGGTGGCGTCCATGGGGGATTCTTCCTCGCTACCGCCCTGTGTGGGCCCCGCGGATTTACCTGAGCACTAACTCCACAGCTTCCTGCCAAAGATAGCCTTGATCACTCACGTTAACATTTTCTAACAGTTTCTCAATATGTATATGTGTATATATATGTAATTGTTCCTACGCTGTAAAATTATTAAAAGAATTTAATGAAAAAATGTATACAATTCCAGGTTCAAAACATGATAGCTATTGCTATTGACTGTTATCTATTGTTACTATTATTATCAAAAATTATTTATGTTCGCAGCATAAAGGTAATACTTCGGTATTCAGCGAGAAAGTCTGCAATTTTAGTCAAGCAAATCTAAGACTAAGACTTTGAAAGGTTGATATTTTCAGTTCTCTTGCTTTGGTTTTAGGAAGAAACGTTTATCTCTGTTATATATGGATGGCTTCGCACACTTGTTCTGAGTTCTGGACTAAATAATGCCACTTGAGCCTTCAAGTGCACATGCTTATGTCCTTAGTAGGAGTGTGTTTGAGGGAGACTCTTAGCAAGAACTCTTCTTGGTTTCATGAGGTTGAGAGGAAATTATTGTCATTTGTATATATTTTGTTCCCCAAAATGCTTGCTTGCTTTCCACGTGGCACCAACACAGTGCAGAGTGCACAGATCATTATGATACCCTTCCAGTTAACGAGGCTGACAAGAACCAGCCCCACTTCCAGGGGGTCACTGGCCTGCGGAACTTGGGCAACACGTGCTACATGAACGCCATCTTGCAGTGTCTCGGCAGCATCTCGCCACTGGTGGAGTACTTCCTCTCCGGAAAGTACATTACTGCTCTCCAAAAGTAAGACCATCCGCGGGCCCTGCAGCCCACCCCCGCCCACAGGGTCCCCTCCCTCCCCAGGCGGAAGCTCCCCCGATGAGTGACACATCGAGGGTGAATAAAGCAGGAAGGGTAGTTGGGAAATGATTGAAGCCCTGTTTTTGGACTGATTCTCCAGGCTTGAGTGACAGGGGTCTTCTTTTCATTCAACCAGCCAGAAACCTGCCCGTTTTTTCCTCTCAAGGGACTGCAGTGATGTGGCCACTGCCTTCGCTTACCTGATGACAGACATGTGGCTTGGAGACTCAGACTGTGTCTCACCAGAAATATTTCGGTCGGCTCTTGGCAACCTCTACCCAGCATTCATGAAAAAGACACAACAAGATGCTCAGGAATTCTTGATTTATGTCCTAAATGAACTTCATGAAGCTCTGAAAAAGGTGAGTAGAATAAGTGACCTTGAAACAGGACGCACCTGCAGCTTCAGCAGAAACTCCCATTTTTCTGTCTTCAATTCCTTCAGTCAAAATGGCCTACTCTGTGCCAAGCACCGTGCTAGCAGCTGAGGGGTACTTGTGTTTGAATGTTGAACTGCATTTACCGTATGTACTGATCATCAGGAGCCCCTGGGAAGATTAGAGTCGGAGGTGCTTACTCCAGTGTTAATGAGTAAGACTGGAGGAGTCTCACAGGGCATATCTGGTGATCAGCCAGGGCCAGCAACCACGAATCTGGTTCCCTTTGCGCGTAAAAACTGCATGGACCCAGTTTTCAAAGTAGAAATTGTTAAATAAAAGTATGTTTTGAATGAGAAATACCATAATGAATTTTATAATTTAATTTTCTTGGTACCTACAAACCCATGAAAATATTGACCTTGGTATAAAATTAGGGGCCAGACTAGGCCCTGCCAAGTTTCTCTTCACACCAACTCACCTAACCTCCAGCATGTGTTGGATTTAGGACATGTATTTGATTAAACATGAAATCACCAGTTACTCTAGGGGTTTTGCCTTCATTTAGAGAACTCACTACCTGTAGCCTTGGTCTATGACCCACACTCTGGGAAGATATGTCCTTGACTTTATGCAATGTTCTTGTGTGAATGTTACCTCACTGCACACGTAACACCCCCAAAAAATAACACGAAGATCACAAACTATAGCCATGTATACTTCTCACTGGCAAGTTTCAGTTCCATTTTTCATTTTTAGTAATAACAAGATGTTCATGGCAGCACAGTGTTTAGCCAGAGGGGAGGGTGGGAGACTGGGGTTGAGTGCCTGGCTCCCAGCTTACTTCATCTCAGCCCTGGCCATTGTGGGCATGTGAGAAGTGAATCCTCACCCCTTTGCCCCATAAAACAAACAAAATGCAAGTTTATTTTGGTGCCAAAAAATATTAAACTGACACATAGTTTTTTTTTAGAACATGCTTTTCCCACGCGCTTTTTGAAGAGCCCTCGCATGCTCTCAAACAGGTCTCACTCCATGGTCTGAATCTCAGATGAAGTGGTTTCTGGTAGTGATGTATCATTCTTATCAGTCGTTTATTTAAAAAATCCTCAATAACAGTTGATGGGCGGCGGGGGTTTTGTTCCTCGATCCAGTACCATCGAAGACGCTCCTATGAGAAGGGATCCACTCAAAGATGTTGCAGGAAGGCAATTGCCAACGAGACATCCATCATCACACAGCTGTTTGAAGGGCAGCTCAATTACGGCATCATCTGTCTGAAGTGTGAGAACTGCACCTACAGAAACGAAGTCTTCACCGTCCTCTCCCTCCCCATCCCATCTGAGTATGAGTGCTCCCTTCAGGTAGGGACTCTGTGCTCTTGGGTGCTTTTGTCATGCTCTGTGTTCAGCCCCAGATTTTCTCAGGGTTGTTTCAAACCACATGAAAAGTCTTCTTGATCATTAGAGTTGAGAAAAGGACTGAACGAGGCAGAAGGAAAAAGGAGCTTATGATTACAGCATTGGCTTAGATACTGGCCAAAAGTCACTGTAAATGCAGGTGTGTGCCTAAACATACTCAACAAAACAATGTCATTGTCAAATGGGGTTTTGTTCAGTCTGTTGATGTAGCTTGGTGCACAGTGGAAATTACTAAATTCTTGTAAAAACTTTATGGCTCTCCCTCACTCCACAGGATTTGTAGGTTCAGGTTGGAAACTGAATATAGGAGATTCTCTTAGGGGCAGGCATTTAGCTTAGCAGTTAAGATGCTGGTTAAGATACCCACATCCCATACTGGAGAGGTTGGGTCAGTTCCCAGCTCTAGCTGCTGACTCCAGCTTCCTGCTAATGCAGATCCTGGGAGGTAACAAGGGATGGCTCGAACACTTGGGTCCTTGCCACCCACATGGGAGACTCAGGTTTGAGTTCTGTCTCCCAGCTTCAGCCCAGTCTAGCCAAAGTCATTATGGGCATGCAGGGAGCAAGCCAGCAGATAGGAGTTGTGTGTGTGTGTGTGTGTGGTGGGGTTGTTTCTCAAATTTAAAAAAAATATTTTAAAAAATATTCTCTTAGTCTTGAGCTCTTCTAAAGCTGTGGGGTATGCTGGGAGAAGAGAGTTGACTCTCTAATTGTCGTAATTTCTTTCTTTTTTTTTTTTTTTTAAGATTTATCTATTTATTTGAAAGTCAGAATTACACAGAGAGGAGAGGCAGAGAGAGAGGTCTTCCATCCGATGGTTCATTAATCAATTGGCCTCAACGGCCGGAGCTGCGCCGATCTGAAGCCAGGAGCCAGGAGCTTCTTCCGGGTCTCCCACATGGGTGCAGGGGCCCAAGGACTTGGGCCATCTTCTACTGCTTTCCCAGGCCATAGCAGAGAGCTGGATCGGAAGTGGAGCAGCTGGGTCTTGAACTGGCGTCCATATGGGATGCCGGCGCTTCAGGCCAGGGCGTTAACCCACTGCGCCACAGCGCTGGCCCCCTAATTGTCGTCATTTCAATGCTGCAAGTTGACCTGCAGGCGGAGGTGTGAAGGTGACTTGGGTGGGCAGAAGAACACAGGCAGCCATAAGTCAGCAGCAACCAGTCAGCAGGCAGGGAGCCATAAGCTTCCTTGTGAATTTTACAAATGTCTGCTTTCTTCCTACATTATAAAGGCATATTTATTGCTAAAAGTTTCATACCAGAATTAGTGAATAGAATCCCGTTACTCACAATCGAGCTTTGCTCTCACATCAGACGGCTTGAGGTTGGGGAAGGGAGGAGGAAGCACCCTTTGAATGAGGTGCTGGAGGGTTCACTGCAAGCAAAATCCCTGCTCATCTTCCTTTTTTTTTTTTTTTTTTTTTTTGACAGGCAGAGTTAGACAGTGAGAGAGAGAGAGAAAGAGAAAGAAAGGTCTTTCTTTTTCTGTTGGTTCACCCTCCAAGTGGCCGGCACTGCGCTGATCCGAAGCCAGGAGCCAGGTGCTTCCTCCTGGTCTCCCATGCGGGTGCAGGGCCCAAGTCCTTGGGCCATTATCCACTGCACTCCTGGAACACAGCAGAGAGCTGGACTAGAAGAGGAGCAACCGGGACAGAATCCGGTGCCCTGACTGGGACTAGAACCCGGTGTGCTGGCGCCGCAGGTGGAGGATTAGCCTAGTGAGCCGCGGTGCTGTCTTCATCTTCCTCTTTATGCTCGTGGTTTACAGAGCCAGGGGTCTGGCCACACGGGTACTGGGGGTACCTCCTATGGATACGAGATCGAATTTATTTCTGTTCTGCTCTCTTTATCATGGGACACCCCTCCTCCCCCAAATCCTGAGACTCGGTCATTTTTCAGTCACCTGATCTCTGTAGTGATGAGATGAATAACACAAAACAGCTACTTGACTTTGTTAGTGGAAAATGCAAAGTCAGTAGTATTCTGAAATAAACCAGAAACGTAAAGGTGCTGACTCATAGATTTTAAGTGAGATGAGCACTCGGATCTATTTCAGGAACAAGTGAAATGGATCTACTGTAAATATATCTAAATCCATCCACCTTTGCCAGGTAACCTTTATAGCTACCTAGGCTGCAGCTCCTGGCTTTGCTGACTTCGAGAAAAGCCTTGAAGATGACATTTCCATGGCTCTTTCAACGTTCTAATATGAACAGAGGCCTCAAGTTGCAGTTGATCGAATTTTGTCTCAGAATGCTTCTTTCTTCCCAACAGGATTGTCTCCAGTGTTTTTTTCAACAGGACACATTGACTTGGAACAACCAGATTCATTGCTCCTTTTGTGAAACCAAGCAAGAAACAGCTGTGAGAGCCAGTATTTCCAAAGCACCAAAAATAATCATTTTTCACTTAAAAAGGTATGGAGTTTGTCATTTTGTGGGCAGATGTTTTTGAACAACTTTATTGAGCTATAAGTCTATGACAATTCACCCTCTTAAAGTGCTTGATCCAATGGTATTTGCATGTTATTAATTTCTTTAAAAATGTGATAAATATATATAGAGCATAAAATTTGCCACTTTAGCAACTTTAAATGTACAATCCATTGGTATTAATTATATTTACAATGTTATATAGCAATACAAATACTTCCAAAAATTTTTTCTCACCCCAAACAGACTCTAATCAGTAAGCAATAATTCCACCTTTCTCCTTCCCTTGTCCCTGGTAAGCCCTAATCTATTCTCTGTCTCTATAAATGTGCCCACCTCATATACTATTTTCCTTTTTTTTATTGTCCCTTTTTTTAAAGCAATTTTTTTTATTATTTATTTGAAAGGCAGAATGACAGAAGGATCAGGAGAGACAGTGAGAGAGAGAGAGAGAATCTTTCATCTGTTGTTTCACTCCCCAAATGGCCACAATGGGTGAGCTTGAAGCCAGGAGCCTGGAACTCCAGCCTGGTCTCTCAACAAGCACTTGGGCCACCTCCTGCGTCTTTCCCAGGCACATTAGCAGCCAGCTGGATTGGAAACAGAGCAGCCGGGCCCTGAACTGCTGCACCCCAGTGCCAGCCCCAGTGTCTGTCCTTTGACCTGCCTATTTCTCTTAACATAGTTTTTTCAGGGTCCATCCATGTTGTAATGCACCGAAATTGCCTTCCTTTCTGTTATCAAATAATACACTGTTGTATTTGTTTACCACATTTGGTTTATTTGTCTGTTGATAGACATTTGGGTTGTTTCTACGTTTTGGCTAGTTTTGGCTATTGTGAATAATTCTCCAACGAACTTTGGCACCCAAGAATAGGTTTGAGTCTGGCTTTCAATCCTTCTTGGCTTAGAAGTATACCTAGGAATGGTTCATGTGGTAATTCCATGTCTAGGTTTTTGAGGAAATACCAAACTGTTTTCCACAGCAGCTGCACCATTTTACGTCACTATTGGCAGTGTACCAGGGTTCCAGTTTCTCCACATCCTCACCAACACTTACTTTCCATTTTGTTGTTGTGTTCTTGTTTTGTAATAAAAACCATTCTCAATGGAGTTAAGTGGTATCTTTTTTAAGATTACTATTTGTTTGAAAAGCAGTTATAGAAAAAGGAGAGAGGGAGGGAGAGAGGGAGGGAAGGAGAGAGAGAGAGAGAGACAGACAGAGAGAGAGAGAGATCTCCTCCATCCATTGGTTCATTCCCCAAATGGCCACAATGGCTGGGGCTATGCCATGCTAAAGCCGGGAGCCAGGAACTTCTTTGGGTTCTCTTATGTGGTTGTAGGGGCCCAAGCATTTGGGCCATCCTCTGCAGCTTTCCCAGGTATATTAGCAGGGAGCTGGATCAAAAGTGGAGCAGCTGGGACTTGAACCAGCATCCATATGGGATGCTGGCATCACAGGTGGCAGCTCTCCCCTCTATGCCACAGTGCCAACCTCGAAGTTTTGATTTGTGAGTACCTGATGACTAATGATGTTGAGCATCTTTTCATGGGCTTATTGTCCTTTGTGTGTTGTCTTTGGAGGAATGTCTGTTCAACTATTTTGTTGCGGGCAGCTTTAAAGATATAAAATGGATGAAAGAGCTAACCAGTTTTATTTATTTATTTATTTATTTATTTATTTATTTTTTATTTGACAGGCAGAGTTATAGATAGTGAGAGAGAGAGACAGAAAGGTCTTCCTTCCATTGGTTCATCCCCTAAATGGCCACTAGGGCCGGCCCTGCGCCGACCCGAAGCCAGGAGCCAGGTGCTTCTTCCTGGTCTCCCATGTGGGTGCAGGTGCCCAAGCATCTGGGCCATCCTCCACTGCCCTCCTGGGCCACAGCAGAGAGCTGGACTGGAAGAGGAGCAACTGGGACTAGAACCCGGTGCCCATGTGGGACGCCGGCACCACAAGGCGGAGGATTAACCAAGTGAGCCATGGCACTGGCCCCAAGCTAACCAGTTTTTACAGCCATATTTCTGGTCACTTTGGGAGCAATGCAATGATTCTCAGAATATGTTCGGAGCTGGCGCTGTGGCGTAGTGGGTTAACACCCTGGCCTGAAGCGCCGGCATCCCATATGGGCGCCGGTTCGAGACCCAGCTCTCTGCTGTGTGTGGCCTGGGAAAGCAGTGGAAGATGGCCCAAGTCCTTGGGCCCCTGCACCCACATGGGAGACCCAGAAGAAGTTCCTGGCTCCTGGCTTCAGATTGGCACAGTTCCGGCCGTTGTGGCCAATTGGGGAATGAACCATCAGATGGAAGACCTCTCTCTCTCTCTCTTTCTCTCTCTCTCTCTGCCTCTCCTCTCTCTGTGTAATTCTTCAAATAAATAAATAAATATTTAAAAAAAATAGAATATGTTCAGGGCCGGCACTGTGGCGTACCAGGTAAAGCCGCCACCTGCAGTGCCAGCATCCCATATGGGCGCTGGTTGGAGTCCCAGCTGCTCCACTTCCAATCCAGCTCTCTGCTATGGCCTGGGAAAGCAGAAGATGGCCCCCTGCACCCACGTGGGAGACCAGGAAAGAAGCTCCTGCCTCCTGGTTCAGATCGGCTCAGCTCTGGCCATTGCAGCCACCTGAGGAATGAACCATCGGATGGAAGACCTCTCTCTCTCTGTCTCTACCACTCTAACTCTGTCTTTCAAATAAATAAAATAAATCTTAAACAAAAAATACTGAAGAACAAGTGGAGCTTTTCAGGTAGAGAAGAGGGAGAAGGAAATGATATGCAAAGGCATATGCATGCTTAGTAAATGTGAGTTTGGGGCAGAAAGGAGTAAAAGTGAGGTTGTAAGGCAGGCCAGCCTTTCTGGAGAGTCTGATGCTATATATTAAGACCTTCGCAGGCCGACGCTCTGGCGTAAGTTAAGCATCTACCTGCAGCGCTGGCATCACATACGGGTGCCGGTTCGAGTCCCAGCTGCTCCATTTCCAATCCAGCTTTCTGCTGTGACCTGGGAAAGCAGTAGAAGATGATCCAAGAGCTTCGGCCCCTACACCCATATGGGAGACCCTGAAAAAGCTGCTGGCTCCTGACTTTGGCCTGGCCTAGCTCTGGCCGTTGTGGCCATTTAGGGGAGTGAACCAGCAGATGGAAGAATTTTCTCTGTTTCTGTCTCTCTCTCTAACTCTGCCTCTCAAGTAAATAAATAAATTAAAAAAAAAACACTTTGCATTTTACCTTTTGGGCATTTTAACTGTTGTTGAGTGGGTGTGATCAGACTTGAAAAGGGAGCCCAAATGGTTTGGGAGATGGCTGGGAGAGGAAAGTGGAGAAATAGTTAAGATCCTGTTGGAAGAGATGAGGACCTGGACTGTAGTTGTTGTAGATGTAGGAATGGAAAGAATAGGAAGGATTCCGGAAGTTTCCCAGAGGTAGGAATAGAATCTGTAGGACTTCAGTGGCAGCTCCGACAATGGAGAGGTTAGGGGAGGAACACAGTCCAGGTCTCCCACATGGGAGGCAGGAACACAACCACTCGAGTCATTCCTGCTGCCTTCCAGGGTGTGCATCCGCAGGAAGCTGGAATCGGGAGCTGGAGGCAGGCAGGCATGGAGTTCCGGCTTTCCAACCCAGAACATGGGCTTCTCGGCTGCTGGGCCAAATGCCCAAGCCCAGCCCTTCCGTTTTATTAGTGAACCATTTGAAGTGCAATGCAGAGTGGGATTTCATGCTTGAATACTTCATCCTGTATCACCTGGGGACAAGGACAATATCCTGCAGCATTCCACAATCATAGAAAATTAACAGTCGTTTCATAGCATCAGGATTCATGATAGAATCCTCACCTAAATTTCTCCTTTACCACAAAAATGTCTTTCATAGCTTTCCTCTAACCTAGGATTCAATACTTTGCAGTTAGTTGTCTGGTAGGGCTCTTTTAATCTTGAACAACCACCCCCTCCTTTTTACATGTTTAACGTTGAAAGAGGTAGAGCATCGTTAGTACATGGATCTGCAGTCTTTGTGCCTTCTGTAGTGAGGTCTGTCATGGTCTTTGACACATTTTAAAAATCAAGTGTTTTGTTGTTGCTGTTGTGGTGGTGGTAGGGTTTTAAGAATTCTTTGTGTATTTTGGGTTAGAGTCCTTTCCCAGAAGTATATTTTGTAAATATTTTATCCAAGTCCATGGTTTGCCTTTGCATTTTCTTGGCAGTGTTTTTTGCAGAGCAGAAAATACTCATTTTAATGAGGTTCAGCTTATCAGTTCTCACACGGATCACACCTTTGGTTCAGTCTAAAAAGTCTTCACTGGGGCTGGCATTGTGGCTCACTGGGTTAAACCACTGCTGAGACATCGGTATCCCATATCAGAGTGCCGGTTCAAGTCCTGGCTGCTCTGCTTTCACCAGCTCCCTGCTAATGTGCCTGGGAAGTCAGCCAAAGATGGCCCAAATACTTGTCCCTGCCACCCACACGGAAGAACTGGATGGAGTTTGTGGTTACTGGCTTCAGCTTAACCCACTGGAGGCTGTTGTTGCCATTTGGGCATGGACCAGTAGATGGAAGATACGGCTCACTTTCTGTCTCTCTCTTTCTGTGTCTCTCTCTCTTTCTCCCCCCACCTCTTTCAAATAAAGAAATAAATCTTTTTTACAAGAAGTCACCAATCCCAAGGTCATACAGCTTTTCTTCTGTGTTACCTTCCAGGACTTTGATTGCTTTACAGTTTGCATTTATGTCTGTAACATATTTTGAGTTAATTTTTGTGAAGGATATAAGGTCTGCTTGTGTAAAACCTTGTTGTTTTTTTTCTGCATGTGGACATCTGGCTGATCCAACACCGTTTGTTACAAAGGCAATCTTTCCTTCTTTGTATTGCCTTTGTTCTTTTGTCACAATCAACTGATTATATTTATGTGGGTTTATTTCTAGTGTCTGCATTCTTTTTAAAAATATTTATTTATTTGGAAGGTAGAGTGACAGACACAGAGAGACAGAGATAAATCTTCCATCCACTGGTTCACTCCCCAAACGGCTGCAATAGCCAGGGCTTAGCCAGGCCAAAACCAAGAGCCCAGAGCTCTATCCAGTCTTCACACATGGGTTGTAGGGGACCAAATACTTGATCCATCTTCCTTTGCATTCCCAGGTGCATTAGCAGGGTTCTGGATTGGAAGTGGAGAGCTGAGACTTGAACCAATACTCTGATATGGGATGCTGGTGTTACAAGCAGCAACTTAACCCCCTGCACCCCACTGCTGGCTCCTAGTGTCCCCATCTTAATCCACTGAACAACTTGTTTACTCTTTCACTAATACCACACTGTCTTGACTGTCAGACGTGGTCACCTCAGCCTGTAGTAATTTGAACGCTACAGTTGAGGTTTTCCCAGCAGGGCTGCTTCCCTTACAGGATGCTGCTCAGCTGTTTCTGCCTCGGTGAGTTAGGATTTTCTGAATTTGGCCTGCCTGTCTCTGCAGTGTCCTGTGACCTCATTTCTCTCACAGACCTGAGCAGAGTTGTTGATTTCTTCTCCCCTTGTTAGCTTTTCACAGAGAGGTGACAGAGAGGTGACTTCAGGGTTCCTTCAGATGGTGCTAGGAAGCAGAAGTCTCTCCCTGTTGTTTCTGTTATTCAGATTGTTCAGAACTGGCTAGTGGGAGACCCGAGCCAGCTCCTGTGACTCCGTTAGTTGCTCTAAGGTTATTAAGGTTGACATAAGTATGTGACATTTATGCTGCTGAGGCGTGCAAGTCTGTGAGTACGCAGAAGTGTATCCAGTCACGTAACCATTAAAGCCTACGCAAGCACTCCTTGCATTGCCTTAAAAGGCTTTTGCATGCTCCTTTATAATCGCTCTACCCTAAGCACCTGGGAGTCGCTGATCTGACGGCCGTCCTTCTAGCTTTGACTGTTTTCAAAATGTTCTATGTTGTCAGTAGCCTTCCTGAGCTTGGTACATTTGAGATTACTCCATGTTGTCGCATGTGTTAGTGGTTCCTTCCTTGTCGTTGTTGTGTATTCCTTTTTGTGAATGTACTGTGACTGTTCATCCACTTGCCAGCTGATGGACGAGTTGTTCCCAGTTTTTGGGAGCAGTTAAGAACATAGCTTCTGGGGCCAGTGCTGTGGCGCAGCAGGTTAACACCCTGGCCTGAAGCGCCGGCATCCCATATGGACGCCAGTTCAAGACCCGGCTGCTCCACTTCCAATCCAGCTCTCTGCTGTGGCCTGGGGAAGCAGTAGAAAATGGCCCAAGACCTTGGGCCCCTGCACCCATGTGGGAGACCCAGAAGAAGCTCCTGGCTTCGGATCGGCGCAACTCCGGCTGTTGTGGCCAATTGGGGAGTGAACCAGCAGATGGAAGACTTTCTCTCTCTGCCTCTCCTTTTTCTATGTAACTCTGACTTTCTCAAGTAAATAAATAAATCTTAAAAAAAAAAAAAAGAAAGAAAGAACGTAGCTTTTGTAAATACTAGGATCTGGGTTTTATGTGGACGTATATCTTCATTTCTTGGGATGATAATGTAAGTGTGGAATTGCTGGGTCACATGAGAGCACCTTGGTTCTGAACAAAGTTTCTTGCTCTCCAGCACAGAAATGTCTCAGGCTCACCTAGTAATGTCTCTGCCTCAACCCTAAATCAGCCATTTCCCCAAAATGAGCATCCTTATTTGTTTTAAAGCTCTTGAGTGCTTTGATCTGAGCCCAGATTTGGGAGACCTCTGATCTGTAACAGCACCGAATGTGAAGATGTTCGTGAAGTTTTCTTACTTAAACCTCAGAGTTTGGAAAGAGGACACTGCTAGGACATGTGCTAAAATCGAAGCTGAGCCAGCTGGTGAGAAGCAGGCTCAGCTGGAGCAGACGCTGCGGGGGTTTCAGTGGGATCTTCATCTCCCTGAGGCTGAGCCTAGCTTTGGCCCTTTCTTTACCACTAGATTAAGTGAAGCCGGATCTACACCTTCTCCTTCCCTCCTCTTGGCCTACTCCGTTTGGTGAGGCTTGTGGGTATGGTGTTTCTAAATACGTTTAAATAAGAAAAAGAGAATGTGTGCAGAGATCTGTACCAAATCATCTTCCCAAGAAACCACACGTGGGGGCTGGCATTTGGTACAGTGGGCTACGCCACCCGCTGTGAGTCCAGCATCCCATGTCTGACGCTGGCTCAAGTCCTAGCTGCTCTACTTTCAGTTGAGCTGACTTCCTGCTAATGTAGCTGGAAAAGCAGCAGATGATGTCCCAGTTACATGACCCGTCACCCATGTGGGAGACCCAGATGGAGTTCCAGCCTCTTGGCTTTGGCCTAGCCAGCCCTGGCTGTTGCAGCCATTTGGGAAGTGTACTGATGGATGGAAGATTCTTCTCCTCTTCTCCTCCCCTTTCCCGTCTCTGCCCTCTCCCGTCTCTCTCCTCTCCCCTTCTTCTCCTCTTCATCACTCTGCCCTTCAAACAATCTTTTTTTTTTTTTTTAAGATTTTATTTGTTTTACTTGAAAGTCAGAGAGGCAGAGAGAAAGAGACACAGAGAGAGAGAAGAGAAGGTCTTCCATCCGCCGGCTCACTCCCCAGACGGCCACATATGGCTGGAGCTGTGCTAACCCGGAGCCAGGAGCCTTCTCCCAGTTCTCCCATGTGGGTGTAGGGGCCCAAAGACTTGGGCCATCCTCCACTGCTCTCCCAGGCCACAGCAGAGAACTGGATCAGAAGTGGAGCAGCCGGGACTCAAACTCGCATCCACATGGGTTGCCGGCGTCACAGACGGTGGTTTTACCCACTGCACCACAGTGTTGACACCATAGTGTCGACCCCTGAAACAATTTTTTTTTATTTGACAGAGTTATAGACACTGAGAGAGACAGACAGAAATGTCTTCCTTCCATTGGTTCACTCCCCAAATGGCTGCTATGGCCGGTGCTGCGCCGATCCAAAGCCAGGAGCCAGGTACTTCTTCCTGGTCTCCCAAGTGGGTGCAGGACTCAAGCACTTGGGCCATCCTCCACTGCTATCCCAGGCCACTGCAGAGGGCTGAACTGGAAGAGAAGCAGCTGGGGCTAGAACCTGTCGCCTATATGGGATGCTGGCGCCACAGGCAGAGGATAAACCAAGTGAGCCATGGCGCCGGCCCCAAACATTTTTTTTTTAATTATATTTGACTGTAATTGGAATTTGTCGAGGTGTGTAGACTTCATTCATGTGTGGTTCACAAGCTTACTCTCCTTTTCACACACTTCTTATTCCTCCAGGTTTGACATTCAGGGTACAGTGAAGAGGAAACTGAGAACAGACATTCACTACCCACTCACTAACTTGGACCTCACTCCTTACATTTGTCCAGTCTTCCGGAAACATCCGAAATACAATCTCTGTGCAGTGGTGGTGAGTACAATTCTAAAACTGCTAAAAAGTGATGCAATGTTAAAGAAAGCTCTAGAATTCTCTGCTTGAATCACTATTCCCTCCATCTTTCCCTGACTTCTCTTACAGCCTTCTTGTTTCGAAACAAACTACAGAACCTGGGAACCCCCTCTCAGAACAGTAGAGCAGGAAAGAATGGAGCCTTCCATTCAGTGCCTCCTCATTTTCCCTCTACTCTGGGGAGATCACAAGTCTAGACATTTGCATATGGCGCTCCTAGAGGCAGAGGAAGGCAGTCCCCGCAGCTCTGGGTCCCATCATCGTGAGCCATTTCGTGACCAAAGCCCTGAAACCCTGGGGACATAACAGCCGGAAGACCTGATGCCCACATGCAGCCAGTACTCAGAAGGCTCTGGGCGCTCACTTTGGCTCCAGGTCAGCTGTGGTCCCTGAAGAGTCCCTGCAGGAAAGGACGCATGGGGTACAGCTCAGACCACATGACCTCATGCCCATGCGAAGCCTCCTGGAGTGGCCAGCCGTCCGCTGGGTTTCTGTTCTGGGCTTTGGTGTGAAAGACCTGTCTGAGAACACATTCATCTTTCACAACTGGACTGGGTGGGGGGTCTGTCTGGATCTTTCTCAGACTGGGCGGGGCTCCCAGCAGGGCGCTGTGGGATTCACCAGTGAGTGGCCTTGGAGCTGCTGAAGTCTCCTTTGCCTATTCATCCGATTGTTATATACGCTCAAATGTTCATCCCACTAGTCTATCTCATTAACATCTCTCTGAACCATAACTTCAAACTTGGGAAAAATGATTGCCTTTTTCCCCTGCAAGCAAGCCATGATATTATTCTTCTTTTGGATTTATCTTGTCCTAAAATATGGCTCTTCTCTCAGGACATCAAAGGCCTCCCCTATGTTTTCCTATCTTAACTTCTCATTATAGGTGTTTATACTTTATGAAACTCCAAATGACAAAAAGCTCAGTTAATATTAAAAAATGTAATTTTCTGCATTTTGAAAACATATGCATTTATATAAAACTGGTCCTGAAGCTTCCTATATGTTCTTTTTTTGTTTGTTTTTATTTTTATTTTTTTATTTTTGACAGGCAGAGTGGACAGAGAGAGAGAGAGACAGAGAGAAAGGTCTTCCTTTACCGTTGGTTCACCCTCCAATGGCTGCTGCGGCCGGCGCGCTGCGGCCGGCGCACCGCGCTGATCCGATGGCAGGAGCCAGGTGTTTCTCCTGGTCTCCCATGTGGGTGCAGGGCCCAAGTACTTGGGCCATCCTCCACTGCACTCCTGGGCCACAGCAGAGAGCTGGCCTGGAAGAGGAGTGACCGAGACAGAATCCGGCGCCCTGACCGGGACTAGAACCCGGTGTGCCAGTGCTGCAAGGCGGAGGATTAGCCTAGTGAGCCGCGGCGCCAGCCCCTATATGTTCTTAATTCTTCTAATCATTATTTATTATGTGAGGAACTTGAAGTTGGTTTTGAAACATAACTACATTTAGAATGATTTATCCAAGAGCATGATGAGGCATCTCTGAAGTGATGCTGAATGGCAGTGGGAATTCTTGTAGAATTCTTGCTCCCTAGGGTGTGGTCCCCATAAGAGCCAGAGCATCGGTGCCACCTGTTAGCCTCAGGGCCCAGCCCAGACTTACTCAGATTACATGTTTTAGCAAGGTCCCCCTGTGATTGGTTGGCACTTAGAAGGTTGAGAAGTAGTCATCTAGATGAGAAGGGAAAGGATACTTCTGCACCATTCTTGAAGGACATTTATTTAGCTTCTGCTTGAGCCTTGAAGAGTTCATTGGTTTATAAAACAGGTTCTTTATCTGGTGGGTTGATTTTTGCTAATGTTTATATTGCTTGCTGTGTACCTGATATTAGCATGTACCTCCAACCAACACTCTGATACGGGATGCTGGCATCAAAAATGGTGACTTAACCCACCACCTACACCATAAGGCCTGCCCCAAATTGTCTATCTTTTGTCTTTTTTATAACAGCCATTCTAACAGGTGTAAGGTGATAGCTAGTGGTTTTAGTTTCCATTTCTGTAATGCTTAGCCATATTGAGCTTTTTTTTTTTTTAACAAACTTGTTGACCATTGGTATGTCTTGTTTTGAAAAATGTCTACTCAGCATATTTACCCATTTTCACTTTGAGTGTATGTGTGTTCTTCTAGTCAAGTGGGTCTCTTCTCAGCAGTATATACTTGGCAAATCCCTTGTCCATGCTTTAATTGGGTTATTTGTTTGCTTCCTATTGAATTGTTTGAATTCATTATGTATTTATGTATTTTTGATATTGACTGCTTACTAGGCTTATGGTTTGCAGGTATTTCCTCCCGTTCTGTGGGTTGTATATTTTGTTAAATGTTTCCTTTGCTGTGCAGAAGTTTTTTTTTCTGAGATCATCTACAAAAGATTGTTGCCCAGACCAATGAGCATTTTCCCCACTTTGTTTTCTAGTAGTTTTATAGTTTGAGGACTTATATTTAAGTCTTTATCCACTTGGAATTAATATTTATATGTGGTACGGGGTAAATACCCAATTTTATTCTTCTTTATGTTGATATCTAGTTTTTCTAATATCATTTATTGTAGAGACTGTTCTTGGCACCTTTGTCAAAAATCATTTGACCCCAGACATGTGAATTTGTCTCTGGACTCCCTGTCCTATTCGCTTGGTCAGTATACCTATCTTTATGCTAGTGCCATGCTGTTTTGATTACAGTTGCTTTGAACTGTGAAATTATGGATGCCTTCTGCTTTGGTTCTTTTTGTTTGAGATTGTTCTATTTGAGGTCTTTTGCAGTTCCATACAAATTTAATGACTGCTTGCATATTTTGGTAAAGTATTTCATTTGAGTTATGATAAAGATTGGGTGAATCTGTAGATTACTTTGGGTGATATGCACATCTTGACAATATCAATTCTTCGAATCCATGAGCAGGAGATTATTCCATATGTGTTTTCTTCAGTTTATTTCATCATTGTTATATAGATTTCAATATCTTCTACCTTCTTGGTTAAATTTATAAGAATTTTGTTTTTGCTGCTGTTGTAAATGTGAGTCTTCGTATGGTTTACTATTAGAATACAGAAATGCTAGATTCTTGTGTGTTGGTATTGTATTCTACAACTACAGAATTTATAATTTCTTTTTTTTTTTATTTGAATGAGTTAGACAGTGAGAGAGAGAGAGAGACAGAGAGAAAGGTCTTCCTTCTGTTGGTTCACTCCCCAAATGGCCGCTACAGCCAGAGCTGCGCCGATCTGAAGCCAGGAGCCAGGTGCTTCTTCCTGGTCCCCCATGTGGGTGCAGGGACCCAAGCACTTGGGCCATCGTCCACTGCCTTCCTGGGCCATAGTAGAGAGCTGAACTGCAAGAGGAACAACTGGGACTAGAACCCGGCGCCCATATGGGATGCTGGCACCACAGGCGGAGGATCAACCAAGTGAGACACAGCGCTGGTCCCATGAATTTATAATTTCTAACGCTTTTTTCAGTGGAATCTATGAATCTAGCAAAAAAGGGACAATCTTACATCTTCTTTCCTATTAGAATAAAAGTCTTTGATATCTTGCCTAATTGCTCTGGCTGGGACTTCCAGTAATATATTGAAAAGTAGGGAAAGTTGTTTTTCTTGTTCCTTAGAGGAAAACTTCCAGTGTTTTACTGTTGAATGTGATGTCAGTTGTAGGTTTGTCATTTATGGCCTTTAATGAGTTTAGAAACATTCCCTCTGTTTCTAATATGTCGAGAGGTTTTTTTAAATTTTGACTGTTATTAAGTGCTTTTTTCATATACATTGAGGTGCTCATATGGTTTTATTATCTATTCTGTGGCATATTATATTTATTGATTTGACTATGTTAAACCATCCTTGCATTCCAGGAATAAATTTCACTTGGTCATGGTGCATGATTATTTTAATGTGTTGTTGAATTGACTGATAGTATCTTGAGGATTTTTGCATCTATGTCAATCAAGGATAGTAATTTTCTTGTTGCATCCTTATCTGGATTTTTTTTTTTTGGACAGGCAGAGTGGATAGTGAGAGAGAGAGAGACAGAGAGAAAGGTCTTCCTTTGCCATTGGTTCACCCTCCAATGGCCACCACGGCTGGTGCGCTGCGGCCGGCGCACCGTGCTGATCCGAAGGCAGGAGCCAGGTACTTATCCTGGTCTTCCATGCAGGTGCAGGGCCCAAGCACTTGGGCCAGGACTAGAACCCGGTGTGCCGGCGCCGCTAGGTGGAGGATTAGCCTATTGATCTGTGGCGCCGGCCCTTATCTGGCTTTGGTATCAGCATATTACTGGCGTCATTCACCAAAGGCCCCACCTCCCAACATCATCACAATGTGATTTGGTTTCAAAAATTTGGGGGTGGAGACAAGCATTTACACTACAGCAGATTTTGTGGTCCATAACAAGTGAGTCCCTGTGAAATCACCACCCCATGTAGGAACTTCTCTAACAGTGTTGCCTGTGTGCTTCTTCTCTGTAACTGCTTGCCTTATAATTTTGAGGTTGCACAATCCTAGATTTAATATTCTCGACTGCTCAATATTATATATATCACTGAACAATCCACTATTTTCTCTTAAGCTTTATTAAAATGCACTTTCTCTTTAGACTTTGAAAGTTAATTTTTTTTATTGAACATTGTTTTTAAGATTCATCTACATTGTTACAAGTGGTTGTAATTTCATATATTGTGTGAATAGACCATAATTTATCTATAGTCCTGTTGAGACACATTGGAATGTAGATTTTTGCTGTTATGAACAACACTGTGTGAACATTCTTGGGTATATGTGTGTGTATGTACGAGCTTCTACTTAGAAGTGGAATCATTTGGACCATAAGATATATGCATGTCTAACTTTCTAGTTAATTTCAGTGCTTTTTGAAATGGCTATGCCAACTATACTCTTAACAGCATTATCTAACTTAATTTTTGCTAGTAGATACAAAATTGCATCTCATTTTGTTCTTAAATTG